GAGAATTGCAGCTGATTTGCTTTTGCCTCCATGCAGCTTATAAAATCTGTGAAAAGTTCCAAATAAATCCTCTGGATCTGTGTTACGTTATTCTGCCTGGGCCATGTGTCCCCTGCGTTGGATATAGAGCACTCACAAAAGAGCTCAGGAGGAAATATCAATAAGAGATATTAATAATAAATAACAACAATAAATAATTAACTAGTAAGTAAGGCACATTAAGTAAGACCTTCCAGGTGGATGTAAAGATCATTAGGTATTTTCTTTACGTGAAGTCCCTTAAAGTCATAGTAGAGTAGGTAAGATATGTCTTAAAACTTAACTTTTATTATTTAAAAATAGAAAAACAAGTGTGACAAAATCCCCTTTTCAAGTGAGTTTGCCATGAGTTCCTGGAGGAGCCTACTTTCCAGCTTCCTGCCCACAGACTATGGACTTTGTAAAATGGGATATAAAAGTCTCCGTTCGTGAATTTGGACTATATGGTTTGGGAACCGAACAGCCGCATGAACCGGAGACCACCCTTGTTAAGCCTAATTGCTACTTTGTAATAATTTCCACCTCAGTGTTCTAGTGTTCTAAGTGTTTGTCTGGATGGCCGCAATTCCTATGGACGACCACAAGGTGGCGGCCATCTTGTTCACATGAACGCAGGCAGTGGTGTTTGGTCGTTGAGTTCATGGAACTATTATCGGATACCGAAACTCCCGAACACCACTGGACTTCCATGATCGCGGTTTGTCCCTTGTTTTAGCTAGGAGGGTGTATGAACGTTTAGTTATGGAGGACGTGAGGAATCTCAACATTAATAGTAAGAGGAAATGTAAAAGGGATAACATGGATTTTTTCCAAAGAATTAAAGGAACTTCAGACCAATAAAGAAATAATCATAAAACCCGCTGATAAAGGAGGCGGGGTGGTTATACAAAGTAGGGATCAATATTTGAAGGAAATTTATAGGCAATTAGATGATCCAAGTACATATAAAGAGCTAAAAGGTGACCCCATAGGGCAGATTAGAAAGGAATATTTATCATTCTTGGGCAGGGGTAGAGTACTGGGAATCCTAAATAAAGACGAGTTCCAATATTTGGACTCTGTCGTAGGTAGGAACCCGGTATTTTATACCCTGCCAAAGATACATAAAAGTGAGGAAAACCCAACCGGCAGGCACATCGTGTCAGTGGTGGGGTCACTTCTGAGCAATTTGTCAGAATATATCGACAAACAATTACAGCCCTTGGTGGTAGCACAACCATCTTATTTGAGAGACTCTATGTCTCTGTTGAACCTTCTTGAAGGGATTAGATGGGATAATAATATGTTATTGGTGACTTGTGACGTCTCAAGCCTGTATAGTAGTATACCACACTTGTCTGGCAATCGAATATTTCCTTAAAAATCATAGTGAATTGAAAGAAGCACAGATACAATTCATTTTAGATGGAATTAGACTTATCCTCTGTAATAACTACTTTTGGTTCGATGATACATTTTTCTTGCAATTAAAGGGGACCTCGATGGGGACCAGGTTCGCGACCAGCTACGCTAATTTATTTATGGCGCATTGGGAAAATCCATTTTTAATGGAGGAAGGTGGCTGGGCGCGTAACCTGGTCCTTTATCGTCGGTTTATAGACAACATCTTTTTTATTTGGCGTGGTGATGAAGAATCACTGCGGCCATTTTTGGAGTTTCTGAACCTTCAACATACAGATATTAAATTGACAAGTGAGTATAGTTCATCTAATATCAACTTTCTGGACTTGAATATCTATGTAGACCAGGAAGCTATAAAGACCAAGACTTTCTTCAAGAAAGCCGATGTTAATGGCTACATAGAAACGTCCAGTTGCCACTATGATTTATGGCTACAGAGTGTCCCTAAAGGCCAGTTTCTTAGGTTGTTTAGGAATTGTAGTGATGTCAAAGTGTTTGAGGAGCAAGCAGTCTTTCTGAGGGATAAGTTTGTAGAAAAAAACTATAACATCAAGGAATTGGACAAATGTATCAATTCCATTAAAAAGATGGATCGAAGCAAGATTTTGAATAAAAGTATGTCTAGTGAGGAGAGGAAGCGTGCTGACCAAGTACCAATTATTCTTAATTATAGTGAAGATGCCAAACAAATCAAGCATATTATTAACAGACATTGGCGTATCCTTAAATCAGATCCTAATTTGAAAGAAATTATTGGTGATAAACCACGTATTATCTATAGAGGAGCAAAAAATTTAAAGCAACATCTAACCACGAGTTTCATTAAGGACAAAGTGGAAACAGAACACTTTTTTGGTCTAGAAAAATGTTTTTATCCCTGCAAATCCTACCTGGCCTGTAAGAAAACCTTATTTGGCAAACATAAACAGACCGAATTTATCTCTTATTCTACTAATCGTAAATTTAAGATTCATCAAGTTCTAACTTGTAATTCCACTAATGTCATATACCTCCTCTGGTGCCCATGTGGTCTGCAGTACATTGGAATGACCACAATAGCTTTTAAAACCAGGGTTGCGGAGCATGTGGGGAATATCCAGAGGGGGTATATGAAGCATAGTGTATCTGCACACTTCACTGAAAAACATGGTGGTGATTTTTCGTTGTTATCGTATGCTGTTATAGTTAAGAAATTTAAAAATTGGAGAGGCGACAATAATGTTAAGGAGTTGGCTAAGATAGAGGGAAGTGGATCTTCGATGTAAATAACCTGTCCCCTAACGGATTGAATTTAGATTTTGAGTTTATTCATTTTTTATGATTTTTATTTCTATTTTCAATATATATATTTATTTGTTTATTAAGCCACTGGAGGTTCCACTTGCTCTCTGTTTAGCTGTCCCCTATATGTGTGAATTCTCTGTGGTTACACAATGCTGTGTTTAAATATATGTGCACTAATGGCTTCTTATTAAAATATTGCTCTATATACCTTTAAATTTCTCTTTTGAGAAATAGATAATCTGATCTAAATTTGCTCTCTGTCTAGCTGTTCCCTGTATGTGGGAATTCTCTGTGGTTACACAATGCTGAGTTTTAATATATGTGCACTAATGGCTTTTTATTAATATATTGTTCTATATCCCTTTAAATTTCTCTTTTGAGTAATTGATAATTTGATCTAAATTAGCATGATGGATATATATATATGCTTTACTGTCCTATACTGATTAATCTTTGTGTCTTATTTTGCTATGATTTGTTGCAAATATGGAGTGCAAGGTTGTCGTGGGGACTTAATCACAACAATAGGAATGAATCTACATCCTGAACGCCACGTTTCAGCATGCGTTCCAGCCGGCCGAAAACCGGAAGTGACGTCACATGTAAAACCGGAAGTGACGCAACGCCGGTACGAAATTGCAATTAGGTGAATGGTAAAGACAGGATTATATAAGAAGAATGAACAAGACATGAAGATAAGCACTGGAAGAAGGCTGTTTAGCCGAAACGCGTCTGCTTTGACTTTTGCACACCTGTTATTTGTTATTTTATGTGCATTTCCACACTCTGGGCTACTATATTAATAGGGGTAAGTGGAATTCCGATTTTGTTAAATTTTTACTATTGCCTGTTTTGGGTTCCACCCCCATAGTGCCCTTTAGTGTAAAAAAATGTTTAAATATATTTTTTTTACAATAAATATATTTTATACTTTCATTTGGAGTCTCATCTACCTGAATTATTTGGATCGCTAGCCAATATTTGGCACCCTTGAGCCTGATTTACAGAGCCTGGGACGGCTCTGGATAATGTGAGTGAGAGTCATCCATCCATCTATTATGTATTAGTCACTATACAGTTTGCACTATGCTGTTTTTTATCTTTTTCTTGTTTTAGTGTATCTTTCAATTAAACTCTACACTCTGTTGCATTACTATCAAGCTGTGTACTGGTAATATTACCCATTTTTTGTGACCACACTGGGGAGGTGTATTTACTGGTGCATGTCTTTTTAATTGTATTACTTATATCTGGTGCATAAGGGAAGCACTTGGGTACTGGTTACACCATTTATTGTACATTTATTATATACCAACTGTCATAATTTCAGTGAAGCGCCTACGCACTATTTTTCTTTTTCAAGTGTTCGTCTGGGTGGCCGCAATTCCTATGTACGACCACAAGGTGGCGGACATCTTGTTCACATGAACGCAGGCAGTGGTGTTTGGTCGTCGAGTTCATGGAACTATTTTCGGATACTGAAACTCCCGAACACCGATGGACTTCCATGATCGTGGTTTGTCCCTTGTTCCAGCTAGGAAGCGGTCCTTTGGCGGAGGTACCCAGTCAGGGTACATGGAGCTCTGCTACAACAAGATTGAACTAAATAAACCGAACTGAGTGAAAAAGGGATAAAATATGAGAATATAAATAGCTCAATATGAATAGTCAACAAGTAATAGTTTAATTTCCCTTTCTCCACAGTCCCTGGTGTGTGAATAACCCTGAGAAGTTTTTTCATTTAACACCATATTGTATTTAGTGCATTAAAAGCCGAATTGCAAAGTTTAGGCTTACGTGGCCAAGCTGTGACTAGCGAATTAAAGATTTTACTTTGCATTTATTTTTTGTCCTCTATTTTTACCTACATGTTTTCAATTGCTTTAAAATCACAGAAATTCTGTATTTTGTAAATGTTTCTTTTCATAATTTGGGTCTATAAAAACACTAAATGCTTGTAATTACAATTTACTTCTTCAATTAAAGTTATCATGTTAGCACTTGGTTTTGTATCTGTTCTTTCTAAACTTGTAACTCCTACCTCAGAAAAATATATTATCTATTGTGTCTGAGTATTACTAAGCATGTTTTGAGATAAGGATTGTATTGCAAAACTTCATGTAACCATTTACACGCCCCAGCAATAAACTCAGATGAACCTGGCAAACCTTTTTCACTGCCATTAGTTGACGCTGGAATGCTGCCCATATAGATATGTAGGTTGTTTGGACTCCGAAAGCCATTTCACAGGGAAATATTCTCTTGTTATTGTCACCATGTCCCTGGGACTCGCAGCTACATTTCTTCTGGTCTCCTTTGTCACCCTCCTGCTGTACCTAATAACATGGAAAGGAGGGAAAAAGCTGGAAAACCTGCCCCCAGGACCCACGCCTCTGCCCCTGCTGGGGAATATTATGCAGATTAGCACCACAGAATTGCCCCAATCCCTGGTTAAGGTGAGAAAAATAATTGTTCTTTAATAATTTGTGTTTGGTCACCTCACCATTTCAATGTTTTAATACAATCCACAGTACTACATACAATATAATCTGCAAACATGGTATTTTACGTTAGTACTCTAGAAAATGCAGAACCATTATTAATTACAATAATTAACGCAAAATCAGTTTAGGAAAGCTGGATGAAATTGACTATTATGCTGTATGTGAAAATGTTTTCTGTAAAACCTCTTTTTACAGGTTGAAAGGGTATTTAACCATTTGAAGAGATTAGAAGCGGCCACGTGATATAAATTATTTATTAAATATATACATTATTTCTTCTTACTGTCCAGTTTGGAAATAAATCTTTAATGATCTCAAATTCGGATTCCTTGTATTTCTGTCCTTTGTTCGTTTCACACAGTGTACAGGGAGTGCAGAATTATTAGGCAAGTTGTATTTTTGAGGATTAATTTTATTATTGAACAACAACCATGTTCTCAATGAACCCAAAAAACTCATTAATATCAAAGCTGAATATTTTTGGAAGTAGTTTTAGTTTGTTTTTAGTTTTAGCTATGTTAGGGGGATATCTGTGTGTGCAGGTGACTATTACTGTGCATAATTATTAGGCAACTTAACAAAAACAAATATATACCCATTTCAATTATTTATTATTACCAGTGAAACCAATATAACATCTCAACATTCACAAATCTACATTTCTGACATTCAAAAACAAAACAAAAACAAATCAGTGACCAATATAGCCACCTTTCTTTGCAAGGACACTCAAAAGCCTGCCATCCATGGATTCTGTCAGTGTTTTGATCTGTTCACCATCAACATTGCGTGCAGCAGCAACCACAGCCTCCCAGACTCTGTTCAGAGAGGTGTACTGTTTTCCCTCCTTGTAAATCTCACATTTGATGATGGACCACAGGTTCTCAATGGGGTTCAGATCAGGTGAACAAGGAGGCCATGTCATTAGATTTTCTTCTTTTATACCCTTGACTGCAGACCCACGAACCTCCCGTTGCCCAATAAACACACAACACCTGTATAGTGGATAAGGGCAACGGCCACAGCTTTATTGAACATATTTGACCAGCATTAAAACCAACTGTCAGCTGATGGGGTGATTCATCCATCAGACAGGTCTCACATCCTTTTACCAGAGTCCAAAGCAGCCTGCCTTCCGCCTTCAGCCCAAGCATGCTGTGACTCCCCAATCCGACTTGTCCCTTGCCTTCCCATGCGCTGGCCAGGTATTCCGCTGTGACAAAACAAAAACAGAGACAACCAGACACCAAGAAAAAAAAAACACCACCAACACCGCCACTTAACTACTAACCACAACCATTATAGGGAGGGCGGGTGGGAAAGCTCCTTTTAGATCTCTTCCTACCTACTGAGTGACCAGGGCCCACCCCCAGATTCCCTTATGTACTAGGTCCCTTATTGCTACATATGTATCCCTTTATGTCCATCCCCCCTCCCTGGGCAGCAGTCATGTCTTTCCCTTCCTTATTCAGTCCAGGGAAACCTTGACTGCAGACCCACGAACCTCCCGTTGCCCAATAAACACACAACACCTGTATAGTGGATAAGGGCAACGGCCACAGCTTTATTGAACATATTTGACCAGCATTAAAACCAACTGTCAGCTGATGGGGTGATTCATCCATCAGACAGGTCTCACTTCCTTTTACCAGAGTCCAAAGCAGCCTGCCTTCCGCCTTCAGCCCAAGCATGCTGTGACTCCCCAATCCGACTTGTCCCTTGCCTTCCCATGCGCTGGCCAGGTATTCCGCCACCGCGATGCCGGCCTCCTACGCCCTCCCCCGGCATCGTGCCCCCCGCCGCCAGCGCCTTCTCAATCCCCCCTTGCAGGCCCATGTTGAAAATGTCCAATCCAATCAAGCTTAAGTGCACCCCATCGGACCGCATCAGCACGCTGTTATCCCCTTCCAATTCTACATGCCGGACCACAATGCCCCCAAGCTGCCGAACAAACCTCGACACCACCACATTCAACTTACGCCTGCTGCGCTCCAGCCCCTTTGCATAAGGTAACTGCAGCCAGCAGGGCCTCGGGACCACCTCCGACCACACCAACGTGACATCCCGGAACAATGCCATGCACCGGGCAAGATCCTCCTTCATGTCGTGCATGAGATCCACTGTCCGGACCCGCCCCAGGTCATTCCCCCCTGCATGAATGACCAAGATCACCGAACTAGGAACCAACCTGCTCATAAAACGGCACTCCGGGTAAACCTGGCTCCACGACAACCCGCGAATGCCCCTCCAGCGGACCCGTGCTTGGTCGTACGAACACCCCAAGTTGCGGCCATATGGGCGCTCCTCCGCCCGCCTCGCTGCCCAATAGATGTAGGAATGCCCTAGTATCCATACATAACGAGGGCGAGAACCTAGAATTGAACAAACAGAAAAACTAAACGGGAAGAAAACTGTTACTCACCCTGAAAATTCACCCTATAAGAGGTGCGGCCGCACATACAACTGAAATCTTCCTGAACGCCTCCGCCCCAACTCCTGCACCGCTGACGGTGAAAATCCCATCTCACTAGCTTGTGTAGCCGCCCCAATCCGAAAAGAATGGGCCGAGTAACCTTGCGGGCTCCTCTCGTTCGCCACCAGGGATTCACGCAAAATCTTGCTAAATTGATAGCGCGTCATAGGAGACCCGTCCTGATGCACCAGCAGCGCACCCCCGCCCGTAGGGCGGACCTGCATAAATCTCCGAAACAGGTGCACTGGGCAGTACTCCCCTCCTGCTGCATCAATACGTACCCACGCTCCTTCCCCGCGTTGATCCGTCTTGGACTTACGGATCCGAATGTCCAGCCCTTGAACCGCCCACCGCACATCCGACACCAACAGCGGTGGCGCCACCCGACGACTGGCGGCCACCACCTCCCCGACCCGCAACGCCCCAAGAAAGCACAAAGAAAAAGCGACCCCGAACAACAACGCCTCGTACTCCGCACTACACACCCGCCGCAGCGCCGCAAGGAGCTCCCACAGAAGCTGCACCGAAATAGGCCGCCTCTGATCCGGGACCCTCCGCCGCCGCCATCCACGCAGAGCCCTCTGAATACTAAATTCCTTGGTCATATCCTTCCAACCCAGAAATCTAAACAAGAACGACAGGGCCGACAGGGCCTTCTCCGCTGCAGCACATGACCGCCCTTCATCCAACAATTGCTCCAAAAACAGTAAGGTTACCTCAAAGCGCCCCGCGTCCGACGCCAGGCTACCTTCCCCCGGCACCAACCCGAGCCACTTAGACCACACCGCCCGGTAGGACGTCCACGAGGATGCTGACAACGACTCCGACACCAACCCCATCAATCTTCGGAACCGAGCTCCCATAAAGACTGCGGGCAGGGCTGCCCCACCTGTTCCGCCTCTGGTGCCGCCTCTCGGAAACGCTGCCACTGGAACCGAGAAAGCGCATCAGCCACAATATTCAACACACCCGGCACATGACACGCCCTAACCCACACATTATGCTGCAAACTCAACAGGACCAAGCGCCTAAGCAATGCCAGCACTGGCGGTGAAGCCGACGTTGCGCGATTTATCACATGGACAACACTCATGTTGTCCGTATGAAAATCAACAGTTCGGTCCCGCAACTCTTGACCCCATAACTCCATTGCAACGACAATCGGGAAGAGCTCCAAGAAGGTCAAGTTGCGCATGAGATCCTTACCCCGCCAGCTGCCCGGCCAAGCCTCCGCGCACCACCGGCCCCGGAAGTAAGCCCCGAAGCCGATGGAGCCAGACGCATCTGTGAAAAGTTCCAACACTGAGTTCCCAACCGCCGCTCGCAACCAACACGACCCGCCGTTGTACCGTTCCAGGAAGGAACTCCACACCTGTAAGTCCGACTTAAGCTTCTTCGTAACCCGTATAAAATGATACGGCTCCCGAATCCCCACCGTCGCCAACGAGAGCCGGCGACAAAACGCCCGACCCATCGGCAAAACACGACAAGCGAATGCTAGGTGACCCAGCAGCACCTGCATCTGCCGCAACTGCACTTTCTTCGCCCCCTTGACGAGGTCGACCCAACGCAAGAGCACTACGACCTTGTCCTCCGGCAACCGAAAAACCATGTTGGCGGAATCAATTTCCACCCCGAGGAACGACAGCACCTCAGCCGGACCCTCTGTCTTCTGTTCCGCGACCGGAATGCCGAAATCAGCTGCCACCTCCCGAAAAACACGCAGAAGGTCCCCACATACCCCCGTCCCACGGTTTCCGACAAACAAAAAATCATCCAAATAATGTGTCACTGACACAAAACCCGAAACCTGAATGACCACCCATTCCAAAAAGGACGCAAAGGAATCGAAATAGGAGCAGGAAATCGCACACCCCATCGGCAGACACATGTCATAGTAGTAACTACCCTCAAAGTGGCAACCGAGGAGGTGATGACACTCCGGGTGGACTGGTAACAAGCGGAAGGCCGATTCAATGTCGGACTTCGCTAACCAGGCTCCAACCCCGGCATCCCTGACCAATTCCAACGCCCTGTCGAAAGACGCGTACCGGACACGGCTAAACTCCTTATCAATGCCGTCGTTAACAGACTCACCTGCTGGATAAGATAAATGATGAATCATGCGGTAAGCTCCCTCCTCCTTTTTGGGGACCAAACCCAACGGTGACACCCGAAGATTCACAAATGGCGAACGGACAAACGGCCCTGCCATCCTCCCCAAACTTACCTCTTTGTCCAATTTTTCCCGCAACATCCCTTCCCTACCCTGAATCGAACGCAAGTTGTTAGCAAAACGCGGCTCCGCCGAGGGAACAAACGGAACCCAAAACCCCGACGAAAACCCGTCCGCCAACAGCAACGCATCCCGCCGCTTAGGATACCGAGCGAGCCACGGCGCCATCCTTTCCCCTCTCACCGGGGTCCAGGCCTTTTGGGGCGGCGTCCGCGGCCCCACCTTTGGGAGGCACCTGTTTCCCCTTTTTGAAACAGCGCGACGCAGGATGCGCTCCTCCACAGTGAGAACACTCGTGTCGAAAGCGGCAGGAACTATACCACCTGCAATGGCTCTCATTGAAGAGCCAACAAACCCCTCGCTTAGGGCCAGCCGGCGCCCCTGGCGGACCGCCGGCTGCTCCCTGAAAGGGTGCCGGCCGGCTGGGAGTCATGAGCAGCAGCCAAAGGCTGCCATCCTGCACCCCGAAGTCCAACCCTGGGCATACCGCCATCTTCTGCCGAAATTGCTGGTCATAACGAAACCAGCATTGACCGCCATATATTTTGTAAGCCCCCCAAATGAGATCCAGGTACCCGAATAACGAAGGGGCCCGTTCCGGGAACTGCCTGGACAACACACTGGCGAACACCGCAAACCCCTGCAACCAGTTCCCAAAAGTTCTCGGGAGCTGCTTGCCCTTGTCCCCTTCCCCCGGCTCCCCCCGCCGCGGCCTATCCACGGCATCCTTGTCCGGCGGAACCAGGGAAAGCAAATCTACAAATTCGCCGCGCACTATCTTCTCGCGCGTCTCGCTAGGGACATGCATGCCCAGCGGAGATAACTCACACCCAGGTATGCTGGGGCGAAAAGCGCACATTGGAGCTGCAGGCGCAGGCCCTGGCGCAGAAACCAACCCCCCTTGCGCAGCCCCTGGTAACCCTGCAACTAGGGCCCTAAGCAAGCGCAAAACCTCCCCTTGCGCCTCCCTGGAACCCCCTATACTGGCCCCCAGACCACCCCATGCGCTTGCGCAGGCTGACTCACCGGACACAGGAAGGTTGCCAGGAACCTGTTCCTCCAGCAGCTGCTCCTCCACGCTGTCTTCCTCTCCCACTGCCGCTTCTTCATCCATCTCCAGCCGGCCTCTCCACAGGCCGCCATCCTCCGCTTCTTCTGGCCGACCACCGCCATGGCCGCCATCCCCCGAGCTCCTGAGCCGACCGCCCGGCCGGCCGCCGTCCCTCCATGCCGCCCGGGCACTTTCCAGGCCAGCCTCCTGGCTGCCCGGCTCTCCGGACCGGTTTGCCCGGTTCCAAGATGGCGGGGCCTGCGACGTCAGTGCGCTCCGTCGCACTGACGTCACGTACGCGCCCCGCGGCGCCTCCGTCGGCGTCACTCTTCCTGCGCGCCGGGCGCGCTCAGACGTCACTTCCGGCTGGGCCGGAAAAGAAGCCGGACTCCTCGACCGCGTCCCTCGTCCGCCGCCATCTTGATCCCGCCGACCAGCCTCCATCTCTCGCCGCAGCCGCCCTCCTGCAGCCCGGACAGGTAAGGGGACACCTCCATCCGCTCCACTCGCTCCGTCCGACCCGGGCACTCTCCTCCTGCCGCTGCTTCGCCGCACTGGGCTGGGGGAAAGGCGCGTAGGAGGCCTGGATCGCCTAGGCCTTCTACCGCCATCTTGTCTCTCCACAGGCTCCACCACTGCCGCCCCAGCGCTGCCACCCTGCAGGCCGGCCATCACTTCACCCAACGACCCGGTGCCATTCTCCGACAGATAGGCCTGCAGCATCTCCACCAGGGCCTCCTTGGACACCACCGCCATAGCTCTCCCTGTGCCAAGGTGAGTAATTCTTCTTGCCCGGTGAGCAGGTAATTGAAAAGTCAATAAAAGTTTTCCTTTGTCTTTTTTTTTTTTTTTTAACTCTCAGAAGGTGTAGGAAGAAGGAAGGAGATTAACGAAAAGGGCGGGAAAGCTCCTTTTAGATCTCTTCCTACCTACTGAGTGACCAGGGCCCACCCCCAGATTCCCTTATGTACTAGGTCCCTTATTGCTACATATGTATCCCTTTATGTCCATCCCCCCTCCCTGGGCAGCAGTCATGTCTTTCCCTTCCTTATTCAGTCCAGGGAAACCTTTCTTGCCAGCCACGCTGTGGAGTACTTGGACGCGTGTGATGGAGCATTGTCCTGCATGAAAATCATGTTTTTCTTGAAGGATGCAGACTTCTTCCTGTACCACTGCTTGAAGAAGGTGTCTTCCAGGAACTGGCAGTAGGACTGGGAGTTGAGCTTGACTCCATCCTCAACCCGAAAAGGCCCCACAAGCTCATCTTTGATGATACCAGCCCAAACCAGTACTCCACCTCCACCTTGCTGGCGTCTGAGTCGGACTGGAGCTCTCTGCCCTTTACCAATCCAGCCACGGGCCCATCCATCTGGCCCATCAAGACTCACTCTCATTTCATCAGTCCATAAAACCTTAGAAAAATCAGTCTTGAGATATTTCTTGGCCCAGTCTTGACGTTTCAGCTTGTGTGTCTTGTTCAGTGGTGGTCGTCTTTCAGCCTTTCTTACCTTGGCCATGTCTCTGAGTATTGCACACCTTGTGCTTTTGGGCACTCCAGTGATGTTGCAGCTCTGAAATATGGCCAAACTGGTGGCAAGTGACATCGTGGCAGCTGCACGCTTGACTTTTCTCAGTTCACGGGCGGTGTTATTTTGCGCTTGGTTTTACACGCTTTTGGCGTAATTTTTTTGCTGACTATTTTGAATGAAACGCCATTTGCGCCTGGCGATCACGCTTGTGAAGCTTTTGGTGTACTTAAGAAAGTGCTGCACTCTCTGCAAGATATCTACTGGTTTTTTGACTTTTTCTGAGCTCGTCAAGTTCTTTCTTTGGACCTATTTTGCTAAAGGGAAAGGAAAGGAAGTTGCCTAATAATTATGCACACCTGATATAGGGTGTTGATGTCATTAGACCACACCCCTTCTCATTACAGAGATGCACATCACCTAATATGCTTAATTGGTGGTAGGCTTTCGAGCCTATACAGCTTGGAGTAAGACAACATGCATAAAGAGGATGATGTGGTCAAAATACTCATTTGCCTAATAATTCTGCACTCCCTGTATTGAAAAGTTGAATAGTTTTGTTGTCATTACAAAAGAAAGAAAAAAAAACTGAATATTGAAGGATATAATTGATATGTATGTGAACAGGTTGTTAATCCGAGGAGAAATCTGATTGCCATTATAAAGTCAAAAAGGATTTTTTATATAGTTGTTATTTGTGGCATAATTGGAAATGGCTACATTTGTTTTGGGGATTTTGGGGGCTTTTTTTGGATTAACAGCATAAAAGAGTTGTGAAGAGTGAGTAACCTTATACAGGATACAGTCCAAATAAACAAAAATATAATCTATCATATAACCTTTATTATATCTAATTAAAACTAATCAATATATCTGCAACACTTTTAAATAGCACAGATTATGGGCACTATGTGATGATGTCATATCCTGACATCTCCACACATTGGATGCGTCTCCTACACACCTTTAACCCCTTAAGACCGCAGGACGTTCTATGCTGACCTTATTTAGATGGCTTTAAACGCCGCTGGGCGGCATAGAACGCCCTGCGATCTTTTGTACTTACCTGGGAGCCCAGGGAGTCCCCCTCCGTACTCTTCGCCCCCCCTGGGCCATGGACCTCGCGATCACATGGACGGCATAGCCATCTATAGCAATGCCAGCAGGGGGAGTGCCTGTAATGACAGGTACTCCCCCTGCTGCCTGAAATAAAAAATTAAAAAGTTTAAAACAGTGTAAAATTAAATAATATATACTATATAATATATGATCTAAGTATATATATATATACACATATACACACATGCACATAAATACACATACACTGTCTACGTGTATTTTAATATTAATATATACATAATTATATATATATATATACATATATATATATATATATATATATATTAATATCAAAATACATGTACAATGATATTAATTAAATATATATATATAATTTTCATTACACCATAAAACCTGTACATGGGGGATACTGTTTTACTCAGAAGACTTCGCTGAACACAAATATTAGTGTTTCAAAACAGTAAAATGAATTACAACGACGATATCATCAGTGACAGTGACATTTTTTGCATTTTTCACACACAAATGGCACTTACACTGAGATATAATTGTTGTGATACTGTTTTGAAACACTAATATTTCTGTTCAGCGAAGTCTCCCGAGTATAAAAGTACCCCTCATGTACAGGTTTTATGGTGTTTTCAAAAGTAACAGAGTCAAATATAAAGCTTGCATTTCCGTTTTTTCACATTAAAATTTGTGAGGTTGCCTTTGAGACTGTACGGTAGCCCAGGAATGAAAATTACCCCCATGATGGCATACCATTTGCAATAGTAGACAACCCAGGGTATTGCAAATGGGGTATGTTCAGTCTTTTTTAGTAGCAAACACTGGCCAAAATTTGCGTTCAAATTAGTTTTTTGCATTTTCAAATATTAACACTAACTTTGGCCAGTTTTTGTGACCAAGTGGCTAGTAAAAAAGACTGGAAATACTCCATTTGCAATACCTTGGGTTGTCTACTTTTGCAAATGGTATGCCATCATGGGGGTAATTCTTATTCCTGGGCTACCATATGGTTTCAAAGGCAATGTAACCAATCTGGCGAATTTCAATGTGAAAAAAATGAAATATGTAACACGCTATATTTGACCCTGTAACTTCCCAAAACACCATAAAACCTGTACATAGGGGTACTGTTTTACACATGAGACATCGCTGAATACAAATATGTGTATGTTACTGCAGTAAAAGCAAACAGTATTATAACATTTACAGTTAAATTCCTGCATATCCTTGGTGGGGATTATACCACCTAAGCTGTTTATACTGGAGCAAGTTATATGCTCTAGAAAGTGTAAGTACAATACTTTTTATTATTGAATATACTATTAGTACTTACTTCACCATATTGCTACTATCTCTTCTTATATCTACTATGCACATTGCACCTTGAGAACATCCGTGGCAACTACTACGAATCCTAAGGCGGGGATTGTACCGTCCAGGCGCTTCACAGTAGAGCTCTGTTTTAGCTCATTCAAATGTGAGTGGACTGTACATAGCTATAATTGTTTATATTTAAAATTTAAAATTTAATCTACTGTATTGCACTATTATTTTTTATCTTAATTTTTTTCCGAGGCTACGACTGATTGGAATATTCAAGGATATATGTATGTATTTTTTGCATATATAAATTACTAGGCGCGGTATACGCCTTCTTTTCTTTCTATTATTCACTCACAAGGTTGGGGAATCCTTGTTCTGTATACTGCTGCCTGATCACTATAGTGAGCGCCTATTATTTTCTCTTTCTATTTGAAATGTCACATAGAACTAAAAATGTTTTTAAAATTCTTATTTTCTCCAATTTTTTAATATTTTTTTCATATTAAATTATGTTCCACACCTAAATATTTGCTGTTAAATGAAAGCCCTTTTTCCCCTGAATAATATGATATATAATAAGTGTGGATGCATTTAATATGAATGAGGTGAATTACGGTTGGACAGACATACAGCTCAAATGCCAGGTTTTGTTTACGTTTTGTTTTGATCACAACTTGTACATTTGGCCGCGGTCTTAAGGGGCCCCTTAACCCCTTAACCCTTGCCGTTACGGCGTTCTATGCCGTCGCAGCTTTAAAGGGCTTTAAAGCCGTTGCGGTGGCATAGAACGCCATAATGGCTTAAGCCCAGAGGAGGTAAGATTTACTTACCTCCGCCACGATCCTCTTCGGGAGGGCTGCATGACAGCCCAGGCAGCCCTCCCCCGGCAAATGAGGCCCCCGGGGGCCATGTGATCACTCTCAAAGAGCGAACACATGGCCCCCTATAGCTGGCTGTGGATCTGCCAGCAGGGGGACTGAAATGTCAGACAGTCCCCCTGCTGGTGGAAAGTGTAAAAAAAATATTAAACATGTAATAAATTAAATGTATTTATATATATATAGAATACATAGTGTATTTTAATACTAATATTAGTATATATATTAATATTAAAATACACTTAGAATGACGTACATATATATAATATGTATATATATTATATATATAATAGATTTATACACATATATTATTATTATTATTATGATATTTATAGAGCGCCGTCAAATTCGCTTTACAATGGGTGGACGAACAGACATGTATTTGTAACCAGACAAGTTGGACACACAGGAACAGAGGGGATGAGGGCCCTGCTCAATGAGCTTACATGCTAGACGGAGTGGGGTAAAATTACACAGAAAGGTAAGTATAGTATTAGACTAATGACAGTTGCAGAAGAGGAATCAGTCAGGAGCTATTAATAGTTTAATTGATACGCTTTTATGAAGAAGTGGGTTTTTAACGATTTTTTTGAAGGAGTGGAGACTGGGTGAGCATCTAACGGAGGAGGGAAGCGAGTTCCACAGGAACGGTGCAGCCCTCGAGAAATCTTGAAGGCGAGCATCAGAGGTGGGAGCACGGACAGAAGATAGACGTAAGTCTTCAGCAGATCGTAAGGGCCTAGACGGGACATACTTGTGTATAAGGGAGGATAGATAGGTGGGAGCAGCATTATGTAGAGATTTGAAAGCAAGAACCAGAATTTGAAATTGAGCTCTATATTTTATAGGAAGCCAATGTAGGGACTGACAGAAGGGTGAGGCATGGGAGGTGCGGGCGGACAGGAAGATGAGCCTCGTCGCAGCATTCATTATGGACTGTAACGGCGCTAGTTGGGAGCACGTAAGACCACAACAAGAGGACATAGTCTTAAATTAGAGGGACAAAGGTTTAAAAATAATATCAGGAAGTATTACTTTACTGAGAGGGTAGTGGATGCATGGAATAACCTTCCAGCTGAAGTGGTAGAGGTTAACACAGTAAAGGAGTTTAAGCATGCATGGGATAGGCATAAGGCTATCCCAACTATAAGATAAGGCTAGGGACTAATGAAAGTATTTAGAAAATTGGGCAGACTAGATGGGCCGAATGGTTCTTATCTGCCGTCACATTCTATGTTTCTATGTTTCTATGTTTCACTGAGAAGCCGATTACAGTAGTCAAGGCGAGAAAGGACAGTGGAATGGACCAACACCCTAGTCGCATCTGGCGTTAAGTAGGGGCGGATGCGCGCAATGTTTTTGGATGGAAATAGATTGAACATAAGGCTTGAAGGAGAGGTCGGAGTCAAAGAGAACACATAGGCAGTGAGCCTGCGTGGTGGAGCTGATGGTAGCACCGTTGACTTGGATAGGACACTCATAGGTGTAACAACACTTAAGGGAGGAAAGACCAGAATTTCAGTTTTGGCCAAATTTAGTTTAAGGAAGTGGGAAGCCATCCAGTTAGAAACAGCAGAGAGCCAGTCAGAGACACTAGTCAAGAGGGACGGGGAGAGTTTAGGAGAGGACAGGTAGATTTGCGTGTCATCTGCATAGAAATGATATTGGAAGCCAAAGGAGCTAATGAGTTTACCAAGGGAGGCATTATAGATGGAGAACAGTAGGGGACCAAGGACTGAACCTTGGGGGACACCAACAGAGAGGAGTTGGGGAGAAGAAGCAGAGCCAGAGAAAGAAACACTGAAAGAGCGCTGGGAGAGGTAGGAGGAGCACCAGGAGTGAGCAGTATCTTGTAGACCAATATTGCGGAGGATGAGAAGAAGCTGTTGATGATCAACAGTGTCAAAAGCCGCAGACAGGTCAAGGAAAATTAGGATAGAGTAGTGACCACGAGATTTTGCAGTGAGTAGATCATTGGATACTTTGGTCAGTGCCGTTTCCACAGAGTGCTTAGTGCGGAAACCAGACTGAAGCGGGTCTAGCAGAGAGTTGGACTCGAGGAAGTCTGTCAATCTCGCATACACAATTTTTCAAGGATCTTGGATGCAAAAGGCAGTAGCGAGATAGGACGATAATTGGATGGGGAGTTAGGGTCAAGATTGGGCTTCTTTAGAATTGGGGTTACAGTTGCATGTTTGAAGGGCAATGGAAATATACCAGAGGAGAGAGAGAGATTGAGAATTTTAGTGAGATGTGGAGAAAGAGAAGAAGACAGAGTACGGATGAGGTGCGAGGGAATTGGGTCTAGGGAGCAGGTGGTGGGGCGGGAGGACCGGAGCAGAGCAGAAACCTCTTCCAATGTAGCGGGTGCGAATGAACATAGAACAGCAGAGGGAGTGAAGTTAGGGGAAGTATTGTAAGGGGAAGAAGAAAGATGAGATATCTCTTCTCTGATTGTAGAGATCTTGTCAGTGAAGTGAGTTGCAAAGTCTGAGGCGGTCAAGTTAGTAGGTGGAGGAGGAACAGCAGGGCGAAGAAGAGAGTTAAATGTGTGAAATAGTTGTTTGGGTTCGCGGGAGAGTGTGGTTATGAGTGTATTGAAGTAATTAACTTTTGCAGAGGAAAGAACCAAGCTGTATGAGCTCAGTATAAATTTATAGTGGAGAAAGTCAGAGGCACAGTGAGACTTTCTCCAACAGCGTTCAGCAGTTATGGAGCATTTTTGGAGGTATCGAGTGAGTTTGGTGTGCCAGGGTTGTTGTTGGGGGGGCCTGCGGCGTTTAAATGTACAAGGTGCCATGATGTCTAGTTGAGAGGAGAGGGTGGAATTGTAGAAGGAGGTTGCAGAACTAGGACAGGTGAGGTTTGAGAAAGGTAAAAGGAGAGTTTGGAGATTAGTGGAGAAATGCTCTAGGTCAAGACATTGGAGTTTTCTGTGAGAGTGATGTTCAGATGGTGGTGTCAATTGGGTCTTGGGTATGCCAATGTCAAAAGTCAGCAGATGGTGGTCAGATAGAGGAAAGGGAATATTGGAGAGATTAGAGGCAGTACAGAGGTTGGTGAAGGCAAGATCAAGAGTGTTTCCTGCTGTATGGGTTGCTAGATTGGACCATTGGGTAAGGCCAAAGGAGGAGGTTACAGAAAGCAGACGAGAGGCATCAGTGCAATTGGGGTTATTAATTGGGATATTGAAATCCCCAAGTATAAGGGAAGGAGTGCTAGATGAAAGGAAGTGGGGAAGCCAGGAAGAAAAGTGCTCAATGAATAGTCTAGGATAACCAGGGGGGGGGGCGGTAGATGATAGCAATTCTTAAAGGAGTGGGTTTAAATAGGCGGACAGTGTGAACTTCAAAAGAAGAAAAGGATAGGGCAGGGGGAGTTATGATTGGTTGAAAGGTACATTGAGGGGAGAGAATGATGCCTACGCCGCCTCCTTTACAGTTGAGTCTGGGAGTGTGAGAGAATTGTAGCCCACCAAAACATAAAGAGGCAGGAGTAGCGCTATCAGAGGGGGACAGCCAGATCTCTGTAAGTGCAAGCAGTGTGAGTGAGTTTGAGATAAAAAAAAGTTGTGTATGGTTGTTGATTTTAAATTATTGCAGATGGAGCGGGCATTCCAGAGTGCACAATTAATTTTGGTAAGTGAGGGTAAAGGGCAGGGTATTGTATTTTATATATATATATATATATATATATATATATATATATATATATATATATATATATATATATATATATAAACGTATAATTACAATAATAAATTATTAAATAATAAAATACATAAATAAAATATTGAAACAAAATTTAATATAAATTATATATTCATATGTAATTTCATTCTAACTATATTTTGTTATTAATATATATATATATATATATATATATATATATATATATATATATATATATATATATATATATATTGGTAACAAAATACACTTAGAATTACATTCTATATATATATATATATATATCTATCTATATATAATACAAATAACCGCAAATATATATATAGATAAATACATATAATTACATAAAAGATTACATTAGTATACACGTAGAATTTAAATACCTATAAATGTATATATATTAAAATTCTATGTGTATATTTAAGTAATCTTTTAACATAATTATGTGATTTGATTAATTAAAATTTGATTTGAGAAAGTGCAGAGAATATAATTCGCAAGCACTATATTTGACCCTGTAACTCTCCAAGACACCATAAAACCTGTACATAGGGGGTACTGTTTTACTCGGGAGACTTCACTGAACTCAAATATTAGTGTTTCAAACTGGTAAATTGTATTACAACGATGATATTTTAAGTAAAATTAAAAATTTTTTCATTTTGTACAAACGAACGGCACTTTTATGGACTATATTATTGTTGTAATATGTTTTGCTGTTTTAAAACACTAATATTTGTGTTAAGTGAAGTCTCCCGAGAATAACAGTACCCCCCATGTACAGGTTTTATGGTGTTTTGGAAAGTTAGAGAGTCACATATAAGGCTTGCATTTCATTTTTTTTACATTGAAATTTGCCAGATTGGTTATGTTGCCTTTGAGAGCGTATGGTAGCCCAGGAATGAGAAATACCCCCATGATGGCATACCATTTTCAAAAGTAGACAACCCGAAGTATTGCAAGTGGGGTATGTCCAGTCTTTCTTAGTAGCCACTTAGTCACAAACACTGGCCAAATATTAGTTTTTTGCTTTTTTCATACAAAAATAAATATGAATGCTAACTTTGGCCAGTGTTTGTGACTAAGTGGCTACTACAAAAGACTAAACATACCCCACTTTCAATACCTTGGCTTGTCTACTTTTTTAAATGGTATGCCATTATGGGTGTAATTCTCATTCCTGGGCTACCACACCGTCTCAAAGGTAACATTACTAATCTGGCAAATTTCAATTTGAATATGGAACGTTCTATATTTGACCCTGTAACTTTCCAAAACACCATAAAACCTGTTAATTGGGGGTACTGTTGTTCTCGTGAGACATCGCTGATTACAAATATGTGCAATGTGTTGCAGTAAAACCTAACAGTATTATGACATTTACAGCTAAAATGTGAGGCGGAACTATACATTTTTAAAAAATTTTTAACATTTCTCACAGTTTTTTACATTTTATTCATAATAAATTATGTTTCATAGCTGAATATTTATTAAATTAAGGCCCTGTTTCTCCTGAACAAAATGATATATAATAAGTGTGGGTGCATTTAATATGAAAAAGGTGAATAACGGTTGAACAGACATATAGCGCAAATTCCAGGTTTTGTTTACGTTTTGTTTTGATCAGAACGTGCACTATTGACTCCGTCCTGAAGGGGTTTGGACTGAGCCAAATGTACACGTTGTGAACAAAACAAAACGTAAACAAAACGTGGCATTTGCGCTATATGTCTGTGCAACCGTTATTCACCTTTTTCATATTAAATGCACCCACACTTATTAAATATCATTTTATTCAGGGGAAACAGGGCTTTTATTTAAACATTTAACTATGAAACATAATTTAATGTGAAAAAAATATTTTAAAAATGGGAGAAAATTAGATTTTTTTAGTTCTATGTGACATTTTAACTGTGAACGTCATAATACTGTTTACTCCAATGAAATACACACATTTTTATTCAGTGATGTCTCAAGTTACAGAGTCAAATATAGCATGTTACATTTTTCAGTTTTTTCATATTGAAATTCGCCAGATTGATTACGTTGCCTTTGAGACCATATGGTAGCCCAGGAATGAGAATTATCCCCATGATGGCATACCATTTGCAATAGTAGACAACCCAATGTATTGCAAATCGGGTATGTCCAGTCTTTTTTAGTAGCCACTTGGTCACAAACACTAGCCAAAGTTAGCGTTAATATTTGTTTGTGAAAAATGCAAAAAAACTAATTTGAACGCCAATTTTGGCCAGTGTTTGTGACTACTAAAAAAGACTGGACATACCCCATTTGCAATACCTTGGATTGTCTACTATTGCAAATAGCATGCCATCATGGGGGTAATTTTTATTCCTGGACTACCATACGGTCTCAAAGGCAACAGAACCAATCTGGCAAATTTAATGTAAAAAAAATGAAACGCATGCCTTATATTGACTCTGTAACTTTTGAAAACACCCTAAAATCTGTACATGAGGGGTACTGTTATACTCGGGAGACTTCACTGAACACAAATATTTGTGTTTCAAAACAGTAAAAAGTATCACAGCAATAATATTGTCAGTGTAAGTGTAAGTACATTTTACTGTTTTGATACACTAATTTTTGTGTTCAGCGAAGTCTCCTGAGTAGAACAGTACCCCCCATGTACAGGTTTTATGGTGTCTTGGAAAGTTATAGGGTTAAATATAGTGCTACCAAATTAAATTCCTGGACTTTCGGCCTGGGTGTCAGGCAGGTCCCGAAAATTGTAATTAATAAAATGACCTAAGTATGTAAAAATATTATATAAACATATACGAAGAATTAATATATATATATATAATTTTTAAAATTATTTTTATTTATATATAAGTATATATAGTGATATATAAGTATATACTTATGTATATATATATATATATATATATATTATTTCGTTCTGCGTGTATTTTGATATCTATATATATATATATATTAATATCAAAATACAGTTAGAACGTAATTACATTTGTTTTTTAAAACTATTCAGTTTTTTATATTATATATAAATATATATATAATTATATATATACATATATTTAATCAATATCATTGTACGTGTATTTTGATACTTATATATATAATTATATTTATATTAATATTAAAATATACTTATACAATGGATGACCTCGTGATCACAAGGCCCAGGAGGGCCGGAATGGAAGCAGGGGGACTCCCTGGGATGCCAGGTGAGTCCCCCCACCATGATTGCCAGTGTGTGGATCACTGGCGACCGGGTAAGTGAATAGGACGGCAGGGACATTCTATTCCGCCCTCTGGTGTTTAGGACCGAGTCCCCAAGGACGGCATAGTAGGGGGTGCGAAGTTTATCTCACATTGCTATTTACAGCCTGGCCATTTTTATTACACACTACCTTAATGATAGAACTTCATCAAGAGCAGGACCTTATAAGAAAATAATCCATATGTTAATTGCCAATAAAAGGGACTGGATTCCAATTTAAAACTTTCACATTATTAAACATATATTCAGCCTTACCCTCCAATTTACCAAGTCAACAGACATTCATATCTAGCGTTCAAAGGTTCAAATGAAATATTAAGTAATTCAATGCTGTTCTGCAATACAAATATAAATGACACCAAGAACATAGTTCAAACCAAATCACATGACATGTGCACAGTCGTTATTCGGCATGTGCTAAAACCTTAATAAAATAACTCTGTGACACCATTTCTGTTGGAGTATAAAGTCCACAGCTTTATTAAAAATTTTAATTCAACAATTTAACAATTTAGGGTCATTGTCACAAGTATTAATTATGTCCGACCTTCTTGCCCAATACCCCCGACAATGACCCTACCAAATAACATAATAAAACATTCCAATAATACATAACGTTTAACCCATGGCCTACCAAAGAGGCCCCATAACCATATGTTTAACTGTAGGGGTGTACCCAGACACCCCTACACCCCCAGATTCGTAGCCACCAACGAGCTAGAACCTACAAACCATTTTCCACTTCGGCATAGTCCAGCCTAGACCTTGGCCTGCCCACTTCCTATTCCACCTAAATCCTCTTTAACCCAGGCCCTATTCCCGCCGTTGTGACCAAACGGGAAACTACCTACCAAACAAGACAACCGAACACAAAGGGAGGATGGGAGGGACAAGTATCAAGTAAGTGTGATTTTGATTAAAAAGGCCAGTTCACCAAATTGGCTGTTATTTAAACCCTTATTCTCCTCCCCCCCCTGTCCAGACATTACTTTTCCACACTCCTTGACCTTAACTTCACCTGCCAACTCTCTGGCCCTGTCAAGGCCCACTCCCCTCCTGTGTTGCTCCATGGGCTTCAAGCGTGTTCTTGTCAATATGGATCTAGGACTTGTAGGAACATTTCTTCTGATCGTCTGTATCACGGTTCTGTTGTATTTAAATTCGTGGAGAAGCCACATCAAGAAGGGAAATCTGCCCCCTGGACCTACAGCTCTGCCCCTGTTGGGAAATATTCTCCAAATTAGCACTAAGGAATTGCCCCAGTCCCTGCTTCAGGTGAGTTTTATTTCACTAAAAAATATTGCGAGGTCCATCAAAACAACAATTAATTTCTCTTACAGGCTGTTTAAAAAGGATTTTCTGAATTGATGGTTGCTTAAAGGGAAACTGTTATTAAATAGGTATTTATGAAAACAATTGTGAAAAGTAAAATGTAGAAATGTACACCTCTTTATCCTGCAACTGGGCACCTCCACCTTCATTGCCTGTCAAGCATTGTTATCATGTCTTTACACCTGGCAGTCAGCGGAGAGAAGGCTTTGCCTTGTCTCAACTGGATCATGATCATTGCTAAAACTTTAAAATATATTTAAAATGTATTCAATTGTGTAATTGACAGACAAGTGACAGTTCCCCTTTAATTTATCTGGGATTGCTGAATATATAATAAGAAAGAGATTCCATATTAATCCTAATACAATTGATGAATGGAATGTTTAATCTTTTTTCTAAATATTTTTTTCCAATGCTCCCTATATTATTTAATATTTTGCAGTCTACCCATCTCCTTCACATGTTGGTGCATTTAAGTACCTAGAATCAATATTGCCAAGATCTGCATTTTTATTTCACAGACTGCGTTTAAATTGAATAGAGTGAGTTTAATTCTGTGAATTTAACATTTAGGCTTTATTTAATGTACACCTAGAAAATAAAACTATCCATTCATCCATCCACAAACCCACCCACCTACCCACCCACCCACCTACCCATCCATATCCACCCACCTATCTATCTATCTATCTCATATCAAAATTGCCCGTAACAGAATCTGAGTCTCTTGCTTTTTGGAATTGCGTAAAACAGTTCTTCAAAATAACAACTTACATAACGGTAACAGTAATTCATAACATCTGGGAAGACTGCTGGGTAATGCAAGTCTTGGTTTTCTTTGACATATTGCTTGACATATCACTAATGGGAGTGGGAAAAAAAGATAGAGAGACTGGAGCTGTGGGGTGTTACAACCTGTCAAGAACTGTGGCTGTAGCATGAAAGGAAGCATGTATGTATGTGACTGTAGTGTAGTGTGTTTGTGTGCGTGTGAGTCTTTGTCTATATATGTTTTTGTGTATCTGTTTGTGTTTCATTCCCTCACAAAGATCTATCTATCTATCTCTCTGAAGCTGAGTGAGAAATATGGACCCGTGTATACGATTTATCTGGCTAATAAACGAGTAGTCATACTTATTGGATATGAAACGGTGAAAGAGGCTCTCGTTGATCACAGTGATGCATTTAGCGACAGAGGTAGCACATACCTTTTTGATTTTATCTTCAAAAATTACGGTAAGAATCCAAGTATTATATTTTAATGGTCTGAAGTCCTACACCGCAATACTTTACAAAAAATAATCTAAACAAAATAGTTGCACATTGTTTCTCTATTAATATTTACATCAGCAATTTAATGCTGTTAATTCGTCTAACCCTATGTACATATATTGAATGTGGCAAAACATTTTACCACTACAACTTTCCCTGGCAGTGAATTACATATCTTGACTGATCTTACTATAAATAACAATGTTTGTTCTGACATGGAAGCCTCAATATGTATAAATAAACCTTAATTTAGTGAATAAATAAATAAATAAATACGTCCACTGTAAATTCATGGGAAATCCATCAGGAAAATTTTAAGGGCAGAATGGTAAGGGTCCGTGGCATTTTGAAGTGTATTTGGACCTTTTTAGAAGTCATTATGAGTAATGCAGAGAGGTAGGGAATGATGCATTGATTCTTCCTGATGGCTAGAATAATATTCTCCAAAGCTTTTAGTGTAATAACTATTTGCTAAAAATGGTGGCATCCAGTATATTTCTCGTTGTGGTTGTTTGTAGGAGTGATCATGAGCAATGGGGAAAGGTGGAAGGCAATGCGGAGATTCGCTCTCATGACACTGAGAAATTTTGGAATGGGGAAGAGAAGCGTTGAGGAGAGAATCCAAGAGGAAGCTCAGTATCTTTCTGAAGCCTTCAGGAAGTATAAAGGTCAGTAGAAGCTGCAAACCTATATTGGAAACATAATCTAAGCAAAATTCCTCCTACTCTCCATCTCTGGTCTTCCAGGATGGAGGAACTCAGAGCCACAGGACACATGACATTCAGTTTACAGAAAAAAATGACAACTTATACATAAGTCTGGTCTCACTGGATACTCACAATTTCAGATGATACCTTCAAATGCTTGCTAACTAATTTATTATTATTACTATTATTATATCATTATTATAAGTTTTATTTAGTATTATTTGTAAAGTGTCAGTTAATTACGAAGGGTTGCACAATAGATGATCAACAGATATGTATTTGCAACAAGATGGAAGTACAGGAACAGAGGGCATTGAGGGACCTGCTCAAATGAGTTTACATTCTAGAAGTGAAGGGTATGATGTATTTAATATACACTATACACTAATTTTGTTTCGGTTCGGAAATTCAGGTAAGTAACAAAATGTGTCTTCTTTGGCAATTCGGACCAATTGCATTCTGTTCGGTTCGGCACTTCAGAACTATGGCGCTTTGGAACTTCGGCACTTCAGACATTTGTAAGCATCCAATTTGCACATGTCTGTGGTCACATGAATACAAGCCAACACCCTGGAAGCCTAATTTATATACTATCCCACCTAAACGACTCTGTGTGCCAAGTGTCAGTGACAAAATCACCAATATTGTAAAGCACTACGAAATCTTTTGTCGCTATATAAATGGCAATAATAATAATAATAATTGGCTGTCCTCTTACATCAATCACAAATATTTTAAGATTCCTTTCATCATTTACGTAATTTTCCCGCCTTCTCTCTTGTTTTGCCACTTTTCAGAAATCTGAATCACTTCGGCACTTCGGAGCTTCGGAGTGTCCGAGTTTCGGCGTTTCGGAGCTTCGGCACTTCCGAACTACTGAACTTCGGAACTTTGGCACTTTGGACATTCGTAAACATGTGAATGTCCGAATGGCATGAAATTTGTGTGAATATACATTCGGAACGAAACGAATCGCACATGTCTAATGTACATGAAAAAGTTGGTTACTAAAATAGTTTACAGTGAAGGGTTAGGTTTTTGGATGGCACAGTGGCAGGATAGAAAGCAGGTTGGCTTACCAAGGCATGAGGAGGGAATACCATTCACAGTTTAATAGATTTGCTTTCCTGAAGAAGTGAGTTTTTAGTGATCTTTTGAAGGAACTGAGAACGGGTGAGAGTTTAACAGAGCAGGGAAGGGAGTTGCACAGGAACAGTGCAGCCCTAGAAATCACAATAGTCAAGTTAGTAAGGGGAATCTCTGTTGTTATGCCTTACATTCTCCAGGTTGCACCTTAGACCTCAATATACACCTATAAACAAGTTTCTTTTGTGTTTGTTGTAATACCTTTTCAGTTTTGACACTTGTTAGACTAAAAAAAACTTGTGATTTACAAAAAAATAAATAGTACTGGACATTTATATGATAATCAGCAATAACAAGAGCAATTATGTGGAGAGGAGGATATGACATTACTTAAATGGATTACTCTATGACAAGTCTCACACGATGTTACTCGCAATCAACTACTATATATTTTACTGTGGAATGTTGTAGAATTTGTTGCACTTTATACATCACATAATAAAATCTGCATAATGGAGGATGTGGTGATGTGTGGTGCATAGCATATAGTATATAACAGTATATATGTTATAGCCTTATTTTTATCCCAGGGAATTAATAGTATTTGATCATTGTTGGTGGGTGAGCATTTATTTTCCAAACATTCCATTCACACTTTTACAATCATTATATACTTATTTCCTTTAATAAAGTAGGCACTGCTCAGTCTATTTAATCTCTTGGAAATGTGTTCAATTTGCAGTAAAATTATATTATTCTTTGACGAACACAATTTTTGAGTATTTAACTTGTTCTTGCATGGAGTGTTCTGAGATATTGTTTTTTTTTTTAAAGATGATACATTTTATGTACTTGTATTCCAAGTATATCTTTTAACATTTCCTATAATTCTAATAACAGAGACTCCTTTAGATCCCATAACTCTCCTGGGACAAGCAGTGTCCAATGTGATTGTATCTATTGTATTTGGAGAAAGATATGACTACGAAGACAAGAAATTTCAGAAACTTTTGGCATATGTTAGAGATATCGGTAGACTGGTAAATTCTCCTTCTGGTCAGGTGAGTTTTGGCTGATAACATATGTGACTATCGGTGCATATTATGAAAATATTATTCAATTAATCTTGACAAATATACCCAAAAAGCACACTATAGTTATTAATTTGTTTTCCTTAGAGGAGTTCCATCTTTATTTATTATTAACCATCTGTTTTCTATTATAGCTGCTCAACATTTTTCCACATGTGGGGAGATGGATCCCTGGACCTCACCAGAACATTTTCACAATTCTGAATAAACTCAGAGGGTTTTTTAAAGATCAGGCACAATCTCACCGAAAGACTCTGGACACAAACTGCCCACGGGACTTCATAGACTGCTTTCTGATAAAGATGGACCAGGTAGGACACTGTAATATAAGAATTGTTCAGTTCTAAAAACATCTAGAATCTACAATTAGTATCTCTGAAAATGATTGGAAAAGAAGCTTTATCATAATTTTACATACTGTTCTAGGAGAAAAATAATCGCACTACTGAATTCCATGATGAGAATTTATTGTCTACCATAATGGATTTATTCTTTGCCGGCACTGAGACTTCAAGCTTAACACTAAGATATGGCTTCCTGATACTTCTTAAATATCCAGAGATACAAGGTATTATTACTATTATATGTTACCCTTTATAAAGGGGTACAGATAGTGCTCAGAGTAAACACTATTAGTTTGTTTAGATTATATTTCTCTTAATTAACTGCTAGGCCATAGTGTAAAGACATAAAAGGAAGACCCTGGGAGCACTAGACACCTAAGGTCAACAATTAGGACGTCCCTCGAACTGAAAAGTGAATGTATTAAAATGTAACTTTTATTGCTTTGTTAAAATTAAAAAATATGAAACTGATCAATAACAAACATATATCCAAAAATAATCGAAAAAACAAAAACAAAAGACTAGTAAAAGAAATACTATGATAGGCTAGAAAGGTGCGTGGGGCCAGACCTATACTTAGGAAGTGTCCAAATGGCTGGTGACTAATCTCCCAGGTGTCTCACGGGCAACACCTGTACAAAAGTCTGTAGCTCAATGAAATAATAGGTCAAAATAGGGAGGAAATAGCACAGGGATTTGCTGTAGTTCTAGTAAAAGATAAATGTGCTGTGTGAAAGGCGCTTAGAAAATGTGAATATAGTACAATACACAGTATATTAGTAGCAGCTTGCACACCAAAAGTAGGAACTCTTCAACCTACTTATAATCAAATGTATAGGAAAAAACACTATAGTGCAAATACATGCAGAAAACAGTGCAAAGGTGGAGCGCTAAAAAATAGAAACACACACTTACTCCTGCAACTTTCAGGAGGTTATGGAAATGATGGTAATGAGATCCTTTAAATTGCCATATTCAATGAGAGACCTCAGAATGGAGACAAAAATAGGAGAAATAGGGAAGCAAAGCTAACCCTAGTGCAGATATCCTTAATATAGTAGGTAATCAGGTGAGAAAAATAACAATTTACTTCTCACCTTGTCAGGAGCCTTTAACTGGGCTCCAAGTGTATAAGCACAGTGTCAATTATAGAGTGACACTTCCCTTCTTGATAGCAGCATAAATATATCACTAGTCAACTTGGTAACAGAAATAAACATTTATTGCAACTTATTAAAAACAAATAAAATCTGTATACTCAAGTGCCAGTGCTGTGTCCAAGACGCGTTTCGCCGATATACTGTTCGGCTTTCTCAATTGGTGGACATAATGCTGCTAAACCAAGGTTTAAATACCCATTAGTAGGGGGCTAATTGGAGGGGAACGTCCGTGATACATCCAATCACGGCGTTAGTCCCAGTGTGAAGCCCAGCTGCTTCCGATATCCCTGATACCATGACGTCATCACGCATGACGCCTCGTGCGCGTGACGTCACTTACGGAAGTGGGCTACGATCATGCACAATTACATACAATATCACATACAAAAGTTTATAATAAAACAATTTGGCGAATATCATAGGAAAGTCCTATTTAATTGAATCAATTTATCCAGTCATTGGTGATGTTAGGACCATTTTGCTTGGTGGGTATCCTCAATGATATTGCGGCCATCTTGCTTAAGGGCAAATCCATTCGGTATCCAAGTTCAGATCACTGATTGTCCAATATCCCAGAAATGTCCATAAATATAAATAGTTCTCCGAAATAAATATAAATAGTTCTCCAATGATCGTGGTATTATACTTACCAGTCACTATAGTAAAACTTCGGTTTAATTTTTGGACCTTAATAAATATGTGGAGGATGATATACTGAAATCTTGCACTTTCTTTAAAAGCGTGATGACGTCATGGTATCAGGGATATCGGAAGCAGCTGGGCTTCACACTGGGACTAACGCCGTGATTGGATGTATCACGGACGTTCCCCTCCAATTAGCCCCCTACTAATGGGTATTTAAACCTTGGTTTAGCATCATTATGTCCACCAATTGAGAAAGCCGAACAGTATATCGGCTGTAGTTCTCGTACCTCATTCTATATGTACTCTTTATTCAGCCCTTGGAGTTTCTGTGCAGGATGGATCAACATAGTATGACACCCTGAGGTGTGCTAAATAATAATGATATATTACAGTGTCCTACCTGGTCCATCTTTATCAGAAAGCAGTCTATGAAGTCCCACGGGCAGTTTGTGTCCAGTGTCTTTCGGTGAGATTGTGCCTGATCTTTAAAACACTCTTGGAGTTTATTGAGAATTGTGAAAATGTTCCGGTGAGGTCCAGGGATCCATCTTCCCACATGTGGTTTATAAGAAACAAAGATGGATTTCCTCTAAGGAATACAAATCAATAACTGTAGAGTGCTTTTTGGGTATATTTGTCAAAATTAATTGAATAATAATTTCATAATATGTACCGATAGTCACATATATTATCAGCCAAAACTCACCTGACCAGAAGGAGAATTTATCAGTCTAACGATATCTCTAACATATGCCAAAAGTTTTAGGGGTCTATAGAACTTTAGTGAGGGTTATCCCCTATAGGTTCGTCCCTGACACACAACCACTAGATCCCCCAAGGGGTTACTAGATCTCAGTTCAATAGGCCATAGTGTGACCCATGTCTTCTTTCTTTCAAGAGACATGTTCTATAGTTCTGACTGAGCAAACATTTGACAGAAATGGAAATGAAAATGTCTTGCTGATTGGACCGAGGCTTCCTGTTCACAGCATGGTAGATAGATTTAATTTTAAAGACTTTTATGAATTATACAGAGATGAAAAGATCAAATCACAAGCAAGCAGTAAGGAAAATACAACTGAAGAAGTGTGAGTTTTAAGAAACTTGCCATATACATGGTGATTCTGATAAAATAGCATAATATACATTATTCAAATAACTGCTTATTTAATAATTATTAACACATCCAGCAGCTTGACATTTCTGGATTATTTTTAGAATATAGAATATAGAGTTCTTTTACCATTAAATTATATCCATTATTTTTAAATCGAACAGCTTATCATCACTAACCCTGGTCAGTGTCATTAGGAAGGACCATGGCAGCAGTTGTGATTTAAAGAAGAGTATACTTTAATCCAAATTATAAATCTAGTTGCAGTCTTTTTGTTGTTGTTTTTTTTCCTATGGGTATGTTTTATATTTCTGTGATTACATTGTCTTTGGTCTATTTCATTCAGAAAGGATCCACAAAGAGATAGACCGTGTGATTGGCCATGATCGCTGTCCATCAGTAGAGGACCGTAGTGAGATGCCGTACACAGAGGCTGTGATCCACGAAATCCAAAGATTTGGCGATATTGTGCCTCTGGGAGTACCGCATGCAACCAGTAAAGACACGACCTTCAGAGGATATGACATTCCTAAGGTCACTGACTTTACGTAATATATAGAAAGTAATTAAAATTGGGAAATTTAGAGTAATTATTATTATTATTGCCTTTTATATAGCGCCAACTTATTCCTCAGTGCTTTATAATATTACAAGGATATAGAAGTGATATTAATAAAACAATTGTAAAATATTGTAGCCATATGTAAATGAGATGGGTAGATAACTAGATATTTAGACAGACAGAAAGGAAGAAAGATAGATAGATGGCCATAGATTCCCCATCACTTCTCAAGGAATGTACAGGGAATGTTGATCATCAAGTTTTTAGGACACTGATTTGATTTCGTTAAATGTTGGAAAATAATGAACACGCCATATGACTGCTATGTGTTTACAGATATATCTTTATATTTGAATTACAGGGTACTATGATTTTCCCTATACTGACTTCTGTCCTGAAGGACCCCAAGTACTTCAAAAACCCCAATTCATTTGACCCTGATAATTTTCTGGATGAAAACGGCTGCTTTAAAAAGAATGAAGCGTTCATACCATTTTCTGCAGGTAAATACAGTGTATCAAAGTAAATTCTACCGTGTGGACAGACATGTGTGAGTACGTTTGTGTTTATGTTTGGATAAGGCTGTAGGATACTTGAAAAGATTTAAGGTTTTTTGAATCTTTAAAATTGAAAGATTGTAATTAAAACATTTACTATGATATAATTATTTTTTAACAAGTTAGCCAAATGACATATCAGTCTTTCTACATTTTGTGTTAATATTTTGTTGAAGCTACATTCAGTGCATATCTTTCCATAATTCACCCTCCAGGTAAACGTGTGTGTGCAGGGGAGGGTTTGGCTCGTATGGAGATCTTTCTATTCCTCACCACCATCTTGCAGAAGTTCACCTTAAAGCCAACAGTGAACAAAAAGGACATTGAAATAACTCCAGAGCCAGGAAGCAGCGCTACAAGACCTCGCCTATACCAAATGTATGCTGTGCCTCGCTCACATCCCTAGATGGGCTAATTAATCATCAATATTATGATAACTTGATAAGAAACACACCATATTGAAAATATTCTACTTAAAATATTGAATGACCTTTTCCTTTTCTTTTTTGCTCTTTTGACAAGTTGAGTATGTTATTCCTTTGATTCTTGTCTTATTATTTCAGTCAGTAGCCCATGGCTCACAGTGAGCACCAGCTGTCATGTGAATATTTTAATGTGGACATCACATCACATCAGAAATCTAACACCTCCCCACATTCAAATGTGTTTTGTTGCCTTTGTAAAAATTTTAAAAACTTTGGTTTAATAACAACAGTAATTATGATTGTAAAATGACTTTATGGTGCATTCCACTCATACAGCTGTACAAATATTAAACTTATCTTCAGCAAAAAAAATGTTTCAATTGAACTACTTTGTCGAATTATTTTTTTTTTTTAGACTGGCTGAATTTTGGTCACATGAAGATTTGGCTAGTTCGAATTTAGGTAATGAAAAGGAGTCAATTATATATATATTTTTAAATTTATCAAAAATGTAGAATTTATAGTTCTAGAAATATAAACATATTTTTATTTTATATACTTGATCTGTGAATAAAGTTGATATTTAGTGACTGTTCCATCAATTATCATTTTTTACCACCAACTATCCCTTTTTTTTTCTTCATGTTTTCATGTATAATCTTTATTGATTTTCATAAAAAGGTAAAACCAAAGGGGGTACAGAACAAAGATAAGTAGGGGGATAATCGAGTAGATACGTTTCTAAAGCATACTACCATGTACCTATGTCTTAACCAATTTATGCAAATAATGTTCAATCGTATGCATTACCTTTGCAATAATACCATATGTGTAATAGTATGCATAACATAAATTATACGTATACAATCATGTATATACAAATACCTATATATGTCACACCAGCAACCACAGAGCCTCATCATCCTATTATGGGAACCATGTGGTGGTAACAATATGTAGAATCAACTATTTGGTAAAGTAGTCGAATTGCTTGGTGCTATGGTATAGGTATAGGATGCCTCGGTAATTGTTATAATTGTTATAATCTGTGCTCGATTTGTTGCCGTCTCTTTTATAAAGTGGTGGATTTACTTAGCGTATGACCTGTGTGCATCTCTCGATCAGAGGTATGTGAAGAGGAAAAGTAGAGAGAAGAAGTAGGAAGGGAGGGAGAAAAGAGGAAAGGGGAAAGGGGAAACCCTCATATGCTAGAAGAACGTGCAGTTAGGGTATATGAAGTTTATTTCGTTATTTTAGACCAGACTGGCATATTGTTTATGTGCGGTTTCCCAATTGCTCCATTGATCATGAAATTTGGTCAAATTTCCCTTTTTCGCCCATTCACTTTTGTGATGGTAAGTAGTGTTGACTCTACGAAGTATCTCTGGTACAGTGGGACAAATGTCACTTTTCCACTGAGCCACAATGCTTATTTTGGCTGCTAATAAGATATTGATAACTGCTTCTTTAGAAGGGATATGGTCTAAGTCAGGTATTAGATGAAGAAGATAACTAGCTGGGCTAAAATGGATTGGTGTCTGGCTTTGGTTTCTGGTATCCAGTACTCTTTTTACAATTCTTGTTTAGTTTTCTTGGTTTTTTGGTTTTCTATTCTATGTCTGGTTTTCTTTATGCTGGGATTTCTGGGTTCATTCCTGTATTCCGTCCCTGGAATTCCCAGTCTCTTGGATTCCTTTAAATGTTTGTTTTATGTTGCCACACCCGTTTGATTTCCATCATTCCTTTTGTTTCAGCTTGGACCTGCAGCAGTGTTTCAAGTCTCTGCCCTTTCTTGCAGGTAAGTGCTATTGTGGTTTAGTATGGTTCTTTTAGCGAACATTAGGCAGTTTTGTTTTCATGTTTGGTGCCTATCCTAGTCTTGCCTTGTTTCTGTACTGGATACATGTCTGCTGCAGAGCCTCCCTATTCAGCTCCTGGGAGGTCTGCTTAATTCCAAGCTTCAAGTTCCTGGGATCCACTGTAGCTGCATCAGGGACCTGGTATGTGGCCACACAAACTGGAAACTTTTAAGAATTGAACTGGGGAGGGTAATGGGTAGTGTTCTGTATAGATAAAGTATATGGGGTAATACCATCATTTTTATAGAATTTACTCTACCTATCCAAGATGTATTAAATTTGTCCCACGATTGCATCTAATTGGAGATTTTAGTGAGCACTGCTTCGTGGTTTTCCTTTATAGTTTGTGATTTAGATTGAGTTAGTTTGATGCCCAGATAACTAATAGAAGTTTTGCGCCAATCAAAGGAGTATTGTGACCTCAAGGTATCTTTGGTGTGAGGATCAAGGTTTAAGGGAAGTATCTGAGTTTTGCTGATATTGTTTTTGTAAAATGAAATACTACCATCTGAGACCAGGGTATCTAAAAGGAAGGGTATGGGTTAGCGAGTAAGAGTATAATATTGTCTGCAAATAGAGCAAGTTTTTTTTTTTCCCCTGCAGGAGTTGATAGGCCTGGGAGTAAAGGGTCATTGTTCTTATGAGTGGTTCTAGGCAAAGAATGAATATGAAAGGGGAAAGAGGACATCCCTGTCTCGTCCCGTTGGATATGTTGAAGCTCCTAGATATGAAGCCTGTGTTGAAAGCTTTTGCTGAGGGTGACAAGTATAGGGCCATTATGCCTATGATAAAAAGTTCTGAAAATTCAAAGGCTTTTAGTGTGGCTTCCATGTACGTCCAGTTAAGGTGATCAAAAGTCTTTTCTGCATCTAGGGCCATTAGTGCCCCAATTTAACCTTGATGGTTAGCCCAATCAATTAAGTCCATGCAGAATCTGGTGTTGTCCACTACCTGCTTACAACGATCCCTTTTTTTAGTGACATGAGGGAATTCCAAAACACAAATGAAAACACTCTCTTCCAGAAAGAGAGTCTAAAGAGTTTTGCTTCCCTTACAGCATAGTGTGTTTAGTTTAGAGTTTCCTATCTCCTGCTGATGATTGTCTGCAAGAGCCTAGAGCCAACTCCTGTTCATGATTAAAGTTTAAATAACAGAGCAGAATATATGTACTTCTAAAGTATACATACTGCTCTGTAAGATCTGATTTCAAATAAAACAATTTTCATGGAGGCTGTATGAATCACATCCAGGGGAGCCGTGGCTAGGAACGCATAAACAGAAACAAAAGTGATTTGACTCTTAATTGTCAGATAATTTAGATTGCAGGGCATGATTTATACACTTGCTTCATTAAGCTAAAGGTGTTTTGTTGTTCCTTTATTACTACTTAGATTATTGTACGCCTCCCAACATTCCCAATTTCACCAAGACAGTCATGCCCCACCATTCAGAAGTTATTCCCTGGTGTCTTGCTTTTAGGGACACAAGCGAATGTCCCCATAAAGTGAAGCGCAAGTGCATCATTCAATGAGAGAGCACCGTGCTCAGGGTACAAGGTCACTAATGTTGAAATAGTGCTCCCTGTAGGGTCCACCCTCAGTGTGCTGGCCTGTCTGATTGGCAGGAAGTCTGGCATTGGCATTGACAGTGGCTCACCTCCTTTTACATCAGCCATCAGTATCCTATTTCTCAGAACACTGATGTTGGGGGAGGGGGGTGTCATTGCAATAAACACATTCTATCTGACTCTGTACTTTCTATATTACGTTAGAGGTCTATCATTCCTCCTTTATCCAATCTATACCTTTATCATGGTCGGGCGTAAGGCTCATACTAGATGTTATCTCCGTCACTTGCAATGGCTGATATGATATGGAGCATTGCAGCTGATTTGCTTTTGTCTCCATGCAGCTTATAAAATCTGTGAAAAGTTCCAAATAAATCCTCTGGATCTGTGTTACGTTATTCTGTCTGGGCCATGTGTCCCCTGCCTTGGCTATAGAGCACTCACAAAAGAGCTCAGGAGGAAATATCAATAAGAGATATCAATAATAAATAACAACAATAAATAATGAACTAGTAAGTAAGGCACATTGAGTAGGACCTTTCAGTGGGATGTAAAGATCATTAGGTATTTTCATTACCTGAAGTCCCTTAAAGTCATAGTAGAGTAGGTAAGATATCTCTTAAAACTTAACTTTTATTATGTAAAAAATAGAAAAACAAGATTGAACTTAATAAACCGAAATGAGTGAAAAAGGGATAAAAGATGTGAATATAAAGGGCTCAATATGAATAGTCAGCAAGTATATCAATATCTATGTGGATGTACCAGAAGTAGTTTGTGTAATGTAATCGCCTCTACGAGCCATAGTTGATTGCTAATTAGTAACAATGTTAACCAAGTGAGACTCCAACATAATGTGTCACCACGAAAGTCCTGGGGAAAGAGCACATGAGTATTGACGATAGTCCAAATCAGAGACATTGTTGCAATAAACATTCTACAAAAACAAACTTGTTAGAAAAGACACATAGTTGCTACAAATCACTCAAAACAAAAGCGTGTTGAGATGAAAATAGCGGAGTACAGCCTAAGCGTTCAAAGGCATAAAATGCCAACAAGTTAAAAAAACAAAAAACTGTATTTATTTAGGTTGTATTTATTAAAATCTTGTTTTTCTATTTTTTACGTAATAAAAGTTAAGTTTTAAGAGATTCCTTACCTACTCTACTAGGACAGACTATTCTCTTTTTATAAATATTTTAATTTCCCTTTCTCCACAGTCCCTGGTTTGTGAATAACCCTGAGACGTTTTTTCATTTAACACCATATTGTATTTAGTGCATTAAAAAACGAATTGCAAAGTTTAGGCTGACGTGGCCAAGCTGTGACTAACGAATTAAAGATTTTACTTTGCATTTATTTTTTGTCCTCTATTTTTGCCTAAATGTTTTCAATTGTTTTGTAATCACAGAAATTCTGTATTTTGTAAAAAACTGCAACATGTTTTTTATTTACCTGGGATCAATGTTTCTTTTCATAATTCGGGTCTATAAAAACGCTAAATGCTTGTAATTACAATTTACTTCTTCAATCAAAGTTATCATGTTAGCACTTGGTTTTGTATCTGTTCTTTCTAAACTTGTAACTCCTACCCCAGAAAACGATATTATCATTTGTGTCTGAGTATTACTAAGCATGTTTTGAGATAAGTATAGTATTCAGTGGTGTATTTTGGATTTGTGCTGCCCTAGGCACAACTAAATTCGGGCACCCCCAAAATCTAAATTTGCCCCCCCAATTCGTGTCAAGGCCACTTTTTGGACTGACAGACACATGCCCTCATTGATACATGCACTGATATACACTCATTGACACATACACAGTCATTGGCACATACATAAAGTCATTGGGACACACTGTTTAACCAACACACACTTTCACTGACAGACACACACTCACAGGCACACCCATTCTCACTGAAAAACACACACTTTCACTCACAGACACACACTGACAGCTACACTCACTCACTCACTCACAGTAAGGTGGACAACCCCAGAACATGAGGCAAACAAGGTATTTGGGAGCTTGGGGTGACGTTTTTTGGCTCCCCCCCAAAAGTGCCGCCCTAGGCAAATGCCTTGTTTGCCTTGTGGTAAATACATCCCTGATAGTATTGCAGAACTTCATGTAACCATTTACATGCCCCAGCAATGAACTCAGATGCACCTGGCAAACCTTTTTCACTGCTATTAGTTGACGCTGGAATGCTGCCCATATAGGTACGTAGGTTGTTTGGACTCAGAAAGCCATTTGACAGGGAAACATTCTCCTGTTATTGTCATCATGTCCCTGGGACTCGCAGCTACATTTCTTCTGGTCTCCTTTGTCACCCTCCTGCTGTACCTAAAATCATGGAAAGGAGGGAAAAAGCTGGAAAACCTGCCCCCAGGACCCACGTCTCTGCCCCTGCTGGGGAATATTATGCAGATTAGCACCACAGAATTGCCCCAATCCCTGGTTAAGGTGAAAAAATAATTGTTCTTTAATAATTTGTTGAAAGGGTATTTAACCATTTGAAGAGATTAGAAGCGGCCTCATGATATAAATTATCTATTAAATATATACATTATCTCTTCTTACTGTCCAGTTTGGAAATAAATCTGTAATGATCTCAAATTCGGATTCCTTGTAGTTCTGTCCTTTGTTCGTTTCACACAGTGTATTGAAAAGTTGAATAGTTTTGTTGTCATTACAAAAGAAAGAAAAAAAAAAAACCCGGAATATTGAAGGATATAATTGAAATGTATGTGAACAGGTTGTTAATCCGAGGAGAAATCTGATTGCCATTATAAAGTCAAAAAGGATTTTTTATATATTTGTTATTTGTGGCATAATTGGAAATGGCTACATTTGTTTTGGGGATTTGGGGGGCTTTTTTTGGATTAACAGCATAAAAGAATGGTGAAGAGTGAGTAACCTTATACGGGATACAGTCCAAATAAACAAAAATATAATCTATAATATAACCTTTATTATATCTAATTAAAACTATTCAATATATCTGCAACACTTTTAAATAGTAGAAATATATATATATATTTATATCTAATTAAAAAGGATCAATATATCCACTAAACTTTTGGAAAATGGAATATATATATATAAAAAACTGAAAACAGAAATTAAGCAATGATAGCTATATAAAGAAATGGTTTCTATAATAGCTATGGTAAAACAAAAATAGTATTCCTCTTAGGGAAAAGATACTGTTACAAAAAAACAAAAATATCTTAAATCTCAAAGGAACACATACAGTATGTATCATATAATTGACCTCTGATATAATGTGAATATCATTAGGGATGTGCATGGGCAAAACATTTGGTTCGATTCGGTTTGGAAATTCGGGTAAGAAAAAAAATTCGGCACTTCGGCAATTCGGCACTATGGCAAATTTGGTGCGGTTCGGCACTTTCAAAATCTGGGACTTCAGCAATTCTGGACTTCAGCAATTCAGAACTTCAGCATTTCGGGACTTTGGAACATCTGTAGGGCTTCCTAACCCTACCCCTTACCCTAACCCTACCCCTACCCCTTACCCTACCCCTACCCCTTACCCTAACCCTTACCCTAACCCTACCCCTACCCCTGTCATCATCCATGTAATGTTCCCTCCCTCTCTTGTTTTGCCACTTTCAAAAATCCAAAGCACTTCGGCATGTCTGAAATTCGTCACTTTGGCAATATGGCACTTCAGCAATTTCGGTTCGGAAGCATCCGAATGTCCGAATTGCCCAAAATTCGTCTGAATTCCCATTCGGAACAAAACTAATTGCACATGTGTAAATATTATGTTATTTTCATTTATTTATTCTTAATTCTTGAGATACTCCATACTGAGGTTAACATGCCAAACCTTTAGTACTAACTAAGAAAATAACATAATTATTTTATTCTATATTTTGGTGTTCTTAAAAAACTGACTAACCTCAAAATTATTATCTCTTAACATTATGGACATTTTAGACACCTTCCCTTAAATTCTGCTTCATTAGACATTTTTTCAAATTAACAGTGTAAGTGACAATATATAAGTTCATAGAATAATATGAGTCTATGTAACTGCATTTCCTATAACTAATACAGTATTAAAGTCTTTTGGTCAAGGCATTACAGTAACAGATTCATTATTTCTATAATAAAAGTATATTATTGAAGGTACCTTCGGAACAAGCACTCAGTATAGGCATAGTTTTATGCCATTATTTCCTCCCCTCCCCCCTTTTTATTTTTATCACTTACTGATATTACTGGTATATGATTTGTTGCTAACATTAGAAAGCAAAAAACGGTCGCAAGAATATTCTGAGAAATGGAATAGCCTGCCCTTTGGTGGATCCCCGCTCAGAACTCAAGCTGGTTTTAGCTCATCTTGTGCATTAGAAGGCTGAGGAAGATAGGTGTGGGAGTGTAATGGGGTGCCCTTGAAGGCACTGAAAAGCGATAGATTATCCAAACTACTATTCCTACCCCACCTTCTCTACCCACAGCTGAATTTTTTTCCCATTATTTATTTTTTAGCATTTAACATTTCAATTTAGGTTCATTTTAGCTTCATACTATTATTTTCCCTTCGATTTTTTTTATGGAGGCTCCAGTGTCTAAAGCTGTATAATAGAAGCCGATTAGTGAGCCTCTTGCATGACACTATATACTTCAGCTCACAGCACAAGTGTTTGTTATTAGTAATTAGGGACTAATTGTGATCATTTCTGGTGCTTAATCTCATTAAACCATCCGAAATATATACAGTTAAAGGAGATATCAAATACATAGCAACACGAGAAAACCCTAATTTTACTTACCGTAAATTTATTTTTCCATAGTCCAAGTGTCAGTCATAACAAGTGGGATGTAGTTGCCCATTTCTCACAGGACAGGCAGCATTGAAATGGTAAAAAACAAAACAAAATGCAGTCCCCACCCCAGTCTCCTCCCCTCCTAGCCTTATAAAGGGCAACTCCACCGTGAACTCCCCAGTATATAACAAGCCAACAGAAGGATGTAGGTTTAAATTGTTTTGATTTATAGTATAAAGGGAGGGTAATCATGACTGCCACTTGGACTATGGAAAAAAAATTACAGTAAGTAAAATTTTGTTTTTTCCATACATCCAAGGGACAGTCATAACAAATGGGATGATATAGCAATATAAAAACACAGGGCCGGAACAATTTCACCTAGAGCACCACCATACAGGAGCCTGTGAATTATGGATCCTGAATCACAAAGTATACCATCCCCAGCTGATGGGACAGCCTACTGGAGTAATTCTGGAACACCACCAGTATTGAACTGTAAGTTAGAACCTTATTTGTATCTGCGGGGTAAGAAAATACACACAGTTAGTAATTAGCTATTCCAGAGCTCAAATCCAAATGTGACATACAACACTCATTAAATATGCAAATAAATGTAAATAGACACTTATAGACTCTCCAGTTTTCAGAATATTCATACTTTCACTGGTGACATTTAAGGTGTTTGGTTTAGTGTATTTTGTCATGTATACAGACAAACATACATATATAGGTAAATATATATATATTTACCATCATTCTAGGGTGATTAATATAGCCCAATACCTACCAAAACTAAGCTGAAAATAGGAAAAAAACGGATATAAATCCATATCCGTAATGAACATCCAGGCCAATTAGACAAATAATGAACCACTAATTAAACCATTAGCGTGACCAGCCTCACTAGCCAAAATATGTAGAAAACTTCTATGAATAAATGTAGGAAAAGAATAATTAAACCTACAAAGGGCCCCCTAATATCAAAGGTAAGAATAGACCCAGAAGTGGATTGTGAGTTTGTAGTTACAAAATAGGACGAGGGGGAATAAATGCATTAGTAGGTGTTAAAGTCTGGAAGAATTGTGCTGATCTCAATTTTAGAGTAAATTGCTATAAAACTAACATAGTAAGCTTATTACAGTCCTGATATAAAAATGTCCGCAGTACACCGAATACCGTAAACCATGGCTTAATCTTTGAAAATCGCTTGTGAAAAAGATGAAAGGAAAGCTGCAAGATATATCTGCACATAGGTAATGTGATATAACCAGAAACAAATATAGGATTTAACAAAAATAAAATCATATACATAGATACATACATAATAGCACATACATTTCAGAAGTAAGAAAAAAATGCATATACCCCAATCTCTACACCTCTGGACCTGAAGTATGTTGGACTGTGGTATTTTTGGCTGCAAAGTCCTAAAGCCTAATAAGAGAAGCTGAATTACTATTTCCACTGCATTGCATTAATGGCCTACATGTTTGATAAAATCAAGCCAACTGCTAACACACACACACACACTGCAGCTCATTTCAGATTGGAAACAAAGAAATCATAAATAAAACTGTCCACATATATGGAAGCCATTTAAGCTTATTTTAAAGCATAGGCCTGGACTAGCTACTCCAGCAGCACCTATCATAATCTGGCCCTGCTGGGCTATGCAGCAGACCCTTGTGGTGTAAGACAGGGTATTTAAAATAAAATTGGTGAGGCAAAAATCAAATCATAAACATACTGAAACCTTATTTGATAAAATACAAATTAACCTCTTAAAGGGGTACGAATGGGAAGTTCTAGTTTTAACCCAACTTACAGAAGTTGGCAGACACTTCCCATTTCAATTACCAATCTAAGAAACATGGCCATGCTGGAAGATAATTATATAAATTTGACGTGACCCAGGGAGAGTGAGCGGAGGTTATTAAAAGAAACCAGGAAAGCGAACGCAAACTTCCGCAAATGTTCGCGAACCGGCGAACCGGGCAAACCGCCATACCTGACATATGACATATTGACACAGAGCAGAATAGGGACTGTTCCCCCAACATAGGGTCACTTGGCAGATATGGATTGACACGTGTCCTCAGAGACCATGATACACACTGACACAGAGCAGAATAGAGACTGTTCCCCCTACATAGGGTCACTTGGCAGATATGGATTGACACCTGTCCTCAGAGACCATGATACACACTGACACAGAGCAGAATAGAGACTGTTCCCCCTACATAGGGTCACTTGGCAGATATGGATTGACACCTGTCCTCAGAGACCATGATACACACTGACACAGAGCAGAATAGAGACTGTTCCCCCTACATAGGGTCACTTGGCAGATATGGATTGACACCTGTCCTCAGAGCCCCTGATACACACTGACACAGAGCAGAATAGAGACTGTTCCCCCTACATAGGGTCACTTGGCAGATATGGATTGACACCTGTCCTCAGAGACCATGATACACACTGACACAGAGCAGAATAGAGACTGTTCCTCCTACATAGGGTCACTTGGCAGATATGGATTGACACCTGTCCTCAGAGCCCCTGATACACACTGACACAGAGCAGAATAGAGACTGTTCCTCCTACATAGGGTCACTTGGCAGATATGGATTGACACCTGTCCTCAGAGACCATGATACACACTGACACAGAGCAGAATAGAGACTGTTCCTCCTACATAGGGTTACTTGGCAGATATGGATTGACACCTGTCCTAAGGATCCCTGATACACACTGACACAGAGCAGAATAGGGAATATTCACTAAATGCCAAACATTGTTATACAGGGGAATATTCAGTAAATAAGGATAAGGGGGGACCTACTGTCCTCCCCCCCGGCCCCCACCCCTGCACGGTGGGTGGGGGCCATAAATCTCAATGGGGGGGGACCTACTGTCCTCCCGCCCGCCCCCACCCGTGAGCGGTGGGTGGGGGCCATAAAAATAATGAGGGGGGACCTACTGTATGATGTTGTATCGATCAGGTAGTGTAAGGGTTACGCCCGCTTCACAGTGACAGACCAAACTCCCCGTTTAACGCACCTCAAACAACCGCAAACAGTCCATTTGCACAACCGCAAACTCCCCATTTGCACAAGGTTGGATACCAAGCTAGCCATGTCCCGTTCCTTGTCCTCACTGATGTCATTGAAGGTCTCTTCCTCCACCCAGCCACGTACAACACCAAGGGTTCCCGAAAAGTGACAACAAGCCCCCTGGGAAGCCTGCTGTGTTTGGTCTTCCACCTCCTCAAAGCAGAGGTTGGCAGAGTACACGCTGTAGGCCTGACACACCCGCTTAAAGACAACTAACTGCTATTCAATCTATAACAGTGAAAAAAGTTTTTTGTTTTTAAATGCAAGCTATTGTGACACCAGATATGAGTGGCACTGTGAACTGGCAGAGGTTGGCAGAGTACACGCTGGGCAAGTGGGCACAGTATACGCTGCGAGCCTGACACACAGACGCTTGCAGACAACTAACTGCTATTCAATCTATTACAGTGAAAACTATTTTTTTTTAAATGCAAGCTATTGTGACACCAGTGAGTGAGTGGTGGCACTGGGCAAGTGGGCACAGTATACGTTGCGAGCCTGACACACAGACGCTTGCAGACAACTAATTGCTATTTAATCTATAACAGTGAAAAAAGTTTTTTGTTTTTTAAATGCACGCTATTGTGACACCAGATATGAGTGGCACTGTGAACTGGCAGAGGTTGGCAGAGTACACGTTGTAGGCCTGACACACCCGCTTGAAGAAAACTAACTGCTATTCAAGCTATAACAGTGAAAAAAGTTTTTTGGTTTTTAAATGCACGCTATTGTGACACCAGTGAGTGAGTGGTGGCACTGGGCAAGTGGGCACAGTATACGCTGCGAGCCTTACACACAGACGCTTGCAGACAACTAACTGTTATTCAATCTATTATAGTGAAAAAAACATTTTCTTTTTTAAATGCAAGCTATTGTGACACCAGTGAGTGAGTGGTGGCACTGGGCAAGTGGGCACAGTATCCACTGTGAGCCTGACACAGAAGCTGGCAGGCAGGCAGGCAACTGCAATTACATTACACACAAAAAAAAAGCAGACTGATGTTATAGCCCTAAAAAGGGCTTTTTGGGGTGCTGTCCTTACAGCAGAGATCAGATGAGTCCTTCAGGACTGTAGTGGACACTGTATACACTAACCTAGCTATCCATTTCCCTATCAAATCAATAGCAGCTACAATTTCCCTCCTCTCCCTAAGCATGCAGCTTGAGAATGAATCTAAAATGGATGCTGTCCAGTAGGTGGGAGGGTCTGCTAGGGAGGGTGTGCTGCTAATTGGCTGGAATGTGTCTGCTGACTGTGAGGTACAGGGTCAAAGTTTACTCAATGATGACGAATAGGGGGCGGATTGAACCGCGCATATGTTCGCCCGCCGTGGCGAACGCGAACATGCTATGTTCACCGGGAACTATTCGCCAGCGAACCGTTCGGTGCATCACTACTCACTATGGACATAAAGTAAAAATAAAAAGCAGTGAATTTCTACCACCAGCAAGTTTGGGTTTCATACTAGACAGGGAGACACATCCTAAAATTGTTATATGTATAGTCTAAAAGATAAACCTAGGACAAAGAAACAATTGATTGCTTCAAGGGAGGAAACACACCTATTATCCAAAGCACAGCTGCTGCTTGAATGCTCAGAGACTGACTGTGTAACAGTCACTTTAGAGAGGAAAGAGATAGACTCTAAGACAGCCTAGTGCCCAGGTTCCAGAACCCTTGCTCTTCACCTGACCTGAATCTGACAATTCAGAAATGTGAAATAGTATTATTAGTCAATGACAATTTAGTCCTTTTAAAACCAGGATAGACATAGAAAAAAACAGTCCATCCACGAAAGCCCTGGAAAACGATTTAAGATACACCTTCCATAAGAAGAATAGAACTAGATCCAAAATTAGAATAATAACTTAAAAATCCCCCAGTGGGACTTTTAAGTTATTTTACATTTTATTTTATTATTTTCTATTGTCATAAATGGTAAATTTTTATCCTTTATTTACTCTGGACTTCTACTCCTTTATCTCCTGCTTACCATCTCATCCTCTGGTGGGGATTATACCACCTATGCTATACTAACTAGTAGACAAGTGCAATTCGTTTCGGGCCAAATATGAATTTGGACGAATTTTGTGCAATTCCGACATTCGGGAACTTCCGAATGTGCGAATAGCCGAAGTGCCAAATTGCCCAAGTGCCGAATTACCGAGGTACTGAAGTTCCATAATTACCGAATTTCTGAAGTGTCGAAGTGCCGAAGTTCTGAAGTTGCCGAAGTTCTGAAGTGCCTAAGTGCTGAATTGCCGAAGTTCCGAAGCACAGTATTGCCTATGTACTAATATACTTACCCAGTAGAAGAAGAAGAATGTTACACTGTATACAATTTTAAATAAAAAAGTATACAAACATAGCCAGGATTCAGCTGTAAGCATGTGCAACACTTACAACAATCAAGTAATATACTTTCATATAAAATGTAAGTTACTTAGCCAGCCAATGTAATGACAGGAATGAATAAGTAGATAGCTCCCTAATTCCCACGGTATTAGGGAGCTATCTACTAAAAGGCTGAAAGATCTAAATTGGTCTTTCAGACAAATTTATTAATACTAAGTAAAGATTACTTAGCCTGTGGCTGCTCACTGTAAAAAAACAACAAAAAAACGTCCCCCCTCCCCCTAACCTGAAGGGGGGACCTATTGCCCCCCCCGGCCCCCACCCCTGAACGGCAGGTGGGGGCCCTAAAGTATATTATACATTATTGCAATTATTAAACATTGATTATTATTATTATTACTACCTGTGTTTATATTCATTGTATGTATTTTAATACTGTTTTTTATGTGTGTTATTTCTTAATTTTGTCTCTAGAAAAGGTCCAAGAAGAGATTGACAGTGTAATTGGCCAAGATCCTTCTCCATCAATGGAGGACCGGAGTAAGATGCCGTATACTGATGCGGTGATTCATGAAATTCAGAGATTTGCTGATATTGTCCCTACAGGTTTTGCCCATGCAGCCAGCAAAGACACAACCTTCAGAGGATATCACATTCCCAAGGTTAGTATGCTTTAAAACGAGAAGTGGATAGTAACACATACATCAAAGTATTCACATACTAATATATAAAGCAAGGCTATCTCTTAAATGCTTACACTTTATAAACATAATGTTTTTCCCTTAAAGCTATTTAATAAATATGTATGTCATTATGATTATGTACCTTTTTGCATGGCCACAGTGGTGTAACTGTAGGAGTCAATGGAAATGTAATTCATTAAATCGCAACCTTTGCTTGGAACTACTTTACATCCACAAATCCATTTTTATGTTTGCTTGTAGGAGCTTCTGTCACATGGAGGCAGGTCTAACCCTTTGACATAAAGATGTCTGCTGTCTTCTGAAATTTATTTATATAAAAAAAAATATTGTACACTATGTGGATAAAAGTATTGGGACACACCTCTTAATTTTTTAATTCAGGTGTCTCAATTAGAGCTATTGCCACAGGTGTATAAAATCAAGTACCTACATAGAAATATAGAATGTGATTGCAGATAAGAATCCTTTTGGTGTATTTCTTTGTCCTTGGCCTTGGCTATTCCTGACTCTGTTTTTATCTGTAATGCCCGCTAATACATCTATGTAGAACCTCTGTAGGATTCGTAATTCCACTAAGTTGGAGTACGACCCTGTGAAACGCCCAGAGTTACTATAATTAAATAATGTACAATAATTAATTATTTGAAGGGAATATTTGTCCTCCCAGTTTTGACTAGTGTCTTGAAGGACCCCAAGTACTTTAAAACCCCCATGAGTTTGACCCTGGTCACTTTCTGGATGAAAACGAATGTTTTAGAAAGAATGAAGCCTTCATGCCATTCTCTGCAGGTAATAGTATGGTATCAATTATAGATATTTAAAATGTCTTATGAAGGTTTGGAGAAAAGTCCACTTATGAATATTTGATCCCATGTTCTCATCTCTCCATGTTTTGATCTCCAGGTAAATGGATGTGTCTGGGTGAGGGTTTGGCTCGTATGGAGATTTTACTCTTTCTTACAACCATCTTGCAGAATTTCAACGGTGGATACGAAAGACATTGATATAAATCCAGAGCCAAACACCAATGCTACAAGACCTTGGAACTACCAGATGAATGCTGTCCCTCGATTCAAATCTTAAGTGCTGAAGCCAATCTTCATAAAACACAACACATAAATGGTATCAAAATAAGCAGGAACAAAGTTTTTATGTTAATTTACATTGGTGTCTACAAACTGAATATTATTTTCTCTTCTCTAGACTACAAGCTCATTTGAGCAGAATCCTCATCAACCTATTGCTCCTGCAACATTTTGTAATTGCCTCATTTATTGTTAAATTTCCCTCTTTTATACTATTGTAAAATGCTGCGGAATAAGTAGGCACTTTTTAAATGCCAATAACAATAGCAATAATAAAAGATTTCACAGATGTCTAGGACAATAATGCAGTGTTTTTGCTAAGGATTCAAGGTCAGGCAGGAAGTAATTGAAAAACTTAAATTAAAATGAGGCTTAGTAAACTTTTAAGGACTGTACACAAGACCAGTCTATGTTTCTGTGACTCTCTCAACACTGAGATTTCAAATTGTATACAAGTTCACATCTGTCTTGAGAATGTGTTTTATTAAGAATTTATACAGAATAACATAGTTTAAGGCTATGTTTGCTGGAGTTTATCAGCTATTACTGAAATACTGGTAATATTGTTTTGTAAATGACTTATGGATCAAATGAAATTGTTGTCAGACTGTTTAATTTATCTCATTACGGAGGTCCAGGTCATGGCAATTTACAGAAAGAGATAACTCAGAGCAAGAGTTGCTTTTTATTTAATTATTTACCTGGTAACAATCTAGAGGTACATAATGCCTCTAAAATTAGATTCAGGAGGATACACAATGTACCAGCATATGTACCAGGTAATTAATGGCAGAGGTTTTATAGTACTTTGCTTATTGTATCAAGGATAATGTTATTTTATTACCATTACAGTTCGACAAACGAAACAGCTACCAAACAACCAGGCCACCCAGGAGAGGAGCGTGGCATCAGTTGAGCTCCCTGACTTGGTTCACACCTTCTCAATTGCCAACCGCACGAACCAACTGGGTGTTCTGTGGGTGGCTGCCGTTCGTCATGCGAACACGTGGTGGCAGCCATCTTAGCATACGAATTACACCAGCGGTGTTTTGACATCAAGTGTCTGGAACCCAATTCGGACACGCAACGACACGAACACCGCAGAGACTTCCATCCTCGTATAAGTTCGTGGGAACAGAGCGGCATTCGGTAAAAAGAATCATACGAACGAGAGAAATTAAACAAACAAAGACACAAACCATTTTGTTATAAATTTTCATACATTTCAACTTCCCGAACAGAGACCGACGGCACAGCCAAAACCTTTGGAACTTTTCTCGCATTACACCTTGTGTGCGGTTGGTAAAACTAAGACATCCATAAAACTCTCGAACCCCTGAACCGATCTGGGTGATTTTTTAGTATGTTGCCCCCACAGATCGGGGCTATCAGGGGATGTTGGAATTATGAATGTAGGAAATGTTTTTGGGGTGTTTCCAGAAAAGTATAAAAAATTTTGATTTTTCTGTTTGGAGATAATTGAGTTGATACAGTAATTAACTCAATTATCTCCTGAGCAAAGCGGAGGGATTGTGTGTAATGTATGCGAGTGACTTATAACCTGGCCTGTGTTTATTGGTTGTTGTATATTTTTATCGGTGTCCCACAGGGTTCACCTAGTTGGTAACTTTGGGGGCAAAACCTGCATAAAAGGCCAGTCTGACCATTAAAAGTTCAGTTCTGCTCCTAATACTGAGTGTCGTCGAGTTATTGGGAAGGGTGATGGGATATTCGTGTATCATCTTGTACATACGCCTGCTGTCTTGGAGTTTCCTGTTTGTTCCTGAATAGCTGTTAGAGTAACCAGCGGAGAAGAAGCCCTGCTACCACTGCTCTCCACTACAATGTCATATCCTGACATCCCCACACATTGGGTGTGTCTCGTACACACCTTTAAGTAGTGAGTGCAATGTTTACCTCACATTGCTGTTTACAGTCTGTCAATTGTACTGTTCTTACACACTAACTTAATGATAGAACTTCTCCAAGAGCAGGACCTTATAGGATATTAATCCATATATTAATTGCCAAGGGAAGAGACTGGGTTCTAATTTAAAACATTCCCATTTTCAAATGTAGATTCAGCCTTACCCTCCAGTTTACCAAGTCAGCGGACATTCATATCTAGCGTTCAAAGGTTCAAATTAAATATTAGGTAATTCAATGCTGTTCTGCAATACAAATATAAACGACACCCAGGACATAGTTCAAACCAAGTCACAAGGGTGTTATTGTCAAAATGGATCTAGGACTTTTAGGAACATTTCTTCTGATCGTCTGTATCACGGTTCTGTTTTATTTATATTCGTGGAGAAGCCACATCAAAAAGGGAAATCTGCCCCCTGGACCTACAGCTCTGCCCCTGTTGGGAAATATTCTCCAAATTAGCATCAAGGAATTTCCCCAGTCCTTGCTTCAGGTGAGTTATATTTCACTAATAAAAATTGTGATGTCCATCACAAAAACAATTAATTTCTCTTACAGGGTATTTAAAAGGAATACCTGAATCTGCCATTTCCCAGAATTTTTATATTATGTTAACTTATTCCTGTATTTATCAAATAGGTATTTATGAGGTGTGAAAAATTAGATTAATTGTAGAAATTTACACCTCTTTATCCTGCAACTGGGCGCCTCCACCTTCATTGCCTGTCATGCATTGATATAATGTCTTTACACCTGGCAGTCAGCGGAGAGAAGATATGAGAGAGATTCTTTATTAATCCTAATAAAATAAATGTGATCAAATGGCCCAGAAAATAAAACCGTGTTGCTCTATATAAGGCAGGCAATGTATTCTTATGAAATATTTTTAACACCTATCTATTATATATAATGTATATAACAATTGCCCATCACAGAATCTGAGTGTCTTGCTTTTTGGAATTGTGTAAAACAGTTCTTAAAAATGACAACTTACATAACGGTAACTCATATTCTGGGAGCACTGCTGGATAATGCGAGTCTTGGTTTTCTTCTACATATTGCTTGACATAGCAGTAATGAGAGAGGGAAAAAAGATGGTGGAAGCTACAGGGAGACTGGAACTGTGGGAAATTGCAATCTGTCTAGAACTGTGGCTGTTGCATGGAAGGAAGCATGTATCTATGTGTCTGTAGTCTGTGTGTGTGCGTGTGAGTGTTTGTATATGTCTGTATATGTTTTTGTGTATCTGTTTGTGTTTCATTCCCACACATTTGGAATTAAAGATTTTTAAATCTATCTATCTATCCATCCATCTATCTATCTATTGATCTATCTATCTATTTATCTATCTATCTATCGATCTATCTATCTATCTATCTATCTATCGATTTATCTTATGTTTTTCCTTTATTCCTTGCTGGGATTTTCAGTAGACTTTTCAATGTCTCTGCATTCCTCTGAGTATTAGACAGTTACCTGATGTGGATACACTTACACTCTACCTGTAATTTTCACTGAAGCTGAGTAAGAAATATGGACCCATGTTTACAATTTATCTGGCTAATAAACGAGTAGTTATACTTATTGGATATGAAACGGTGAAAGAAGCTCTCGTTGATCACAGTGATGCATTTAGCGACAGGGGTGGCTCAGACCTAAATGAATTTTTCTTCAAAGATTACGGTAAGAATCAAAGTATTATATTTAAATGTTCTGAAGTCCTATACCTCAAAAAATAACCTAAAACATTGGTTGCACAATGTTTCTCTATTAGTAGCCTAATCAGCAATTAAACTCTGCTAATTCTTCTAACCCTATGTACATATACTGCATATGACAATTACATTTACCACAACAACTTCCCCTGGCAGTGAATTACATATCTTGACTGCTCGTAATGTAAAGAAAAATTTTTGTACTGACTTGGAAGCCTCAATGTATTTAAATAAACCTGAGCTTAATGAATAAATAGTTACACAGTAAATTTATGGGAAAATTATCAAGGAAATTTTAAGGGCAGAATTGCTGGAAAGGTAATGGCCACTGGATTTTGAAATGTATTTGGACCTTTTTAGGAGTCACTATGAGTAATGCCGAGAGTTGGGACATGATGCATTGATTCTTCCTGATGGCTAGAATAATATTCTCCAAAGCTTTTAGAGTAACAACTACTTTTCTCAAAATGGTGGCATCCAGTATATTTCTGTTTGTGGTTGTTTGTAGGAGTGATCATGAGCAATGGGGAAAGGTGGAAGACAATGCGGAGATTCGCTATCATGACACTGAGAAATTTCGGAATGGGGAAGAGAAGCGTTGAGGAGAGAATCCAAGAGGAAGCTCAGTATCTTTCTGAAGTCTTTAGAAAGTATGAAGGTCAGTGGAAGCTGCAAACCTACTTTGAAAACATCATCAAGGCAACAAAAAATGTACCAAAGTACACCAATGCTTGTCTTTATAGGACAGTAAAATATATAATAAAATAAAATCATAATTAATCATTTGAATAAGTCATTAAAATTATCCTAGGAGCATAAAACACACACATATATATATATATATATATATATATATATATATTCACAGGTGGTTCTCGTTTTGCGACCTACCTGTTTTACGACAGCTCTCACTTATGACGAGCTCTCTCGTTGGGTTTTTTGAAGTACGAGCCATCATGGGAAATAGAGGGATTCCCTGCTCTTCTGTGTTCTTCTATTTCCCCAAACATAGACGAATGCAACAGAGCAAGGAATCCCTCTAATCTATGTTCAGGGAAATTTCCCCCGAGCATATGTTAGAGGGATTCCCAGCTCTTGTGCGTTCGTCTATGTTCAGGGAAATGTCCCTCAACACAGACATGCGCACCAGAGCAAAAAATCCCTTAAATCTCTGTTCAGGGAAATTTGCCCGAACATAGAAGAAGGCAGCAGATCAGGGAATCCCTTAAGTCTTCACTTATCGACCAATTCGTTCTACGACCAGGTGGTAAGAACGGAACCCGGTGTGTAAGTGTGGAGTTTCTGTATATATATATATATATATATATATATATATATATATATAATGGATGAAAAAGAGATGCACTCTGTGGTCTTTAGAAATAATTACTGGTATTTAATATCCAGCATAATTACATATGTCCGATCGACCTTTCAACCTCTTCAGGTCTTCCTCAAGATTCCAGGTATGACATCTGAGATCGCTGTCCAAAAGAGTGCAGAGAACAGCAAAGATACTGTGCAGCAACCCTCTCACTCACAGGCCTCTGATATATTGAGGAACATATACATATAGAGGTAGAGTAAAGTGTATATATATATATATATATATATATACTACCCAGATGTGGTGTGGTGATAAAATCATGTTTGGAACATATAGTGTGGCAGTGTGAGGGAACACTGCTATATTAGCCCCAGAATGGCACTTTCAGTGTTCCCTGACTAGATGGGGGTTAAAAATCAGGATGCTCTAGTAGATTAATTAAGGAGCTACATAAACCCTATGCAGAGGGAAATCAGTCTCTCCTCTGAAGAGCTGGGGCGGAGACAGAGAGACTGTGAGTCAAAGAGACTGCTGAAACTGTGTGGGAACATAAAGGTATTTTGCAAGCCTTTATTTTCATTTGTTAAACTACTGGGGTCAGCATAGCTGCCCAGTATCATAGAAAGGGTATGTGGCGAAACCGGCCTCGCCACGTGTCCTTGGAGGGGGCTGCTTGCCCGCCTCTTGCCTTTGGACTATGGACCAGACTTTATGTGAAGGTATTAACCCAGATAGCTATGCCATGGAGCCCATTCGTGTAGTTAAAGACTTCGGCTCCATGGCAATTGAACTGTGTGAATAGGATCTGAGCGCTATTTGGTAGTTTTGTGCGCTCAGATCCCAGCTATCTGGGGATATGTGACATGTCTGTGTTTTATGTATAAAAGGTGACTTTATGTATTTTAAAGTGTTTTGTGTCTTTTTGCAACCATGTGCTTAATGGAGTCTTGTGTCTGTCCTGGGAGATAATTGAATTACTTATCTCCAGGATAGAAGACTCTGAAACTGGTTTGGGCCGGAAAGCCATGCTTCATTTAGTCACAAAGGACTTTCCCTTAACTTTTGAACCCCTGGTCTGATTCGTGCCATTTTTTAATATGTTGTTCCCCTGAATGGATTGATTATGAAAATGTATGTTTTATGTTTGTGACATTTATATTTTAGAAGTTATAAATATTGTGTAAAAACTGTATTCCTCTGCCGGTGATAATGAGATTACCCATTGTGTTCAGTAATCATATCACATGCAGAGGGGAGGATTTTGTGTGGGAGTGTCTGGGTGTATTGTACGGATTGATTGGTTGTTTTGTAACGCCCTGTGGGCTGTACTATGTTTGTGGATTGGGAATAAAAGAGACTGTATGTGACAGTACAGGAGTTCCTGTTTTAACCCTCAAAGTGAAGTGTCATCTCATTATTGGGGGAAGGATTTATTGTATGCTGTTCCAGTTTGACTGCTAGGAGAGTAAACCTATTCGTATGGTTCCTATTCAACTGTCTACAGCATTCATATGCTTGAGAGAAGGTATACGCTTCTCTGGTTCGGTGATTGTGGCATCTGCTGCAGTGCTTGGAGTCCTCAGGAAGCGCTAGGAGCATCTTTCAACGGAGGTACCCAGTCGGGGTGCCAGGCGATCCGTTACAGGGTACTCTATGTTAGTTAGTCTCCAGTGTGGAGTAGGTGATTATTTTTGGTTTTCATGTTTTGCTGTGGCTCAATTGCGGCCGGATTGCTAAATAAAGCTTTCCTCAAATTGGAAGAAAGAACTATTTCTGCTACTTATGACCCAAGACCCGGCCAGCCTTCTACAATATACAGTGTTTGTTACTATTATGTATCTTATTCATGCACAACAAATTGACCAAGAGTGTGTAAAACAATGAATACATCTCTGACTATACAGATTTAAAATTTGCTAAACATTTCATACCCCTTTACTGGAAATGCGATATTCCTCCTCTAGGATGGATTAACACAGATCCATGGTAGAGATGACATTCGGCTTGCAGGGAAGGTTGAAAACTGGTCTCACTGGATACTCAAGACTTCAAACGATAACTTCAAACTCTTGATAACTCAATAACACTAGACACGCACCACTTTAACGGGTGACTCTTGAGAACTTGACAAGCTGGTAAGGGGAATCACTGTCAAAATGCTTGACACATGATTTCACTTGTATTCTCCAGGTTGCACCTGACACCTAATATACACCTATACAACATTTTGAGTGTGCTGTAATGCCTATTCTGATTTGACATTTGTGAGACTCTAATAAATATTGTGATTTACCAGAAAAACATTTAGTACTGGACATTTTCACAATAACCCAGAATAATGAGGATAAATGTGTGGAGGACTTTACTTTAGAAACATAGAAACATAGAAACATAGAATGTGACGGCAGATAAGAACCATTCGGCCCATCTAGTCTGCCCAATTTTCTAAAAACTTTCATTAGTCCCTAGCCTTATCTTATAGTTAGGATAGCCTTATGCCTATCCCATGCATGCTTAAACTCCTTTACTGTGTTAACCTCTACCACTTCAGCTGGAAGGCTATTCCATGCATCCACTACCCTCTCAGTAAAGTAATACTTCCTGATATTATTTTTAAACCTTTGTCCCTCTAATTTAAGACTACTTTAATGGAGTACTCTATGATGTGCTTTACACAATGTAATTCATGATCAACTGCTGTATATCCCACTAGGGAATGTTGTAGACTTTTTGGCACTTCATAGATAAAATATGAAATATAGCAGCATAATGGATGATTTGGTGCTGTGTGGGGCATAGTATATAACATTATATATTGTATAGTCTTATTTAAATCCTAGGAAATAAACAATATTTAATTATTGTTGTTGGGTGTGAGCATCTTTTTTCCAAACCGTTCCTTGATACTTTCACACTAATTATCTTTGTGTTTTCTTTAATAAAGTAGGCACTGCCCAGTCTATTTGATTTCTAGGAAATTAGTTACATTTGCAGTAAAAAACATATATTGTTTCTTAAGGAACACAGTATTGAGTATTTACAAGCTTTTTTTTTTTTATTAAGTTGATTTATTTTATGTATGTGTATTCCCAGTAGATCTGATAAAATTTCATATCATTCTCATAACAGAAACTCCTTTAGATCCCATAACTCTCCTGGGACAGGCAGTGTCCAATGTGATTGTATCTATTGTATTTGGAGAAAGATATGACTACGAAGACAAGACCTTTCAGAAACTTCTGTCATATATTAGAGATATCGTTAGACTGCTAAATACTACTTCTGGTCAGGTGAGTTTTGTCTCAGAACATATGGGGCTATTATGAGAATATTGGTAAATTAATCTTGACAAAAATACAGAAAAAACACTCTACAATTATTGATTTGTATTCCTCAGAGGAGATCCATCTTTGTTTATTATTACCCATCTGTTTTCCATTATAGCTGCTCAACATCTTTCCACATGTGGGGAGATGGATCCCTGGACCTCACCAGAAAGTGTTCACAATTCTCAATAAACTCCAAGAGTTTTTTAAAGATCTGGCACAATCTCACAGAGAGAGACTGGACACAAACTGCCCACGGGACTTCATAGACTGCTTTCTGATAAAGATGGAACAGGTAGGACACTATAATATAAGAATTGTCCAGTTCTAAAAACATCTAGAATCTAGAATTAGCATTTTTGCAAATGATGGGAAAATATGCTTTATCATAACTTTACATACTGTTCTAGGAGAAAAATAATCGCAATACTGAATTCAATGAAGAGAATTTATTGACTACTATAATGGATTTATTCTTTGCCGGCACTGAGACCTCAAGCGTAACACTAAGATATGGCTTCCTGATACTTCTTAAATATCCAGAGATACAAGGTATCATTACTCTTCAACATGTTAGTCTTTATAAAGGAGTACAGATAGTCACATAGTATCAGAATACACACAATTAGTGTGAATTTATTATATTTCTCTTGATTAGCTGCTAAGTCATCATGTGACCATTGTCTCATTTCTTCCATCTTAGACACGTTACATTTTATAGCTCTGACTGTGCAAAGACAAAGGATTTCTGTTCACAGCATGGTAGATAGATATAATAATTTTATACAAATATAAAAGATGTTTATGAATTATAGTGATAAACAGATCAAATCACAAGCAAGCAGTAAGGAAAACACAATCGAAGAAGTGTGAGGTTTAAGAAACTTGCCATATACATGGTGATTCTGACAAAATAGCAGAACATACATGATGCAAATAACTGCTTATTTTATAATAAATAACACATCCAGCAGCTAACTTGACATTTCTGGATTATTTATAGAATATAGAATATAGAGTTCTTTTGCCATTAAATTATATCCATTATTTTTAAACTGAGCAGCTTATCATCACTAACCCTGATCAGTGTCATTAGGAGGGACCAATGATGGTAGCAATCGTGATTTAATAAAGAGCATACTTTAATCTGTTTCATAAAACCAATGTCAGTCTTTTCTTTTTTTTTTACTATATGTCTATGTTTTACATTTCTGTGATTACATTGCTTTTGGTCTATTTTCTTTAGAAAGGGTTCACAAAGAGATAGACCGTGTGATTGGCCATGATCGCTGTCCATCAGTAGAGGACCGTAGTGAGATGCCGTACACAGATGCTGTGATCCACGAAATCCAAAGATTTGCTGATATTGTGCCTATCGGGGTAGCTCATGCAATCAGTAAAAACACGACCTTCAGAGGATATGACATTCCTAAGGTCACTGACTCTAAGTAATATATAGAAAATAATTAAAATAGGAAAAGTTAGGGCAATTTTGGTGTATAGATCATGCCCCTGCGCTCTAACTGCTCAATTCTCTGCCAGTACACAGATACACACACTGACACACAGATACACAAACACTGACACACAGATACACAAACACTGACACACAGATACATACACACAGATACATACACACATATATACACTGTGTGTCAAGGTGTGTATCTGTGTGCCAGTGTGTGTATTTGTGTGCCTGTGTGTTTACCTGTGTGTCAGTATGTTTCTGCCAGAGTGTATATCTGTGTGTATGTGCTGGTGTGTGTATCTGTGTTTGCATGTGTGAATGTCTGTGTGTCAAGGTGTGTGTATCTGTGTCAGTGTGTGTCTGTGTGTTTATGTGTTAGTGTGTATTTGACTGTGTATGTGTTGGTGTGTTTCTGTTTGTTAATGTGTAAGGATGTACATGTGGCAATAAATGTAAAGACATCCCTGCAATCAAACACCAACACAACACACTCCTGCAAACACAAACATGACACACAAAGACACCCCTGAACTCTAAAATTATATACAAACACCAATACTACAGACAAATGTACATCTGCATTTAAAATCTAACACTACATCCAAATACACCTCTGCACGCAAATGCAAACATTACATACCAACACATCCCTGTATTAAAAAGCTAAAATTATATGCAAACACTAACTCTGCAATCTGCTTACTATCTCTAGAAATTAGTGTATAAATTTGCCAAAAAATACATTCTGCTCTTCTAAAAGGTTTATGCCATTTTTTTGGGGGGGGGACAGGGGGGGTTGGGAAGGGAGGGTTCCATGATGTTGATACACTATGTCAAAGGGTTCACCCTCTTTGGACATTTCCATATTTTGTAGATTCAATCTAGAACAACCAAGGAGTAACCATTTTACCATCTATTTTACACAACAGCCAACACTTCCAAGGTACAAACCAAGTTATTTTTCATTTTAACACTGCATTGTTACACTACACAATGTGAAAATATCCAAGATGGGTTAAATACTTACTATTGTATCACTTTCTCTTTCTAACTCACTCCTCTTTCCAACATACCATTCATATCAACATACCTACTCTCTCACATACCATTGGAATATCTATCGATTTATGTTTTATCTCTACCTGGTCATTGCTTTCTCTCCTTTTAATATGGTGTTTGATGTGTGCTCATTCAGCTTTATTGTCACTGTACCATGTACAAACAATGGCAATGAAACACAGTTGGTCTCTGAACAGATATGCAGCAGTAACTTTAAATACTATTTAAAAAGATGTACCTCTAGTGAACGCTTAGCAGCAATACTTGATACCACATTTCCTGATTCTTTACCTCCAGTGAACGCTTAGCAGTAATACTTGATACCACATTTCCTGATTCTTAAGAATACAATCATATTACATTGCTACCAATGTACCACCATATAATAGTACCACCATATAAATCCAAAACACAACATATACCCCGATCTAAGTAAACATTAAGTATACCATCTGCCCTTCAGTTAATACATTAGTGCTAATAAATACCCAATCCTTAATAGTGTATCTTAATCATGTGACATAAAAGTGCTCAAGACCACATGTGTAAAGTCCAAAATATAAGCACCTAAGGCATATACATAGAGTGAAAAAAAAGCACATATGGTAAGTGCAAAATAAAAAAGTGAATATATAAATAATGTGCAAAAATACATATGCATAGAAAGTGTGGACAATCAATTATTGACATTTAAACAGCAGTGATGGCAAATGAGAGATACATTCCCCATCACTGCTCAAGGCCGTATAATCCACAGAAAAGGGTTGACCTTCAAGTTTTTCGGACATCGATTTAATTTCATTAAAAGTTGGAAAATAAAAAAATAATGAACACCCCCTTTTTTAAATGACTGCTGTATTTTCTCAGATATATCTTTATATTTGAATTGCAGGGTACTATGATTCTCCCTGTACTGACCTCTGTTTTGAAGGACCCCAAGTACTTCAAAAACCCCAACTCATTCGACCCTGGTCATTTTCTGGATGAAAACGGATGCTTTAAAAAGAATGAAGCGTTCATACCATTTTCTGCAGGTAAATACAGTGTATCAAAGTAAATTCTACCATGTGGACTGACATGTGTGAGTACGTTTGTGTTTATGTTTGGATAAGGCTGTAGGATACTTGAAAAGATTTAAGGTTTTTTGAATCTTTAAAAATGAAAGATTGTAATTAAAACATTTACTATGATATAATTGTAGATTATGCTAACGTAGTGTACCTATAATCTTAATTTTAATAATGACAGGAGGCGAGTATTTTGCATAACTTTCTTTACTTTATGCCTCCAGCAGCACAAGTCAATCAATAAACTTTAAACCAATCAGTAACAGGCATCACATTCATATATAAAGCCCTGACAGTCACATGACTTCCTCTTTCTTTGATGCGAAAAACAGTCTATTATAACGTCAGGGAATTCAAATAACAGTCCTGAGTAACGTGTAGAACATAACTTGAAACCTTCCAGCTTTATCTTGTCGAATCCATCTATGATGATTACGCTGAAAAGAACAGAAATACGTGAAAGGTGATGGAAACCAACTGTTGTCCACATTAAATCCAGTACTATATGTGTCTATATTTATATTAAGTTAATATACTGAAACATTAAACAAACCATAGTATACTTAATAATCAACACGGATCTAACACATATCAACCAAATAAGCATCCCATAAATATACTGAATTACCAAACCTTATAATTTACACTGAGAAAATGACAAACCAAAATATAAAAAATTTCCAGAGTATAGGGAGGGAAACAGGGAGGGAAAATACTCGCCTCCTGTCATTATTAAAATTAAGATTATAGGTACACTACGTTAGCATAATCTACAATTTTATCACATGACAGGAGGCTTCATATTTTGCATTTTTAAAGCTGTGGTATGAGCGTGAAGGATGCGTGTGTGGTTGACGAAAATAAATATACGGAAGTAGTCTATCCGTGTCCAATTCGTCGCTGAAAATATAGAGGCCCCCTCGTGAAGGCCTGAGAAGCAGCTGCGCCTCTTACCGAATGAGTACCCAAACACGTCTCCACCCTCGCTAGCGATAACAACCAATGAACCCATCTAGACAGAGTGTTCATGGTAACTGGCTTGTACAGTTGGTATAAGACCAGCAGATGTCCTGAATGTGACATTCTAAGTGTTGTCGTGATCTCCATGTAACAAAGTACCCCTTTAACTGCACAAAGGCTGGGAAACCGTCGGTAACAGGGAACGATACGGACACGGATAAGATATAGTTCTACGAGACACTGTAGAAATTATTCTTTCCGGTGATACCGAAAAGACCGTCTACGTCGAACTCCAGTACATCTGATACCCGACGAAAAGACCTAAAAGTAACGTGACTCTGGCTAATGGCTGACTGAGGGATAGGACCGTGATATCTGACTAGCTCCAAAAGAACCAAATCAAAGTCCCACACCAGTGATACTTTGACGCATGGTTCTGGACGGTTTGATACCCCACAGAAAATGGTATATCAAAGGCTCTTGATTGACCGGAGTGTCGTGAATCGTGCTATGCATCGTCGAAATTGCGGAACGTAGCCCGTTAATGGAACGTTCCGATCGGCCTGTAGTGAAAAGGTATGATAAAGATCCAGCATCGTGGAGATAGGGGTAATAAAGGGATCGCAGTCCCTTCCCATACACCAGCGAACTCAAGGTGTTCCATGCGGATAAGTTATTTCGGGGGAATACCTGGCGTCCATGAGTCCCATAGTAGGTCTCTAGTTGGTTGCGATAGTCCCTTGACATACCAGTCTCCCCTGGAAGACACCAATCTACCAACTCCAGATGCTCCTGCATTCTCAATGGATGATGTTCTCCTTTTGGATCCGCCCGAAGGCAAGTTAAAACGGAAGGAGCAGAGGATGATCCTGATTAAGGACAACCCTTCTGGGTGTCACGCTTGCCTCCTTTACCGCAGTAATGAGTACTATCGAAGTCTTCGCTATTCTGATCCCAATTTCATAGGTGTGTCCGTATCTCAGGCAGTGAGCTTTCAGCCACTGTCTGGCCTGGTAGTGAAGCAGTCCTGGGAAATAGTCAAAGGGTTATGGTGCCTTTCCGCCGTACCCGTCGAATTTCCTTACGAATCGTCGCTATCAATGATGTGGGAAGGTGTAATCCGCCCAAGGTGGAATCTATTCTGAAATAGAGGAACTGAATCACTCGGAACTGGGATCGAACCAACTCCTCTCTGTTCACTATGAATCCCAACAATTCCCGAAACTGTAAACATAAATCTCGTTTGTAAACGTAGTCATGAATTGGATTTGCAAAAGGTAAGTCGTCTAGGTATGTGACAGCAGATACCCTTTGCTTTTCAGTGCGCAGTGACCGACTTCAGAAACTTCATGAGGCACCATGTGAACCTATAGGTAAGTGCCCTTCAAGTCCAACCTTGTAGATCCCCTAAGAGATGGATACCTTCCTTCTTGAGTTGTCGGTACGCCCCAAAACCATTGGGTTGGCATAGGTTGATGACTGGGTGATAGTCTCCTATCTTCTTCCTTACTACCAAACCGTTGCTGAGATAAATGGTTCTCCAAACGATAGTCCGTCTGCCTGAGGTCCTCGCTCTTTCGTCCCTAACTTCAATAGTTTGAAATCCATCTTTAATCGGGCTGCTTTGCGGCGTTCTGTGCACCTGTCTGCCTTGCGTTCCCCAACTTACATATTGCCCTTTGCACCCATTCCCTCACATCGTGAGCTTCTAGAGGTGAGTCTTGTGTGGGGTCAGGTCCGCAAAGTATAGAATTTTTTCCCGGGCTGATCATATCCAGTATTTAACTCATTTGAGTCCTCCTCCTACACACTGATCGGGACATACATATCACCACGAGCTCCATAGTGAGGACTATCTTGTTCGGACATAGAGGGCGTGGGCATTCCATCCTGAGCCGGTCTCGGATTTCTTTTCCCATAGGCCTCCTAAGCCAGAAGTGGGCCCGGTGCTCCAGTTAACCCCATTCGGATGACCCTGGTTGTCGGATGGTGCGTGAGTCAAAACAGGAGTGTCCAGTGTGCCAAAGAAAAAACCTTTCTTGCTAGGCGTGTCTTGTCACTTTTACCTCTTCTGCCCTCCATTCTTTCATGATCTCCAGAGAAGGGGGGGGAGGATGAAGTCCTCGTCCCCTGATGATGGGTGTCCGACCTAACGTCGGTATCTCAATCTTCCATTGGTGTTGCTGCCGTTGCACCCGCTCTGTCGGATGGGTTGATAGCCAGCATACTGGAGAGGACTTCTTCCCCCGGAGCTGTCATGGCAGCCTTAATCCTCTCCTGAAAATCGGTCGGGGATATTGAGGTAAGTCCGACATGTTGGTTCACACCCTTTCGGTCCGTGGGAGACAGGATCGTACAACAGTACACTTATTGCCACTCAGTAGGCCTCCGCGTATAACTGGGGGTCACCCAGAATTTTGATCAATCAGTATCATTTTCGCAGGATCCGGGGAGTGGTCTGAGAATGAGGACACCCTCAGTAAGACCGGGATGAGCGGTCTGCAATGTCGGGACGTAGCCCGAGTCTGGGAGACGTGAAAGCCTCAATATATATAGTCCACGGGGTTCATCCTTATATGGTCTAGAATTGTGGAGTTTTGGCAGCACTGTGAGTTCTCCTTCTCGGTTAAGGGAAGGGCGTACGGAACCCCAGTTGAAGCATAGAGGTGCCAGAATACATGCATCTAGTGCGCCCTGGTCTGTGCATACAATGACAGAGCGTACTCTGAAGGTAGAAGCCCTAGAAAGGGTGCGGGGGGTCACCCCTTTGTACCTATGCCACTAGCACCGGAGTAAGACTCGCTTGGGGTTCACCCAGCATAGGGGGGTCACCCCTGTATGAATGTCTCTTATGGCATGTTGGGGCACTCTTTCGGTCTATGGGGTACCGAACAGGTGTCAGGTACGGTAGTACACTTATTGCCACTTAGTGGGCCTCCACGTACAACTGGGGGTCACCCAGAATTGTTTCAATCAGTACCACTTAGAGATTTCCTGGGAGTGGTCTGAGGAGGGGGTCACCCTCAATAAGACCGGGATGAGCGGTCAGTAATGTCGGGACGTAGCCCGTGTATGGGGAGGTATGGTAGCCTCCAAATTATCCAAGGGGTCACCCTTATAGGATATAGTACTGTGGAGAATTGGCAGCACCATGAGCTCTCCTTCCTGGCTCTGTCGATATACATGTATTCAGTGTGACCCGGTCTGTGCATACAGTAACAGATCGTACTCCGTGGAAATGAGCCCGCCCTAGGGCGTGGGGGTTCCCCCCAGTATATGTATGTCACTAGTACCGGAATAATATTCGCTTGGGGTTCACCCAGAGTAGGGGGATCACCCCAGTATATGTATGTCACTAGGACAGGAACCAGATTCGCTTGGGGGTCACCCAGCGTAAGGGGGGTCACCCCTGTACCACAATGTCACTTTGGAGAGGTGTCTGCCACGCTTGGGGGTCACCCAGCGTAAGGGGGATCACCCCTGTTAATCACTCCGTTATGTGCCTCCACTACTGTGTCCTGGGAGGTGTATCCCTGTGGGGAAGGAGTGTATCCAATGGTTGTGAGGTCCAGTGGGAGTAGGGAGCGGAGTAAGATATCAGCTCTATTTAATTTCCCTGCCAGTAGATAGAGTAATGCATCCACTATATACCCACAGCAGGGGACAGTCCATTCATAATCCTCCAGATGTACAATAAAACTGTTATTCAACATGTCAATTGTATAGAACAGAATAGAGCAAACTGTCAGCAGATGCACACAGCAGGGATCAGTCCTACATATTCATGCAGAGTTACATATAAAACTTTTATTTCACATGCCAATGAAATATGCCAGTATAGAGCTCAGCAGTGAACAGTCCATTCATAATCTTCCAGGAAAGGTACATATAAAACCTTTATTCCACATGCCCATGAACAGTATTGAGCTCAAAAGTACTTGTAAAACTTTTATTTCACAGGAAAAATATATGAAACAGTACAGAACTAGCCGCCAGTTCGTGGGAATCACGAACTGGCCAAACGACATGGCCGACGTGAATCTCGCGAGTGCCGCGAGATTCAAGATGGCCGCCGTTCGCGCGCAAAAGTGCCGTGCGGCCCACGATCGAGGATACGATCGCGGTCTGCCGGCATGGAAAAGAGTCCCCCCGACATCCCCAACCCCCAGAGACCTGCCCTGAAGTCCCAGCACCAATGAATAAAAAGCGTGCTCGCGGTAAAACGCCGCGATCCATGCGAGACCAGAGTAAAGCATAGGAAAGAAAAGGTGCCAGCAACAGAAAACAGGCTAATAAAGCAGAAAATACAGGGTTAATTCAGGGGAAGGGTAACAGGGGGAGAATATCACACTATACAAATCCAAATGGAAGGCAAGTGCAAAATAATGAAAAACATTTAGGCCAAAATTGCAGGACAAGCTAATAAAGTTTAACAAAAGTGCCCATGCATATCCAGAAACAGTTTGGAGCAAAAACTGAATGTCTAGCATTAAAAATCTAACTAAAGTGACCATAGCAATATTAATAAAAACAGTTGGAGCAAACTGAAAGTCAATTAATAAAGTTTAATTAAAGTGGTATCCAGAAAAAACAGTTGGGATTAAAACTGAATGTCTAGCATAAGGTGTCTAACTACAGTGACCATAGCAATATTAATAAAAACAGTTTGGAACAAACTGAAAGTTAAGCAATAAATGATTAACTAATGACAATTGCAATATTCAGTAAAACAGTTTGGAGCAAAATACTCTGACCTGTGCCTTGGCTGGTAAGCAGCAAAGAAAGAGGTAGTCATGTGACTGTCAGGGCTTTATATATGAATGTGATGCCTGTTACTGATTGGTTTAAAGTTTATTGATTGACTTGTGCTGCTGGAGGCATAAAGTAAAGAAAGTTATGCAAAATATGAAGCCTCCTGTCATGTGATAAAATTATATTTTAACAAGTTAACCAAATGATATATCAATCTTTCTACATTTTGTTGTAACATTTTGTTGAAGCTACATTCAGTGCATATCTTTCCATAATTCACCCTCCAGGTAAACGTGTGTGTGCAGGGGAGGGTTTGGCTCGTATGGAACTCTTTCTATTCCTCACCACCATCTTGCAGAAGTACACCTTAAAGCCAACAGTGAACAAAAAGGACATTGAAATAACTCCAGAGCCAGGAAGCAGCGCTACAAGACCTCGCCTATACCAAATGTATGCTGTGCCTCGCTCACATCCCTAGATGGGCTAATTAATCATCAATATTATGATAACTTGATAAGAAACACACCATATTGAAAATATTCTACTTGAAATATTGTATAACCTTTTGCTCTTTCTGCAAGTTGAGTATGTTATTCCTTTGATTCTTGTCGTATTATTTCAGCCATTAGCCCATGGTTCACAGTAAGCACCAGCTGTCATGTGAATATTTTAATGTGGACATCACTTCATTAAACACAGAAATCAAACACCTCCCCACATTCTAATGTTTTTTGTTGCCTTTGTAAAGTTTTGGAAAACTTTGGTTTAATTAATAACACTAATTGTTATTGTAAAATTACCTCATGGTGCATTCCACTCATACAGCTGTACAAATATTAAACTTATCTTCAGCAAAAAAATTTTTTCAATTGAACTACTTCTTCTAAAATATATAAATGTTTCATAAAACATTTAGAGCTCTGCTTAGCACCCACCTAACTCATATTTTCAATAATATTGTTTATCAGGGTCGCTTCCCTCAGGAAATGCTTACTGCAAATATTTTTCCTGTTCTTAAACACGGTAAGATGTCTACAGGTGGAAAATTACAGACCAATCTCCCTTATAAATGTTGATGTAAAGTTGTTTTCTTATATTTTAGCAAATAGAATGAAGCAGATCTTGAGTAACATTATTCATCGATACCAGATTGGTTTTATCCCAGGAAGAACATCTAGTGGTAATACCTGTAGGATTATTGACAGGGCTACCAGGACCAAAACCCCCACATTTGCTATAGCAGTCGATGTAGAGAAAGCTTTTGATAGAGTCAATTGGGAATTCATAAATAAAACCTTACAGAAATTTGGAACAATAGATGGTATAAGGCGATAATGTCATTGTACTGTAGACCAACAGCCCAGACAGTGAGTCCAAACATTTGTGCGAACTGGTTTTCTCTCTGTAATGGCACAAGACAGGGTTGCCCCTTTTGTTACCCATGGGTTACCCATTTTGTATATTTTAACAATTGAACCATTAGCTATTAACATCAGAAAAAAACATAGAGATAAAGGTTTCCCTGCTTTATATAGACAACTGAAAATAAGTTTATATGTCAAAGATACTATTAAAACCTTACTGACCCTGTCTCATCTCTTACTCATTTAATTAATGAATTTGAAAGATATAGTTCAGTTTCCAACTACAAGATCAATATAAATAACACTAGTATTTTGGATCTCTCCTTAGAGCAATAGATCAAGTAAAGCACCTATACAACTTCTCATGGATCAATAAAGATTTAACGTATTTGAGTATCAAGCTTACAAAAAAATGTAGACAACATAATAAACTAATTTTATCATTCTCTTAAGACAAATCAATCCCTGAAAACATGCAGACATTTAGAAATATCTTGGTGGGGGAGGATAAATGCCATAAATTCATATATTGTGCCGAAATGGTCTTATCTATTTAGTATTCTACCTTTAAAACCCACAGGGCATTGGCTAGATCTAATTCAAAATAGCATAACTAACTTTATATGGAAAGGTAAAAGACCAACATTGAAAATAAACCTGCTTACCCAAAGTATTAAGGAGGGTGGTCTTGGATTTCCAACTATTAGAAGAGTTTTGTTGGGCCAACACCATCTTCCATATATACAGACTCCAATTGAGAGACTACAGAGGAAGGCTGGTACCTAATAGAAAGGGACATTTGCAATCTGATAGATTTGAGCTCTTTGCTCTGATTCCATAATACACATACAAAAAGAGGCCAATGCAGCAAGCTCATTCTTATATTACATGTTAGAAGCATGGGAAAGATTCAGGAGGTCGGGTGGCATTCTAAACAAGATACCAACTAAAATAAAATCAAACACCTAGAAAAATATATAACGGACATAGTTGTATGTAAATGGACACAAAGAGAGATCATTACAATCAACCAAATTATGTGTCAAGACAAAATAATCTCTTGCACTCAAATTGAATTGAAATATCGGTTATCTAAAAATGAACTCTTCCTTTACCTGAAAATAAAAAACTTTATTCAACATAACATCATGGATATTGGCTCAGAACTAAAATATCATAGAAATATTTAATCAAGAGCCGGTTGATAAAATAACTTAAAAAGGGCTGTCTATCATTAGATTGCTAAATGCTCTAGATACATTTCTGGTCTGCCGGATATGGAAGAGAGAACTTACCCTCGATATCTCAACAGAAGAGTGGCACTCCGCCTTTTATAAAGTAAACTGCTCAGTTCACTGGCTTAACTTAGTGGAGACACAATTTAAAATATTAAACAGATGGTACCTTGTCCCTACAAGATTGGCCAAATATATATTTTAAGCTGGTATCAAATGTCGAAATTACGAAATTACCAAGTGCAGCCCTGCTAAATCTAAAACTCCCTTCCTGGAAAAAAGTATTATCCTTTTTTTCCATTGTATGAGAAACTGGAAATCTTCAGAATAACGATCTGGGTCCGAATTTGGAAAACAACTCAATTTTCAGCTGACAATGGATAGAGTGTTAGATAGAACAAACAGAATTAATCCAAAGATGTATAAGATATTGGAATACTAGCAATTAAAAACAGAAGAAATTACGATTATATTGTTTTATCAAGTAAGTGTCTCCCTTCTCTCCCCCCCGCCTCCCCCAACATCATGGATAAGTGTTATGTTTTATGTTGACTGTATTCACCTATGACAGATAAATAGATATGATATATTATATTCTTAAATTGATAAATGTATGTTAAATGTATAAGGGAAATAATTTAAATAAAAATATGCTTATAAAAAAAAAATTCTATACAACAATTACTTCCTTTAGTTTAAGAATATAGCATTGAGAAAAGGAATAAGTATAAAATCAAAAGTCAAAGAAAAGGTTAGCTTTTCCTATTATTGGGTGAAGGCATTTTTAAAAGTTACCACAATTTTAGGCAGTATAAGCAGCTGTAGGTGGCGGTAGAGGGCCCACTGACAAGCTAGGATAAACCCCTATTTAAAACAATGAATAGTAGAGAATGGCATATAATAGCTGCCTTTGTAATAATAATTTGTTAATCTATACTAAATGGGAAATATATGACTCACTCTATCGAGTCTACAATGGCGGTAAATGCTATCCATACGCTATCTACTCTTTTTGTCCAAGTGCAGGACCTACCGTTTAAAGCTAAACACTGAAAGTTTATTGCCAGAAATAAATCACACTCCTAGAGTCTAAACCAACATAACCATTATGCCAGCTACAAGAAAAGTAGATTGTAAAACTAACCAAACTATGTTCATTAGAAGAAGTCAATCCCCAAGGACCTTTAGTGTTAGAAATTAGCCCTGGAGATCAGATACACGATTCTTCTAGGAGATTGAACCTATAGAGAGATATTATGTGGATTCTGGAGTCCTGATGGGTACGGCAAAATGGATTTACAATGTAACATTGATTAATTATATAATTTATTATTTATTCTGTTTATTATAAAGTTGAAGTAGCACACTGCCATCAAACGTATTTCATTTCCATCTGTATAAATGTTAATAACTGGATGGGCAATTGTTTAATTATGTCACATAATCTAAAACTAATTTAATTTTGCTTTGCTTCTTTATTCCTCTATTTTAACTGCCATTCTATAAATTTTGCAGATTCTATAAATATTGGTGTAAAGTATTTAATTCTTAAGTTGTGAATTATTTTTTAGAAAGTAGACAATTAATAATGCCTTCTCAACATATAATCTTTCTTCACCGAAGATTTTTGTGAAAATCAGTCCTTTTTTTTATTTTAAATTAATAGTTGCTTTGGTTATAATAGATTTTTGTTTGACCTTTTGTGGGCCTGAAAAATTAAGATTTGAAGAGAAGACTTCTAATGGTAAGTATAAAACATTTTTTTAACATGGGTGGGGGGTGGACCCATATAGGTCTACATGAGAGTACCTAACTGCCACCCATGACTGGGGGATGATAGAGCCCTGATTCACTGACTATTGGCAGGTGTCTCGAGGGGAGATGGGGGACTAAGTGTTCCCCATTTATATTAATTGTAGCCTCCAGGTAGAACCATGGGGAGAACACTATATCCTCAATCATTTACTGTTTAACTTATAGTCCCATTGGTGTAGGCATGGAGGGTGGACAGTAATCTGTCCAACATCCATTCTGTAAATTGAATACCCATGGGTTGAGCATGGGAAGCAAGAACTCCCCTTCTAATTAGTTAGTGATAATTAGTGTATAATTACAGCTTTTTTAAAAATTTTCATTGTTGCTTCGGTTTTAAAAGATTTTTATTTGACCTTTTGTGGCTCTGAAAATGAAGATTTCAAAAGAAGACTTCTAATTAATCAATTATTATTTTTTCCCAATCGTTTCTGTTATTAATCAAGATAGTATTACAGGATATAACATTTCATACGAATAACATGTTCTAATATTTCACAAAACGGCCTCATTCAAAGTACCTCATAATGTAAATAGTCACATAGAAGAGGATAAACAACCTTTATTAGAAAAAAATGCTAAAATGGTATATAGTCCAAATACTATTACCATACATTAAAATAGTGTATTGATTATAAGTTAACCACCAAATTTATAAAAGCCTGGGAGAGGCTAATCCTGCAAGGTATGTTTGACTTAATAAAGGTGTAAAAATACACCTAAAATAATAAATAGGTAACAAAGCAGGTTAGTCTAAATCCATTCTAGGAAAGGACCCAACTGGGTAATTGGATAGAAAAAGGATAGTCTTAGAGCAGTGTCTGAGAGAATCTGGAAAGGGCAGGGTTAATAGCAACTAATGGGGCGCGCCCAAACTAATATCGAGTAGCTTATACTAAAGAGAAAAGGAGCTAATACCCCACAAAGAGAGGAAAGATAGAACCCCCCCTCTGAGTCACCCTAAAAAACTAACTAGAGAAACAGCAAAACTAACTGCTGCTTCGTGGCAGGTAAATGAAAGATGAGAGTAAAGAAAATCAATTGAGTATAATAGCATCGGCTAGAAAATATCTTGATATATAAAATATACTCAATTGATTTTCTTTACTCTCATCTTTCATTTACCTGGGTTTCCACAGCGCCTGAGTTTGCGCCTATATTTTCTCCTGATACAGACTTAGGGATTTGGATAGGCTGCCACGAAGCAGCAGTTAGTTTTGCCGTTTCTCTTAGGATAGTTAGTTTTTTAGGGTGACTCAGAGGGGGGGTTCTATCTTTCCTCTCTTTGTGGGGTATTAGCTCCTTTTCTCTTTAGTATAAGCTACTCGATATTAGTTTGGGCGCGCCCCATTAGTTGCTATTAACCCTGCCCTTTCCAGATTCTCTCAGACACTGCTCTAAGACTATCCTTTTTCTATCCAATTACCCAGCTGGGTCCTTTCCTAGAATGGATTTAGACTAACCTGCTTTGTTACCTATTTATTATTTTAGGTGTATCTTTACACCTTTATTAAGTCAAACATACCTTGCAGGATTAGCCTCTCCCAGGCTTTTACAAATTTGGTGGTTACTTATAATCAATACACTATTTTAGTGTATGGTAACAGTATCTGGACTATATACCATTTTAGCATTTTTTTCTAATAAAGGTTGTTTATCCTCTTCTATGTGACTATTTACATTATGAGGTGCTTTGAATGAGGCTAGGCGTTCCACCCACTTTTTTGTGAGTGGACTGTCTGCCCCATTTTTCGTCTCTTTTTTTCTATATATATTGTGGGGTTACGCCCCTTGTACCTCTGTAACCTTTTTGTGGGGTAGTGGTGGTGGTTTCCCCACCCCATAGCCCCTCTCTCTTTCTTCCAATTCTGATGTTCTAATATTTTACAATAGATTACAATAGGTCATGCAGTATATCAAGGCAGATCATCACGTTAATATGTATAACACAGAAACATATGTAAGTTAATATCTTAAGTACATATAGCAAAGTATTTTATTTTCATATATATTCAATAAATAGCATCCTTCCTTGATTTGTCCATATTAACTCAGGGAATTACAGTAGCAAATGTATCTCTCAAAATAAAAGAAGGCCTAAACTAAGTCATTTTCTTCTCAACAGAAGGAAACGGCTTAGTTAGATCAAACTTTACATCTTGTTAAATTGTTTTGTTTATGTTTATGAATTTGGGTCGTATGTCAATTTAGAAGTAATTAAATTTTGTTGAAAATGTTCTTGAGTAAGGAACGACGATAGAAAGAAACAAAAAAAAAAAGTCAAACAAAATAGAGAGACAAAAGATTGAAAATGGAGACAAAGTAGATAGTTGAGTCACATTTATAAGTAGTTGGAAGAGAGGATTATTATGTCACAACTTTCTGCTCATCTCCACCTTCTAACTGTTAAGATACCTCTGTATCATTAATCTTATTATTATGTTGCACTAAGTATTCTAACCATGGGTACCAAGCACTTAAACGTTTTGTGGTGTTACACAAAATAGATGCCTGAATCGCTTCTGCAGTCCGAATCCCATCTACCTTCTGAAGCCACTGTTCCTTATTTGGTTTACATGTTTGTTTCCAGAGGGCAGCTATTAGAGCTTTAGCGGCATTAAGGAAGTGTCCCAACATTTATTTTTTTATTGATAAATATTGGCATTGAGGTCAAATGTAGATGTACTAAATCTGCATAGACCTAAAATGTCAGAAGTGGTGTTTTTTACTACAATCCAAAATGGAATCATTTTTGGACAGATCCACCAAATATGTATCACAGTGCCTTCTGATGATACTAATTGTTGCTGACAAAGATTCCGAACAAAATGTCTTCCCATATGTCAACGCCTTTAATGCCCATTTTAATTTCTGAATTAGTAAATGTTTAAGCAGTTTAAAATAGCATATAATATATATATATATATATATATATCAAATCTGTCTGGTCCTGGTGCCCATCCTGTCTTGGCCATCTTATGAGCTGTACATATTTCCTCATCAATAATAGGAGAATCTAATGCTTTCGCCATATCTGCCGTCACAGATTTAGGGGTATATTCCCATAAGTACTTTGCAATCTTATGTGTCTTTTCTATTTCAGATAATTGTGGCCTATCTTTATAAATATTATACAATGAATAATAGAACGAGTGAAGTTCTTTATTAGTATCTTATGGAAAAGGTGAAGTACCACCTATTGACAATTTCAGTTTATCTGTCTGAGTGAGTGGTTGTTGACCCTTTAAAATTAATCTCTCTTGTTGGCATGAATAGACTTCTCACAGGCAGCTCCTTTCCTTTGGAACAGCCTGCCTATCCCTGTCAGACTCTCCCCTAGTCTTCAATCCTTTATGAAGTCCCTCAAAATCCATCTTTTCAGGAATGCTTATGGCCTCCAAGAGTAACTTCTATCTCGCAAACCTTCCTCTCACTCTCTACTATAGAGCCCCACTCCACTCTCACCTCCAGCTCTGCTACATTCTCACCATCTCTATTTGCTGTCTTTCTCAATACCCTTGCTATTGTGTTTTTATACCCCACCTCTTCTAGACTGTAAGCTTGTTTGAGCAGGGTCCTCAATTACTATTGTTCCTGTTACATTTTGTTATTGTCTCATTTCGTAAATTCCCCTTTTATTGTAAAGAGCTGCAGAATAAGCTGGCGCTAAATAAATACCAATAATAATAATAATATAAAAAAAAAAACCTTTCAAGCGTTGTACATTCTTGTAATGTTTGTGTGTGATAAGTGTCGTTAACAGTCATCGTGCATTCAAATGTTCTCTCTCTCTATATATATCATTAATTTGCATACATTTGTGTTGTAAATCCAGTTCTGAAATGTGGGTATGATGGTCTAATATTTGTTTTAACATCTCTTTTTTCTTCTGTGTGGCTACTCTAATAAAGCATTTATGAGGTTCCCACACTGTCACTGGTTCCCACACTAGGTCATTTTTCCAAAACTAATAATTCTAATGATTTATGTATCTGAGACTTATTTAGTCTCCATGTCCATACCTTAGATTCCTTAATTATTTTTAACATAGTTGGGGGCTGGATCTATATAGGTATATATGAGAACCTTAAACTGCCACCAATGACTGGAGGCTGAGTTTTAAACTTCCCTTGTACTAATGTGGTGGTCACATTGACTCCCGATGGCTTTTTTACATTTATATTCTTTTTTTTTTTTAAATCTGGTACCTGGCTAGTAAATGCCGGCCAACTAGCAAATGAATAACCCTCATGCCACAGAGATGTCTGGTTGAGTTGATTTTCAGTTTTCCAAAAATGTTCGGTTGACATGAACAGACACAACCCTGAATGTTGGAGGTACTAAACAGTTTTTATTTTTTTTATTTTGCTCTTTAGAAGCACATTATTTCACTGTGCAAAAGTCTATTTATTTGGGATTATTGTCCTGTGGCTGAGTGACAGGCAATACAGGGTTGTAGTCAATGGAGTATATTCAAAGCATGGTCTTATTAGCAGTGGGGTATTTCAGGAATCTGTACTTGGACCCATTCTCTTTAATGTTTTTATTAGTGATATTGCAGAAGCTCTTGATGGTATGATATGTCATTTTGCTGACGATACAAAAATATATAAAAGGGTTGATGTTCAAGGAGGGATAAACCAAATGGCAAATGATTTAGGAAAACTAGAAAAATTATCAGAGCTGTGGCAACTGACATTTCATTTGGATAATTGTAAACTCCTTTACTGTGTTAACCTCTACCACTTCAGCTGGAAGGCTATTCCATGCATCCACTACCCTCTCAGTAAAGTAATACTTCCTGATATTATTTTTAAACCTTTGTCCCTCTAATTTAAGACTATGTCCTCTTGTTGTGGTAGTTTTTCTTCTTTTAAATATAGTCTCCTCCTTTACTGTGTTGATTCCCTTTGTGTATTTAAATGTTTCTATCATATCCCCCCTGTCTCGTCTTTCCTCCAAGCTATACATGTTAAGATCCTTTAACCTTTCCTGGTAAGTTTTATCCCGCAATCCATGAACCAGTTTAGTAGCCCTTCTCTGAACTCTTTACAAAGTAACATCAACTAAAGAAGCCTTCAAGAGAGTCAAAAAGCGTTTTGATTAAGAAGGATCTTATTATGTTTTATTTTGTATTTTTTTGTTTTTTCTATCTTATATAGCCATAAAGTATCACTTCGACTGCCATTGATGCCCGGTGGATTTATAACTGGAAGCAAAGGAGAACGCACTCAATCAGTATACAGAAGAGGTAGTAGGATCCCTACAAATATCCTACAATGCCTATATATTAAGTGTAATGTGACAGGCTCTCACTTTGTGAGTACAAATCTGTATGAATATACATTACAGCTATATATATAGACAATATTGCACTAGGATCTGTTCTTTGTCCTATTGCAGATCATATCAATTTCTGTATTGCATACCAATATCCATTACTTATTTGATGCAACAGATTCCACCTACTGTATGTATTTCATGTTTTTATTTTTATTTTTTTTAATTAAATCTGTTGGTGTGGGTTAAGAGGATACCACACAGGTGTTTGATTGTTTTGCATTGACTGTCACTGGGATTTTGTACTTTTTTGTTTAGACATTCACATTTACATTTCAGTTTACCGAATCAGCAGAAACAAGAGATTCATATCTCGTGTTCAAAAGTTCATGTTCCCTATATAATCACACACTGTTCCATAGATTAGCTTTGTTCTGTACTACAAATACAAGGGAAACCAAGGACATAGTTCAAACCAAGTCACAAGTGTGTCATTGTTAGAATGGATTTAGGACTTCTAGGGACATTTCTTCTGGTAACCTGTATTACTGTTCTGTTTTATCTATATACATGGTGGGGCAAAATTAGGAAGGGAAATTTGCCCCCTGGACCTACGCCTCTGCCCCTGCTGGGAAATATTCTTCAATTTAGCACAAAGGAATTCCCCCGGTCAGTGATTAAGGTAAGTAGACAATTTCACTAATAACCATTAACAAATATCTTCCTCTTGAAGGTATTCAATTGGAAGAACTAGATTGATAATTTAATGATGTATCTAGAATTACTGAATACATTAAACCCATCCACCCTCTCCCAGCCCCCAACAAAAAGTTTAATCAAAAGCACCCAGGTGAGAACACACAGGGAAAATACATACCCTGGGTCCAGAATTCCCTTTCAGCTGTGGTTCCCTGGGTTAGATTATGATCAAAACATCTGGAATTTTGACTTTGCAAAACCAGGAGATAAAGCTTATCAAGTTGGAGCACTCTGAATGAAGAGTATGAAGATTTGAATCATAGTCTTGTGTTTATGGTAAAATGAACGGAACTCCAGATTGATCAGTGCAATATTTAACTTTTAATTTTATATATGTATTTTTAATATTGAAAGATCAACTAATACCTTGTTTTTCATGCATTTCATTATTGAATTGCACCTTGATCTTGACTTTTTAACCTAATAAATTCACCTAAATCCAATATTTACAAGAATTGCATTTTATGTGTCTTAAATTACGATTAAATTGGATCTTGTGAGTTCTAATCTGTGTATTTCTAATACTGGATTGGCTGGATAATTTCTAGATTTTGATGAATGTCTGAAAAAAAAAATATTGCCGAATTTTTAATGCGGACATTGTATTCTTACTAAATTATTCTAACATCAACCCCATTTAAGATGTAGTAGTACGTCAGTCATTTATACAACACTGAAGCTGAGTTAATTTCTTCAAGGAATTCTGTAATATGACAACTAAATGAACGTTAAACGATATTCCAGGCAGGATGTTGAGTAACGTGGGTCATGGCATTTCCCCTTTGTTCTGTATATTATCTGGATTATCAGTAATGGGAGAGAGACAAAAAAGATGGTGACATTTTGAGCCAAGCTGGAGCTGTGGGTTTTTGCAGCCTGGCCAGAACTGTGATTGTAGCATAGATGGAAGCATGTGTCAATATGTGTTTATATTTTTGTAATGTATGCATGTGTTTATATGTCTGTGCAAAGCTATTGATAGGTAGAGCTTACATTGCCATAGCCCGATATTTGGGGATCTTTAGCCCTGGGCCTCTCCAGTTGGTGGAGAGACAGGAGGACATCAGTCAGCTCCTTTGAGAAGAAGCATTTTTTATATTAAGAAAGATTAGAAGTATAGTGCTTCCCATAGGTATGTAAAGGGGCCCAAATGACTGTCAGATGGGGTACTGGGAAGAGAACTATCGATCTATCCATCCATCCATCCACCCATTCATCTAATGTTTTTCCTATATTTCTTTGCTTGGATTTTAAGTAGACTTTTCAATGTCTCTGTTTTTCTTTAACTATTAAAAAGATACCTAATGTGGTTACACTAACACTCTCCCTGTAATTCTCTCTGAAGCTGAGTGAGAAATATGGACCCGTGTTTACGATTTATCTAGCCAAAAGACGAGCAATCATGCTAATTGGACACGACACGGTGAAGGAGGCTCTTGTTGATCACAACGATGAATTTGGCAACAGGGGTACTTCAGACATATTGTATTTGTTCACCAAGGATTATGGTAAGTTTCACAAAATCATGCTATTTAAATCACCTGAGAGCTACCTATACATCAGTACCTTCCAGATTTAATCTTGAAATAATGAACATTCGACCTAGCATCACATTTCTTAACACATCTGTTACTATTAATTCTTAGAACCTTGCATAAACTATACTGTTCTTTCTTGTGTGTAGCTCTTTAGTTTAGACTAAATTGTGTAGTTTTTTTTTTTTATTAACTACATGTGGATTTTTTCATAAACAAAATCTTTTGAGGATTATTCACTGAATACAGGATTGTAATGAATCAAAAACTGTATTGCAAAATTTACCAAAATAGTGATGATATGAAAAATCTATAAACTAAGTTATGGTCTCAGCAATTATGCTTAATTTTGGATTTCATTCACAATATAACATTTGCTAAATTAAGCTTAAAATCTGAATTTCTAGGAAAATGATCAGGGAATGCAAATGTAAGGCCAAAAAGACTAAGATCAAAATATATATGTAGAGAATTTTTCCAATATGTGGTTATTTGGTAATTAAAACAAAAAATCTCATTGTGGTGAATAAGATGTAGTGTTTTTAAGAGTTATTATGAGCAATGCAAAAAGAAGGAAACTCATGCAACAGTTCTGTCTGAGACTACAGTGAGTCTCACCACCTAAAATCATGTTCTCTAGAGTTTTTGAGTAGTAACTGCGTTGCTGAGAACTACCAAATCCAATATGTCTCTCCTTATGGATGTTCGTAGGAATGCTCTTTAGCAATGGAGAGAGGTGGAAGACATTGCGGAGATTCTGTCTCATGACATTGAGAAATTTTGGAATGGGGAAGAGAAGCATTGAGGAGAGAATCCAAGAGGAAGTTCAATGTCTTTCAGAAGTCTTTCAAAAATATAAAGGTCAGTACACATTACATGCGTGTAATATGAAAGATATACTATATTGTGTTTATGGGAAAGTAAACAAAAAAAAATATATATATATATATATATATACAATAATTGCACATTAATGAAAAAATAAAAAATCACTTATTGAACATTACTTTATTTTAATGAAGAAGGCACCAGTCTGTTTAATATAATATGTAGGAAATGTTTCTTAATTTGTGATAAAATTATATTATTCTTTGAGAAATACTATATCTAGGTATTTAGTCTGCTTGTGTACAGAGCATTCTAGACTAATAATTATTTTGTTTATTTTAGTCAATTTATTTTATATACTTGAAATCCCAGTATATGTGATTCTTTTCCTAATAATTGTTACAATAGATACCTCTTTTGATCCCGCAAATTTATTGAGAAAAGCTGTGTCCAATGTGATTGTCTCTATTGTATTCGGAGAAAGATATGATTATGAAGACAAGGCGTTTAATGATATTCTGTCAAATCTTAGAGAAATCATTGGGCTATTGAATTCATCTTCTGGTTTGGTGAGTATTGCCTTATAATTCTTGACTTCCAGTAAACGACATCATAATACCTGCATAATGCATAATGTGGTATATGTGATGAGACTGTGGTGATCTCCAGTGAAGTTCTTGGGGTTACGAAGTAATGTTTATGCAGTGTGAACTATAATAAGGTATTTTAATGCAATCTCAACAAGCTGGGATATTACTTTGGATAAGACTAGAGCGACCTCCATCACCTGCTGTAAATGTGTTGCCTCTTGCATAGCTGGTAGCCAACTTTCTCAAAATGTATTAATATTGGTCAACAAAAACAGGGTTATTCACAAACGCCTGAATGGTCCAGTATCGAATGGGCCATCTGACAAACCATCTGGCTGCATACAGCACCATCTGGACTACAAAATCTGGGCATTGTTCAACCAATTCAATAATGTCTGGATTTTGCAATAACAGAACATGCCTAAATTAGGTCCTGGTGAAGCCACGGCAGGCTGAAATCTGAACCCGAATGTTTCAAATACAGATCCTTATTTTAAAAAATCTGAGCTATTTCCCCATGGCAGCACACAAAGTCAGCAGGAAAATCGTTATCATGACATTCCCTCAACATCAACATTCAACAGCACTAAGCAAGAAAATGTATCGATCTTCACCTTTTAAAAAAAGCTCTGCACGGAATGAGTCTTTAAAGTAGGAAGAAAATATATCAAGGTTTACCCACACTTTCAATTTTCATTAGAGTGCCCTGATTGGTTGGCTTATAAATCAACCAATCCAGAGCGCTTTGTCAAGCAAGTCTCACTTCTCTCGATACTTGCAATTTGAAATTTCTGAATTCCAACTGTATTTGGCTTCAGTAAATATGAGAATTGCCAATGTTAAATGTTTACAACACTTCCTTATCGTGTTAATGTTTATTCTTTAGGCTACCATTCCCCACTGAGGTGCTCTCTGTTCCTTCTTGAGATGGGTCGGGAGTACCTGTCCTCTGTGGGGGATAGAAACATAGTAACATAGAATGTGGCAGCAGATAAGAACCATTCAGCCCATCTAGTCTAATTTTCTAAATAGATAAAATTAATGATAACCCTGACCAAAAACAAACGAGTTAAAGAATATGATAACTAAGATAAGACTTAACCTATATTCGTGCTAGTTAAAAGGAACTATATGTTTCTAAATAGTAATAGTCTTTTTTCGTCAACAAACGGATTGTTTGCAACAAATGTTGCTGTTTAGGTGTTACATAGTAACATAGATACTTTAAGATATTTAGAAAATCAACACAGCCTTATTGTTAGATACAATTATGAGTATTCTGTATTTAGTCAGCACGATTTGGTGAGTTAGCACCAGTATAGGCCCCGGACATCTAAGCAAGGGCTTCTTCTCACCTATCACAATACTGAGAGTTTCACATTTCAGTGCATACTTTATTTATTACTATTTTTGTGTTTTTCACCATATTTTTTATGTTGTTCTTATTTTACCAATACTCCTTTCCTATATTTGTAAATACCTTGGTTTTTCTCTTTATTTTTGTTCCAATTATCTGTCATCAATTTATATATTCCTCTATTTAGAGGTTTACTGACAGCCTATTCAGACGCCATTTCATTACTACTTAGGAACATACAGTTCCTTTTAACTAGCACATTTAAAGGTTAAGTCTTATCTTAGTTATCATATTCTTTTACTTATTTGTTTTTGGTCAGGTTAATCATCAATTTAATCTATTACTCCTCTGGGTTCATGCCCTTCTACCCTTAGACCCCTTATGCAATTTCTCCCACTCTTTGTCTCATAACTATTTTCTAAATACTTTCATTAGTCCCTAGCCTTATCTTATAGTTAGGATAGCCTTATGCCTATCCCACGCATGCTTAAACTCCCTCACTCTGTTAACCTCTACCACTTCAGCTGGAAGGCTATTCCATGCATCCACTACCCTCTCAGTAAAGTAATACTTCCTGATATTATTTTTAAACCTTTGTCCCTCTAATTTAAGACTATGTCCTCTTGTTGTGGTAGTTTTTCTTCTTTTAAATATAGTCTCCTCCTTTACTGTGTTGATTCCCTTTATGTATTTAAATGTTTCTATCATATCCCCCCTGTCTCGTCTTTCCTCCAAGCTATACATGTTAAGATCCTTTAACCTTTCCTGGTAAGTTTTATCCCGCAATCCATGAACCAGTTTAGTAGCCCTTCTCTGAACCCTCTCTAAGGTATCAATATCCTTCTGAAGATACGGTCTCCAGTACTGTGTACAATACTCCAAGTGAGGTCTCACCAGTGCTCTGTACAATGGCATGAGCACTTCCCTATTTATACTGCTAATACCTCTCCCTATACAACCAAGCATTGTGCTAGCATTTCCTGCTGCTCTATTACATTATCTGCCTACCTTTAAGTCATCAGAAATAATCACCCCTAAATCCCTTTCCTCAGATGTTGAGGTTAGGACTCTATCAAATATATTTTTACATCCACAATGCATTATTTTGCATTTACCACAATAAATGTCAGTTGCCATTTTTGGGGGGGATGGTCCTGGTGCCTATATCACCACTTGCTGATTGTATGAATGTCTTCACCTTACCTTCATTCTGCTCTTATATCATACGTCACAATAAAAATACTTTGTTCCTGCCTCACTCGATATAACTATTGGATACTGTTATTTTATTACGTTCATTAGTATCTCAACAGTCTCTTTTAGTTCTTTCTCCCTTTATAGTACTTGAAGGGATAATATACTCATCATAACAACTACAGCTTAATGTTGTTGTTCTGGTGAGTAAAGTATGTCTTTTAGGGTTATTGCAGTTAACACTATGTTTTCAGAGAAAATGCAGTGTTAGTCTAAGGACACCTCCAGTGGCCACTCCTCAGATGGCTGCTTGAAGTGCTTCCTGGTCAGTGCTGCACAGTGTGACTGACATTCAGTGTATCCACCCTCTGCATGGAAACACTGAACTTTCCTCACAGAGTGATTCAATGCATCTCTATGAAAAAATGCTGATTGGCCAGGGCTGCATTTGACTCTACTCCCGGCCCGCATCCTTGGCTCAGATCATCAGAATTGACAATCTCAGACAATCCAATGATTTCCTATGGAAAAGCACAGTGATTTCTGAGATCATCATTTCTGATGATGTCAGCCAAGGAGGCAGATCATGGGAAGAGCCAGCACCAGCAGACTGGAATAAAGGTAAGATTCTTCTATGAGAGCAGGGGGGTAGATAGTGATTTTAACACTATAGGGTCAGGAATATATGTTTGTGTTTCTGACCCTATAGTGTTCGTTTAAGGCAAACTATAGTGCCAGGAAAACAGACTTGTTTTCCTGGCTCTATAGCTTCCCCCTCAGTCAAGCTCCCCTCCTCGTCCCCCAAAACCCCTTCTGTCACTTCATTAGGTCCAGCATTGTTGTTGCTTGGTGTTGGCTCGGGTGCTCCTTATTTTATCTTCTGCCGACATCAGCCGGTAGGGGAGACCTAATGCGCATGAGCAGCAATGTCCCTTTGATGAACTGTAATAGGATTTAGTTTAATAGGGTTCCTTACTTGTGTGTTGTAAAGATTTATATAATCAAGAGTATAATAGAATTTTTATAGAGATGGTTTCTCATTTGATACTTTTTTAGCATATCTCATAAGGATTACTGCACTCTAGCCATTTGATCGGGCATATAATATTTACAGTTATGGGACGTGTCAACTAAACTGTGCTCTATTGTATTCCCTCTTCAGTCTGTTTTGATTATTATTTATAAGTATGGGTTGTGCCCCTTACATGGGGAGACCTCATTCTTCTTACAATGTTTTTTGTTATAGTTGTTCCGAATTTTTCCATATGTGGCTAAATGGATCCCTGGACCTCACCAGAAAGTTTTCACAATTATGCAGCGGGTAAGAAAGTTTTTGAGAGATCAGAAAAATTCTCATCATGAGTCACTGGATGCAAACTGCCCGAGGGACTTAATAGACTGCTTCTTGATAAGGATGGCTCAGGTAGGACTCTGTAACATAAGAAATGTTTGGTTTTAAAAACTTCTAGAATTAATATTTTTGCAAAGGATGGAAAAAAATACATGTATTTAATGTTCCATATTCTCGTAGGATAAAAATAATCCCAATACAGAATTTCATGAAGAGAATTTATTGATGACTATAATGGATTTATTCTTTGCGGGCACTGAGACCACAAGCCTATCACTAAGATATGCCTTCCTGATAATGCTGAAATATCCAGATATACAAGGTATCATTATTACTCATCAATATTATTGCAGTTATAAAGGGATTATGAGAATTATATAATCACACTATATATATATTCCTCTTTTTAGAAAAATTTTAAAAGAAGAAATATTTTTAGTAAAATTGAAAGAAAGTGCTGATTAGACCACGGCTTGCTGTCCACACCGTTGTAGATAGATTTCGGGAAAAATAATATATCAAACCAAAAACGAACCAGAGCAAAATTTTTCAAGTACATTCATTTTGATAACAATACAAAATATGGGAGTTATGCTAAACAGCTAAAAGATAAGGGCTCTAGATTTTAAATATTGAAACGTAGAAAGTGACAGCAGATAAGAAATATTCGGTCTATCAAGTCCGTCCATCAGCTGTTAGCAGACAGAATCCTAGTCTTGGATCCCTAAATAGCACACATAAGGATCACAAATTAGGATGTTATCTACGAAACAGTTGAAAAATTTAAATTAAGCAAAGAGTATCTGAAATTCAAAAATTAACAAATTTTCTAATTGAAATTTGGTTCGCCCGAAACAGTAATTTTCTGAATCTTAGAAGACCCAAAATTAAAAAAATAAGAAATCGATCTGAAACCAATTAAAACTATTTTTCCCCTGTGTACATCTCTAATGTACAGTAATGGAAACACCATTAATTAATTTAAAAAAACACAATATTTACAAGGAGATTCTGATAATGTAGCAAAATATACATAATGCAAATCTGGGTAAAATAACAGTTTATTTTTTTTAATTATTATTAATTACAGATCAGATAGCTAACTTGAAACTTCTAGTCAACTTTCAGAATATGCCATCCACAGGTGTTATTAGAATAAAAGACATGGTTTGACAAAGAGTTCTTTTAACATTAAATTATACATATTTTATTTTCATTGAAGTAGCGTGTCATTCTTTAGTGTCTCTAGGAAGGACCGTTGATGGTAACAACCTTGACTCAATGAAGAGTAGACTTCATGCAAAAAAATAAGAAAATATGAGAACAGAGTAGCTTGATTGGCTAAATGCACCAAGTGCTAAACAAGCAGTTTATTTGAAGCAGACAGTTAAAATACAAAACGTTTTGGCATTCAAACCTTCATCAGTGAATAAGGGGTGTTGGCACTGATGAAGGATTTTATTTTCTCTGTATAGTATTTTGCTCCTGCACAAGCAACAGGAGATTGAGATGACAGCAGCATGTTTTTTTTGTTTTTTTTATACATGTTTTCAGGATCCTAGATCCTGAATATCTACCATTTCATCTATCATTGTTGCCACAATAGTATACTTGAATCTGATTTATAAAAATAACTATTACTGGTGGCAGTCTTTTTTTTTTATATTTACTGTATGTGTATGTTGTTTTATTTTTCTGTGATTATATTGTTTTTGGTCTATTTACTTCAGAAAAGATCCACAAAGAGATAGACCGTGAGATCGGCCATGATCGATGTCCATCAGTAGAGGACCGGATTAAGATGCCCTATACAGATGCCGTAATCCATGAAATACTGAGATTCGGTGACACCGTGCCTATGGGAGTTATGCACACAACCAGTCAAGACACGACCTTCAGGGGATATGACATTCCTAAGGTCACAAACTTTGAGTAATATAGGGAAATAATTAAGATAGGGATAGCTAGAGTAAATAAATATATACAAAAGTAATATTTATAAAACCAATTGCAAAGTATTATATAGCCAACATGAGGTGGATAGTTGGATTTTAAAAAGTTTTTAAAAATAAGCAAAAATAATAAATCCATGTGTTCCCATGGTGTAATTCTATCTGTCTGTATTTTCATTTTGCTGTTTGTCACTACAAATCCTAAAAGTGAGACCCGTGTGCATTGATTGCATTTTTATATATACATTTTATATTTTCTTAATATTTTACATTACTTAAGCTTTTTTGTTTTTCATCTTTCTAAAATCCATATATAATTGTGTACTATTTTTACAAATTCTAACCCTCTTCTAACATTTTAATATTTTGTAGTTAAATCCAAGAACATAAAAGTAAAACACTTAATGGGATTTTTACCATTTGTTTTAGTCCTCAATTAACACTCTGAAGGTGCAAACTGTTTTTCATTTTAACTCTGTGTTGTTACACTACAATATGTACAAATGTCCAAGATTGGGTAAATACTTAAAAGGCATTGTATCACCATCTCCATCCAAATCACTCCGCTTTCCAACATATCCATTATATCAATAAAACTGCAGACTATACCATATTATGTTTTTGCACCATCAGTACAACCTGCTCTTTCATGCTCTCTCCCCTACCATTACAAAAAAACGTGATCTATCTATTTAAGGTTTATCTCCTGTCCGCTTGATCCAGTACCTTCCCACCTCATCAGAGCTCTCATCCCTTGTCTTGTACCATCCTTAACACACATTCTAAACTGCTCTCTTATATCTGGTGTTGTCCCTGCTCCCCTTAAGCATGCTACTGTCATACCCATCCTAAAAAAGCCATCCCTAGACCCGTCTTCCACTTCCAACTATCATTCCATATCCCTGCTTCCTTTCTCCTCAAAGCTTCTAGAAAGACTTGTCTTTACTCGTATGACTCACACCTAAATTCCAACTCCCTCCTCCTTCCTCTTCAATCTGGCTTTTACCCCCTCCACTCTACTGAGACTGCTCTTATTAAAGTTACAAATTATAGCCAACTCCAAAGGCCACTACTCAATACTAATTCTTCTTGACCTCTCTGCTGCCTTTGACACTGTTGATCATGGCCTCCTTCTCCTAACTCTTCAATTTCTCTCTCATGGTTCTCCTCCTATCTCTCCCAATGCTCCACTAGTGTCTCTTTTTCCAACAGCACCTTCTCTCCTCTCCTCTCCTCTCCTCTCCTCTCCTCTCCTCGTCCTGTCTCAGTCTGAGTCCCTCAAGATTCAGTTATTGGTCTCATTTTGATCTCTCTCTATACTGCCTCTCTTGGCAAACTCATTCATTCATTTGGATTCCACTACCACCTGTATGCTTATGACACCCAGATATATCTCTCCTCCCCTGACCTCTCCCCTACTGTCTTACAACGTGTCACCAATTGCATTTCTTCTATCTCTAATTGAATAAAGGCAATTTTCTTATTTTTCCTCCTCATAATACTGATTCTCCTCCTTCACTCTCCCTGCAGGTTGACGGTACCTGCCTCCCCCCATCCTTTCAAGCTCACTGTCTTGGTGTCACTTTTAATCCTGGCCTCACCTTTGCGCCTTATGTCCAGTCTGTTGCTAAATCCTGTCGAATCCAATTTAAAAACATTGCCCGCATACTCCCCTTTCTTACGCAAGATGCTGCCAAGTAGCTTGTTCATGCTCTAGTACTCTCTTGCATCGATTACTGTAATTCTCTCCTAATTGGTCTCCCCAGAAGCCGTACTGTCCCCCTACAATCTGTGGTGAATGCTGCTGCCAGGTTGATCGTTCTCTCCTGTCGCTCCTCTCACACATCACCCCTCTGTCAATCCTTACATTGGCTTCCGGTCCCCTATAGGTGTCAATTTAAAATACTAACCCTTATCTATAAAGCTCTAACCAACTTTAGCCTTTCTTGCATTTCTTCACTTATTCATAGGTATGCCCACTCGGTCTCTCGGCTCTACTAGTGACCTTATCCTTTCTTCTGCTCACACCCTTACTGCAAATTCACGCCTACAAGACTTCTCACAGGAGGCTCCTTTACTTTGGAACAACCTGCCTAACCCTGTCAGACTCTCCCCTAATCTTCAATCTTTTAAGAAGTCCCTCAAAACCCATCTTTTCAGGAATGCTTATGGCCTCCAAGAGTAACTTCTCTCTCTCAAACCTTCCTCTCGCTCTCTCCTATAGGGCCACACTCCACTCTCACCTCCAGCTCTGCTACATTCCCACCATGTCTATTTGCTGTCTCCCTAAATACCCTTCCTATTGTATTTTTATACCTCACCACCTCTAGACTGTAAGATCGTTTGAGCAGGATCCTCAACTACCTATTGTTCCTGTTACGTTTTGTTAATGTCTCATTTGGTAAATTCCCCTTTTATTGTAAAGCGCTGCGGAATAAGCTGGCGCTATATAAATACCAATAATAATAATAATCTCTACCTGGTCATTGCCTTCTGTGCTTCTGCTATTGTGTTTAAAGTGTGTTGGTGTCCACAATGCTTCAGTATGTCACATGACATGCCCCAATCACATAAAGACACTAAGCCAAATTCACTTGCTCGCTGCCTGTCTAGTATAGAGAATAAAATCCTTGACATATGAGTGGCAGATAAGAACCTCTACACGGCAGTGATGACAAGTGTGTTGCAGGTTTTAGACGTGTGCTTTTCGAGAAAACCCGGTTTGACAAAGCCATTTTGCCCCAAAATAGAAACTTTTTAATTTCAGCTGATTAAAAAATTCTGCTGAGCCAAACAGATAATCAGGATTTTAATTCAGGAACCAAATTAAAGGACAAAAAAATGAAACTGGGCCAATCGAAGTGCTGCTAAATATATATATATAATCTAATATTATGTACATATTTTGCAGTAAACTGATAGGAGAGTTTTTCTGCCATTTGGTATTCAGATCAAGTGATAAAAGTAATCAACAAGGGAAAAATGAGAGGAGCAGCAAAAAAAATTAAAATAAATTGCATTTACATATTTATTTCAATTATAAATATAAATTTTATTTTCTGCTTTTCCCTCTATTGTCAACTTCTCATTTAATCTGTGCATAAAATGAACATTTAGTGATTGGCCCTATCGTACCTCGCTATTCCTGATGTCTGGTTTCCCGGACTCTGGTTTGTCTCTGACCATTCTCAGTCTTTTGTTCAGCACGGCCACTCTAACGTCTGGAATATGTTTATTTTTTGGTTTATAATTGCACACTGCGTGTTGGATCTTTCAGTATTCCTGCCAGACTGAAAATGAATCTGCAAATCTAATAGATTACCCTCCACTGATCAAAGCCATAAATCTACAGGGATGGGTGAAATTTACGTTTTTAGAACACTGAAATGATCTTTCTGATAAATGTTCAAGAATAATGAGTAGATATCCCTTGTTATTAGATGACTTATCTAGCTTTACAGATCTATTTTTAAATTTTAATCGCAGGGTACTGTGGTTTTCCCTGTACTGACCTCTGTCCTGAAGGACCCCAAGTACTATAAAAATCCTCAAACATTTGACCCTGAACATTTTTTGGATGAGAACGGCTGCTTTAAAAAGAATGATGCCTTCATGGCATTCTCTGCAGGTAAATACATTGTATGAAAGTTGAGGTTCAGTGAGTCTTATTGACATTGTTATAGAGAATTCACAATTACTGTGTGGACGAGTGTGGGCGTCAGTAAGCTTATTTGTGCACTTGTGTGTACATGAGTGTTCTACATGTAGTATACATGTTTGTGTGTGTTTTTGCTTGTGTTTGTTTGTGTGTTTATTAGTCAGTGAAGAATAACTGAAATATTTTTGTTAATGTTTAAAAGGGAAGATCATAGTTAAAATGTTTGCAATGACGTATTTTTAATTTAAAAAGTCAACTCAAACATCCTATAAATTTAAACCATGTTCATAAATAAAATATACAACTCTATATATTGTGTTAAACTATTACCAAGCTATTTTTAATACATATCTGTTAACAATTCACTTTCCAGGTAAACGCGTGTGTGTGGGGGAAGGTCTTGCTCGCATGGAGCTCTTTCTCTTCTTCACCACCATCTTGCAGAAGTTCACACTAAAGCCAACAGTGAACGAAAAGGACATTGATATATCTCCAGAGCCAGGAAGCAATGGTACCAGACCCCGCCTTTACCAGATGTATGCTGTGTCTCGCTCAAAACCCTAGATGTACTTATTATTCTGGCAACATAACTGTGACTGGGCCTGAAGTGCTCCTGAGTCCATGGAGGTAGCGAGGAAGCTGACCTGGCGGAGGTACTCAGTCGGAGTACAGGAGCTCTGTTATAACGACCCTTCCAATCTCTATGGAATTTCTGCAAACAAAGATCATAAATATTGCAATTGCTGGAAAGAAACCAACACATTGAAAAGATTTGGTTGTGATCTCAAATATCATTTTCCTCGTTCCCTATCTTTTTTGTTCTTTACATCCATATATTCTTTTATCATTTTGCAAGTAAATGAAGGATCTGAATTGTATTTTGACTAGTTTATAAAGTAATGTTTTATGTATCTATATGTGAGATATTATTATTCATATTATTTATACAGCTCAAAAATATGTACAACACAAAAATTATCTTTTTTTAAATCATTTTCAAACGGTGTGCCATGAGATAGTTAGACAAACAGACAGACAGACAGATGGACAGACGGAAAGACAGATGGATGGATGGATGGAGAGAGAGAGAGAGAGAGAGAAATGAATGGATAGATGGAACAAGAGAGAGATAGAGAGAGAAATAGATAGATAGATAGAGAGAGAGAGAGAGAGAGAGAGATAGCTAGACAGATTGATAGACAGACAGACAGATAGACGGATGGATGGATGGATGGATAGATGCATAGACGGATGGATGGATGGATAGATGGATGGATAGATGGATAGATAGAGCTCAGGAGGAAAATATCAGTGTGAGATATCAATAACAAATAATAGACGTGGAGATTTGTTTTGGTCTTAATTGCTCCAAGCATGAATGCACCCGAATCAGAAACCAGACCGAATCACACAAAGACATAGCATGTTCACTTGAATTGTGATTCTGGATTCCGCCCATCGTGCAAAAATAATAATCATATATAGATGATTTATGGGACAAAAAAAAGGTGATTGTGGGCTGGGGGACAGTCACCAGATGTTGATGTTATTCAAAGATCAAGTGAGAAGTGACCAATAGAGGAGCAGTATAAACAAACCTATATTTATATTTTAATACAATATATTTCATATAAAAACAAATCTAATATACCAATTTTTACTGCTCCTCCTGGTTTTCCCTCTATTACTTTTACTTTTTCTCTGAGAACCAAATGGAGGGAAATGTACTACAAACTATATACATAATATTCATAATATTCAATTCCTTTTTGGTTCATCTGATTCAGTTGCTGAATCGGTTTTGTGTACCAAACTTCTGCTGAGTCAATTGGCCAATGGTTAAATTTGGGCATCTCCAAAAATGTTTAAATGTACTGTAAGTACGTTTCTGTAAAAACATAGTGGGTAATAACATTAAATAACTAGATATTGGCCAAGATGATAAAGGTAAAATATTGTTTATTGCAAATAAATAATGTACCTATAGAGGGTAAAAACATACAGACAATGTTATTCAATAAAAAATACAAATATACACAAGAAAGAAGACAACGCACTAGTCTTAAAAATGCCAACAGTGCATAAAAAACACAAGTGGAGAGAAAACTGGAACTAAGCCAAACAACAAGTACGTCTGAAATGCTTCGTCCAGATTGACTTTTCAAGATCCACATATCATTATTATTATCATTACTATTATCATTATCATTATTATCATTATTATTATCATTATTATTATTACTATTATCATTATTATTATTATTACTCTTATTACTATCAGTTGTACTCTGGAGCCTGAAGGGAAGGAAAAGCCTCTGTAAAGCCATCAGAGGGAGAAAAAGCACCATCCAGAATTAAAATGAAAAAATACTAAAGGAAAAAGGGAAAAATAATAACTGGACATAAAGAAAAGAAGAAGAAAAAAGGAGTGGGGGAATCAAAAACTGAAAAATGAATATGAAAAACTATATCATAAGATAAAGGAAACTGTATAAAGTATAATACTTTTCCTTTTTCCCAAATTCCTATAAAGCATGAATAAATAAATAAATAATAACAATAGTTTTGATTTACATGATCATAATTTCTACTTATGTGTTAGCTGGGCAGTTCTGCTTTCAGATAAAGGTTTCCCTTATATATTTTTTCAAGCAAAAAGAGTTTGGCAGTGAAGCGGTTAATGGCTCGTGGCTCACAGCTCAGCCTTTAACCCTTTGTTAGATATTCTGAGAGATTGTGATTTCCCGATTTTTCCTATAACAATGTAACTATTCGTTAATATAATCCCAGCCTGGAATTGCTCCTACCCCAGTTCCATGCAAAGCATCATTATATGAACCCAGATTAAAGGAGCAGTGAGATCACGTTTACCTGCTGGTAACACAGGTTGCAGTGATATATATTGATATATCTTTTACAATAAATGGAAGATATATCTTTTACACACTATCACTTCCTGTGTTTGTTTTAATACAGAGATAAGTGGATGGATACTGTGTGCAAGTGAGATGATTACACACTGTGAACGTTATATAATGATGACCATATAAGGAGAGCTAACCTACTTCCTGTGTATACAATGTGTACATTGATCTCTCACTGAGCAGAGCCATTCACAGCTCACTGTAACACACTGCTTCCTGGAGGCTCCCTCGCAATGGAGCTGGGAGTCACTGGGTCTCTGCTTCTGGCTGTGTTTATCAGCCTCCTGCTCTATATTACCTCATGGAGGAGAAAAATAAAGAGGAAAAACATGCCCCCTGGACCAGCGCCATTGCCCCTGCTGGGTAACATAATGCAGATAAGTGCAAGAGAAATGCCACAATCTTTGCGAAAGGTTAGTAATTCTTTATTTAGTTGACAGTCAGAAAGGTGTTACACAATTTGATAATTTTTTGGTATTATTATAATAAACACTGGCTGCTTCTAAACTTAAAACACGTCACACCTGGGTTCCTGAAGGTGACACAGCTACAAAATGCAAACAGATAATTAGTATACTACTAGGTGACTTTCCCCAGTGTATTATGGGAGGCAGCTCCAAGGGTAGTTTTATGTATGAGATAAAGGGATCGGAGCTGAAGGGGGTGATTTTAACTTGGGAGCTAGCTTGGCCGGCACATAAACAGGCCGCAGAAACATGGCATGTAAATAAGAAGGTAACATAATAAAAGTATCAAATAATAGAGAAAAATAACTGCATAATGGTTCTTTCTCATATCATTGATTACACTCAGGTTACCGCTACATTTGTTACACCACTAGCTGCAGGAGTAAATGGAATAATGTTAGCTGCATCCCAAACACTGGGAATGGGTTTAGGTTGTTAATTGAGGCCTAAAGGGAACAACACTGTGTCCATCTCTGAGGCATTGGTTACTTTATGCTCAGAGTTGTTATGCTGGATAATGAGAGAGGGTGGGTAACCCCATCTATATTTCATGCCATGGGTGGACAATGCAACCATCAAAGGTCAAAATGATTTCCTCCTCTGTTGGGTGGAGCATGAGAGATCAGCAAAAAGGTGAGTTCCATCTACTCAAAGCGATGTAGGGTCTTTCCCCTAGTTGCCTGTGAGAAGGTGTCATGGCACTCAGGTGTCCCCACATATTTACCTAAGACTCGGCGGATCACTGCCCGATCCACCGGAAGATACTTTCCTAGTGAGCACGGCATTCCTATGGATGCCGGTCGCTGCAATATCGCAGTCTTTTCAGGCCCGCTTCCGGCAGGGTCAGGAATCACAGCATACTCGGTGCGCATGCACCTTTGGCATTTCGTCTGAGGTGTCGGAGAACTCATCCAGTTCTATTGCTATGTTTGGCCTGTTCAAGCCATGCGGCCTCAGAAACAGGTCCCTGATGTCTGCAGAAAAAATGGGCTGATCTGTTTATATTCATGCCCCATCACCAGTGGAGCATTGTAAGGTGGTCCAACTGCTAAGTGTGTCCTTTGTGTGGATCCAATGCTGCTAATTTAACTCTTTGCCAATAGAGCACATTGAACATGCGACTGCTGTGGTCTGGCACTAGTCCCCCCACTGTCCCCCCAAAGCTCTATTTTTAATATTCAAATCCCTCAGTTATTCTCTCCTAGTTTACCATGGGCTCATTATGTATGATGTAAAGAGTGCCGCACAGAGCCCTGCAGCAATAAAACTCATAGTCATGTGCAAGGTGTGTTAGTGTATCACAGAGTTCCCCCACAATTAAACTTACAGTAATTTACAGTGTGTATAAGTGTATCACAGAGCTCCACATCAATAAAACTCACAGTACTGTGCGGTGCGCATTAATATATTTCAGAGCTCTGGAAAAAAAAAACTCACAATAACGCACAAAATACACAATTGTATCACAGAGCTCCACCACAATAAAACTCACACCAGAGCTACAAAGTAATAAAACTCACAATATAACACACACACACAAAAAAGGTAAAAGCTACAAAAGGAATGCCCAAAAAGTGAACAATATATAAGGTGAAAAATAATAATAAATACAACCTTATAATGAAGATACAATAAATATAAGGGTTAAATCTGTAAAAGAAAACTATATGTAGTGTAATCAAAATATTCTAATTTAGGCTTGTATGGGACTTACAAGAACATAGGTACTAGAAGGCATATCGCCACAGCCAGTGGTATCAAAGCATTTCAAAGCATTTGAAAGTTCAGACTGTTTTATGGTAATTGTCTATGATCTATTTCAGCAGGCTCCACTCAGTCCCCTGAAAGTCCAGCCTGGCTTGGGTATTTCTGCCAATTGTAGTGGGGGGGATGGGGGGGGTTAGCTTCACACAGCCCTCCAGCCCACCTCAATAGTGATTAGAGAGGAATTTTAAAGTGTGGTGAAGATCTTGAACCTTTGCAAAAGCCTTTCTCAAGTCATCTAGGAAAAGCAAAAAGTCATAAATAGGAAATGAACAGGTGAATGGGAGGGGAGGGGAGTATCTCCTGAGAAAAGTTACTAAGCAACAAATGTAACTGCTTAGTCAATATAAACATTCACTTTCGTAACCGCTTAAGCTCGGAGGTAATTGTACAAGTTCTAATCGAAACAAAACCTGGAATTTGTGCTATATGTCTGTTCAACCATAATTTACCTATTTCATATTAAGTGCACCCACACTTATTGCACATCAAAAATTCATATACAAAACATAATTTAATATGAATAAAATCTAAAAAGGTATGAGAAATTAAGAAATGAAGAAGATTTTTCAAGGTCTGCATGGCATGGAAGTGTATCCAAGTAGGAGGTATTGGTCCTCTGAGCAGGTGTGCAGTATTAGCTGGTAATGTCCAGTGGGTCCATCAAAGTCAAGGGCAGTGGAGCTGGACTTCAGGTCTTCCAATATTTTAATTATTTTTCATTTTTTGATATTATTATATATTGATATCATTTTTATATACAATACAAGCTTTGATAATTTAATATATTGAAAGTCATTTGAAAATATTTTCAATAAATATTTAATAATTTAGAAATATTATTTATCAATATCACATTTTGACCATAGTTGTATAGCAAACATCATTAAACCTAGATAACATTGAGTTATTATGTTGTGATATGGTGAGCTGGTATACCTTACTCTCAGTGTTCTGAGTCAGCCACTCCTGTGAGTTATTATATTGTCATATGGTGAGATGGCATACCTTACTCTCAGTGTTCTGAGTCAGCCACTCCTGTGAGTTATTATATTGTCATATGGTGAGATGGCATACCCTACTCTCAGTGTTCTGAGTCAGCCACTCCTGTGAGTTATTATATTGTCATATGGTGAGATGGCATACCTTACTCTCAGTGTTCTGAGTCAGCCACTCCTGTGAGTTATTATATTGTGATATGGTGAGCTGGTATACCTTACTCTCAGTGTTCTGAGTCAGCCACTCCTTTGAGTTATTATATTGTCATATGGTGAGATGGCATACCCTACTCTCAGTGTTCTGAGTCAGCCACTCCTGTGAGTTATTATATTGTCATATGGTGAGATGGCATACCCTACTCTCAGTGTTCTGAGTCAGCCACTCCTTTGAGTTATTATATTGTCATATGGTGAGATGGCATACCCTACTCTCAGTGTTCTGAGTCAGCCACTCCTTTGAGTTATTATATTGTCATATGGTGAGATCGCATACCCTACTCTCAGTGTTCTGAGTCAGCCACTCCTTTGAGTTATTATATTGTCATATGGTGAGATCGCATACCCTACTCTCAGTGTTCTAAGTCAGCCACTCTTGTGCTATGTAGTTGGATACAGTCTGATATTGTTGTATAGTTCCCTGCGTCAATCTGTTCTACAACCCATGTCACTGGTTGTCTTTCCCTATATATCAAAGCACTCCCACATCTAGCAGCTGTCTATCCTGTTTGTGAAATAGAGTACTTTAAGGGACACTCATAACCACTACAGCTCATTATATTATTAGTTTATTGTAATACAGCGTATTATATTATTGGGATTCATTGTATCATTACATCTTATTGTATTATCACAGCTCATTATATTATTACAGTTTATTGTATTATTGGGACTTATTGTATTGTAACAGTTTATTGTATTATTACATCTTATTGGATTATTACAGCTCAGGGTGTTATTACAGCTCATCATATATTTGCAGCTAATTGTATTATTACAGATCAGTTTATTATAACAGCTCTGTCAGGATCAAATCCTGACAACTATGATTTATCTTCATTTATTTATTTTCCTTTAAAAGAAGTTACAGCTCTCCACCACTAGTGGCCTCCCTAGCCACTAGTCCCCTCAGTCCTCACCTGCCTAGGACTAATTACTTCAGCTACAAATGGCTACACCCAACTAACCTCATGGCCTTTACATTGAAGTTGATGTTCTTACTGAAACACTTCATATCTTGGCTCCTGTGAACCTGCTTCAGATTTACCTTCAATCCTGCTCCATACCAACCTGCTTCAGACTTACCTTCAAACCTGCTCCATACCAACCTGCTTCAGACTTACCTTCAAACCTGCTCCATACCAACCTGCTTCAGACTTACCTTCAAACCTGCTCCATACCAACCTGCTTCAGACTTACCTTCAAACCTGCTCCATACCAACCTGCTTCAGACTTACCTTCAAACCTGCTCCATACCAACCTGCTTCAGACTTACCTTCAAACCTGCTCCATACCAACCTGCTTCAGACTTACCTTCAAACCTGCTCCATACCAACCTGCTTCAGACTTACCTTCAAACCTGCTCCATACCAACCTGCTTCAGACTTACCTTCAAACCTGCTCCATACCAACCTGCTTCAGACTTACCTTCAAACCTGCTCCATACCAACCTGCTTCAGACTTACCTTCAAACCTGCTCCATACCAACCTGCTTCAGACTTACCTTCAAACCTGCTCCATACCAACCTGCTTCAGACTTACCTTCAAACCTGCTCCATACCAACCTGCTTCAGACTTACCTTCAAACCTGCTCCATACCAACCTGCTTCAGACTTACCTTCAAACCTGCTCCATACCAACCTGCTTCAGACTTACCTTCAAACCTGCTCCATACCAACCTGCTTCAGACTTACCTTCAAACCTGCTCCATACCAACATGCTTCAGACTTACCTTCAAACCTGCTCCATACCAACATGCTCCAGACTTACCTTCAAACCTGCTCCTAACAATAACCTGCTCCACCCTTACCTATACTTCCAACCATCCTGCCTCTGTAATCAGCCTTCCACTGTTATCAGCCTGCCTTTAATACCAACCTGCCTTTGTTACAACCCTACCTGGAAATTAGACATTCTTTATTATTTGCAAGTAACCTGTTCTGTGGCATATTGCCTAAATACTGTTTTCACTCAAATTTCATAATATGTCTAAAATCACTAATACAGTACCTGAAGTCAACCCTGGCATAAGCCTCCTATCTGACCTGCACATCATGACAAGCTCGTTGAATTATTGCAGCTCAATGTATTATTACAGCTCATTGTAATATAACTGTTCATTGAATATGTGCAACTAATTCTATTATCACAGTTGATTGTATTATTACAGCTCAGTATTTTATTACAGCTTATTGTGTTATTACAGCTCATTGTATTATTACAGCGTATTGTGTTATTACATCTCATTGTATTATTACAGCTTGTTGTGTAAGTAAAGTGTATTGCATTATTGTGGAGCATTGTATTGTTATACCTCACTGTAATATAGTTTATTATTATTATTGTGATATTTATATAGCACCATCAAATTCCACAGCGCTTTACAATGGGTGGACGAACAAACATGTAGTTGTAACCAGACAAGTTGGACACACAGGAACAGAGGGGTTGAGGGCCCTGCTCAATGAGCTTACATGCTAGACGGAGTGGGGTAAAATTACACAGAAAGGTAAGGATAGTATTAGACTAATGATAGTTGCAGAAGAGGAATCAGTCAGGAGCTATTAACAGTTTAATTGATAAGCTTTTATGAAGAAGTGGGTTTTTAATGATTTTTTTGAAGGAGTGGAGACTGGGTTAGCATCTAACAGAGGAGGGAAGTGAGTTCCACAGGAACGGTGCAGCCCTCGAGAAATCTTGAAGGCGAGCATCAGAGGTGGGAGTACGGACAGAAGATAGACGTAAGTCTTCAGCAGATCGTAAGGGCCTAGATGGGATGTACTTGTGTATCAGGGAGGAAAGATAGGTGGGAGCAGCATTATGTAGCAATTTGAAAGCAAGAACCAGAATTTTAAATTGAGTTCTATATTTTATAAGAAGCCAGTGTAGGGACTGACAGAAGGGTGAGGCATGGGAGGTGCGGGCGGACAGCAAGATGAGCCTCACCACCGCATTCATTATGGACTGTAACGGCGCAAGTTGGGAGCACGTAAAACCACTGAGAAGCGGATTACAGTAGTCAAAGCAAGAAAGGATAGTGGAATGGACCAACACCTTAGTAGCATCTGGCGTTAAGTAGGGGCGGATGCGCGCATTGTTTTTGAGATGGAAATGACAGGATTCGGTGATAGATTGAATATGAGACTTGAAGGAGAGGTTGGAGTCAAAGAGAACACCTAGGCAGCGAGCCTGCGTGGTGGAGCTGATGGTAGCACCATAGACTTGGAGGGAGACAGACACAGGAGTACCAACACTTGAGGGAAGAAAGACCAGAATTTCAGTTTTGGTCAAGCTTAGTTTAAGGAAGTGGGCAGCCATCCAGTTAGAAATAGCAGAGAGGCAGTCAGAGACACTAGTCAAGTGGGACGGGGAGAGATCAGGAGATACTCATACTCCTCATATTAGTATGGCATATGGTATTTTTGCACCTATAGCTCACAGACTTTATTAAAAACCTTTCAATGTGCTTGTTTTTTCTGCAGCTGAGTGAGAAGTATGGCTCGGTCTTCACAATCTATCTGGCCAATCAGCCAGCTGTTATCCTGGCAGGTTACGACTGTGTAAGGGAAGCACTGGTGGATCAAGGGAAGATATTTGGGGCACGAGGCTCCAATACGCTTGGTGATATGGTGTTCAAAGGCTATGGTGAGTTCTTCTATCAATAATACTGTGTTTCTCAGAACCCTGTATGGTTACTTGAATGCTGGCTGACTACAGCCATCAGTCAATCTGAACAACTTAAAAACCAGTGAGAAAAGTCAATATGTAATGAAAGTCAATGACATCTGACTTTACACAATAATAGCTATAACATGATAGAAAAAAAGCAACAACAAGAATTAGAATACTTTTATTATGCAAAAACAAACGTAATTTAAAATATGTTCTGATAATGTATTATCTCAAGCTCTCGAATTAAAAATACCTAGTGGATCAGATCAGAATCATGATGTCATGAGCTTATCTGCAAAAAATGGAATTATGGAGAAGTGACAATGAGTGGGGAAAAGCTAAACTTTCAAATTAAAATACAAAACTGATTTGCTGAATTTTTCCACTTTGACGGTTTTGACCAAAACTTGCCATTCCGTTGCTGCTTTTTCCAAATTCTGGATCAAACTGCTGTATCATTGTCTGCCCATTCCTTGTGTGTTTTAGAAATAATATTACAATTATACACATTTAACCCATTTACTGCCAGCGTTTGGTATCACATTGCCAAACAAAGTAAATTAAATAACAGGCTGCCCTATCCTTTTCCTTCTCACAGTTTTTGTCCCCATCTATCAATGAATAATGCAATCTTTTTTAAATGTTCTCAATATTTTAGGTGTCCCTAAATAACGCGTATAAATGTGATTGCTAGTTTATCCTATTACACAGGTTTAAGTATATCTCACGTACACAAATATTGGTTTTTTTTTTTGCTTTAAACAATATCACCCATATCAGATAGATTTACAGTAATTACTAGACTTGTGCACAGCAGAGAGATTTAGTTTGGAAATTCATACCATCACCTTTTTGGTCCAAATTTGAATTATTTAAGTTTGTAATGAAACAAATCTCTAAGTCTAGTAATTACATGACATGCAGGGAAACCATCCATCATATGGAATTAAGTTAGATTAACACTGCCATCACATTTCTTATTTAAGGGTTTAATTGTGTCTTCCTTAAATTAGCATCCCCCCAAAAAATATTGTGAGTTAATGGTTAGTGTACCTTTTAAGAATCCTTAGATATATGCTTATTTTTGAACCATAATAAATCAAGTCTAAACTTTGGACTTTCAGCTTTTATAGTTTGACAAATTATTCCTACACAAAATGCAGTACTTTCTAATGTAACATTGTCACCTTAGACAAGTTAAGAGGCAGTAAAATAAAAAATGTCTAAAGGTTAACATGATTTGTTTCAGTCTGTTCTATATTTAATGTTCTATAATTATTGTTCTACAGTTTGGATAGATTCCATCACTGCTGCCTTTAATGCCAATTTATTTATTAATAAAGATTGGGCCTCCTTCGCTCTTTGTATTAGCTATTCTTCTGCCTAGGACCCTTTAATCCTTGAGGGTTCCTTTTTATTTTATATGTGGATGTGGGCATTTATTATCAGTAGAGATACAGCACTGTGACTGTGAACATTTATTATCAGTAGAGATAGAGAACCGTGGCTGTGGGTGTCACAAACTCACCCTACATCAAGCGTGTGCGTGACGTAGTTGTGATGGTGATAATTATGGCTATTACTATTTAACGCTGCCACCACCAAAACAATTTACAAATGGGTTGCCTTGATCCCTCAGGTAACTTAATAAGAAAAACCCATGAAATGTAACTTAGTACAATATCTATGTAATTGCAAAATAATAATTAGTCTCTTCAGGTAATGTGATTCTTTACCAGACAAAGGCAGAACTTAATAAAGAAATATTTATTATGACCAAAAAATATTCACAGTGCATAAAAAAATAGATGATAAACACATTATTTACACCAACAACAGATACAAACAAAAGGGTAAAATAACAAGTCTTAATTACTTACTCCTTAGGTTTTCAAAGTAAAGCTTCTTCCCAGGGGGTCGCTGGCAAGGAGATGGTGACTCAACATTTTGGCCCCAAGCAAGTACAATGCACACTTCAGTATCATTAGGGATATACCCTGTGGATTACCAAGCCTCACCCAGAGGTGGACATAATGCGTACCTATAATAACTATAAGTGACCACCCCTTTGTGTTCCAGACCAACATCAATCCAAATGGAAACATTTGGTTCTATTTCCTCTGATGTACTTGCCACAGAAATAATTGCATCTATAAATTGGTTACCATTTCTCCATTCCATAGATATGTCATACTTCTTACCTGTGACCCAATATAGCAGACATCAGAATGCCTTCCCCTATGGTTAAGTTATGCAAATCATGTTTGTTTTAACATATCAAAGAAATCAACTCATCAATTAAAAGGTAGAGGCCATATGGCTGAAGTCAACTCATTTACATTGAATCTAGACTTCCAGGCCACTTATGTGAGACTTCACACACCACACAGATCTTTCGATTAATCAAAGGATCAATGCATATGGTAAACCATCTGCTCCCTTTCACATTCCTATGCAATTCCCACTACCCCTTCTGTCATCTAATCTTGCAACCAAGTGCCAATTCATATCGGCACTACAAAAATGACATTAAATGGCAATATCCTATAGTCCAACAATTCATTATGCACCCTTGGTGTGACAGTGGGCATTTATTATCAGTATAATTAGAGAACTGTGGCTGTGGACATTTATTATTTTTTATTTATTTATAAAAATATTTTACCAGGAAGGATATATTGAGATTTCTCTAATTTTCAAGTATGTCCTGGGTCCACAAAACATTGCATTGATACAATAGGGTACAATAAAATACAAAAACAATATTAATACACAATATATACAAAACTGAATATAAAACAGGTAGGAAATATATAATCAACCATGACAGGTGCATTCTGTTTTGAGATATGTAGAGAGTGATCTCTTAAATGATTTAAGGCCCAGGGAAGATTTGAAGGTGTTCGAGAGGTCGTTCCATCATTGCAGTGCTCTGTAGGAAAAGGAGGATCGAGCTGCTTTCTTTTTGTATTGAGGTAGACTAAATAAAGTGCTGTTACTGGATCAGAGGTCATAGTTGGTGGGAACAGCCGGGGAGATCATTCTGCTGATATTGGGTGGGAGTTTCCCAGAAAAGCTCTTAAACACAAGGCTGGAAAGATGAAGGGTGCGTCTGGATTCCAGTGACACAGCACTATGAATCCTTTTTGTCAGATTAAATGTTTACTTAATCAGCTTGTGTCTTTGTTCTCTAAGAGCGCCCTCTTCTGAAGAAAGCTCAGGTAAACACATTACCAATAGGGTTAATTATATATGTCTGATCAGTAAAATAAGCTTGTGATACTATAATTCTACTGTGTATAGGATATAAAGTCTTGGTGGTGGCAGAAAAGTGTGTATTAGGGTGTTAGTGTAGAAGGGATTGCATCGATTAATTTAGTAGTTGCTGGGACTAGCAACAGGTAACCAGAGTCTGGTGTCCGTAACTCTTTCACTTCCACACGCTCACCACTGTCTAGGTTGGCCCAATAGCCCAATTGGGCCCAATTGTCACGTTCATGACAAACTTTAGAGAACTGTGGTTGTGGACATTTATTATCAATAGTGATACAGAACTGTGGCGGTGGACATTTATTATCACTAGAGAACTGTGGCTATGGTAATTTCTTATCAGTAGAGATACAGAACTGTGCCTGTGGACATTTGTTATCAAAAGAGATAGAGAACTGGGACTGTGGTCATTTATTATCAGTAGATATACAGAACTGTGGCTTTGTTCATTTATTATCAGAGATACAGAACTGGGGCTATGGACATTTATTATTGTAGAGATAAATAACTGGGGCTATGGACATTTATTATTGTAGAGATAAATAACCTGGGCTATGGACTTTTATTATCAGTAGAGATATAGAACTGTGGTTATGGACATTTATTATCAGTAGAGATAGAGAACTGTGTCTGTGGACATTTATTATCACTAGGGATAGAGAACTGTGGCTGTGGACATTTATAATCAATAGAACTACAGAACTGCGACTGTGGCCATTTATTATCAAACTGTATCTTTTTTGGATGTGTGTAAATTGGAGCAATTATATAAACATACCTTTATATATACATTGGTTTATAATGTTTGAGCGCCTATTTGACAGTGAATTATTGTATATTGTCAAGAGTATCATTAATTGGTTTATTAGCTTTTTTTCCTTCTCTTGTTAATATCCACTCCTGGTAATTTCATTAGATAGTGGTTTTCTTTTTCTTATTTATTTGAAGATTTATTTAGGCCTATCTTTCTTGTATTTTTCTTTTTCCATATATATATAACTTTTCCGATACACTCTAGAAGGTTATTCACTAAAGGGAGAATTGTGAGATTTCAAAGTGGATTCAAAATGTATTTCATATTTAATGGTTAATTTGCCAAACGGGAAACATAAGTGTATTGATGAATTTATTCCATTTTGACTATTTTGAGCTCACATTTGAAATTCCGTTTGAATACCTTACAATTCTCACATTAGTAAATAAGCTGGAGAAAACTCTGTTAGTGTCTAGATTTGAAACAGTTGTTTTGTTTCCTGTCCAGATCATTTTCTTTATATATTTGTATTGGAAGATCTGATGGGTTAGAGAATTACTTTTTGAAAAAGTTTGTTGGAGAAGAAGTAAAAAATCAGAGGAATCCCAGGGGCCTTGGGGTAACCATCAAAGTTAATATTCGAGCCATCATCTTAGTTTGCGTCACATTGTTTAAAGGCATTAAATTATATCTATGTTAACATATTAATATGCTGTTGTTGTGGGTGATATTTTATTTGGCTGATTTTTCTTCCCTTCCCCCATTACTGAAGGTGTGATACTCACTAATGGTGAGCGATGGAAGTTGCTGCGCCGTTTCTCCCTAAGCACGCTGAGGAATTTTGGGATGGGGAAAAAGAGCATTGACGAGCGAATACAGGAAGAGGCTAATTATTTCGCAGAGGAATTACGGAAAAATGGAGGTTTGTGTTTTCATATTGAGGTAATGTTAATCTAGTAACAGCCAACAACATGGAGCTTGGGGGCAAAAATACAGATTTATTTTTAGTTTTGAGATCTTTCACAGGTGATCACACAGTGCAGCAGCTGTTCTGCAGATAGTGTGTGTTTTGAAGGACAAGTGTCTAGTCAACTCCCTGGTGAGAGGTGGGTGCAATTAATACTGGGGTTATAGAAAGTTCCTGTAGTATGTAACTCAAAAAGCAGTGAGTTAGAACATTGCTATATTCATTAATATTGAATAGTTGAATGAGGTCAGTATCTTCAAGGATAATTACAGTGAAATATGAAAATATTCAGCCTCTCCTGTGTCCACTATGTAGAAATAGCCAGTATTGTTTTATCCAAGAGGATGACGCTTGATGAGACTAAAACTCCTGGAACTATAGCTAAGTCCATTGAAATTAATTCTAATATGTAAAACTTGATGTCTCTTATGTCTCAGATACACCAGTTGATCCAACCCCAGTGCTTTCCCAGGTTGTTTCCAACGTCATCTGCTCTGTTGTATTTGGCAAACGCTTTGAGTATGAAGATGAGAGATTTAAGACTTTACTGTCTTTGCTAAAGGAAGCATTCACACTTATGTCATCTCCTTGGGGTCTTGTAAGTGGACACATAATGAAACTCTTCTAAAATAATAGCAGAATCAAATGCCAAAAGTGCCATCTTTTGATAGAATTTTATATGTTTATATATTTTTGTTGTTTTATAAAATTACATGTTTCAGGCTATAATACCTTGGGCAAAATTACATGTCTCGGGACAAAATTAAAAGCTGTATAGTATATTTCATAATATAAGATAATATATAAATAATATAGGAAAAGACTTAACGATCACAAAGACTGTGCAAAGACTCTGTCTACAGATAAAAGGGATAACCCAAACATTACCAAACAGTATAAATATCAGAATCCAGAATACAGCTGTAAATATTTTCATCTATCATCAAAATAAAGCATATTATCCTTACCAATCCATATTTTTGGATACATTTAAAAAAAATAAAAATAAAAATATATATTTATAATGTGTGTGTATGTGTATGTGTGTGTGTATATAAATACAATGTATACAAATTTATCAAAATATTAAAAAACATCAAAATGTTAACATATTTGTCAGACTATTAATCATCTGAAAGCTTGTCCAAAATGATCAAATTGAGGCCTAAGCTGGCAGAAATATGAAAAGTTCAGAACAGGCTATTGGAAGTTAAATTGTAGATTAGTATGGCTTTTTGTGAAGAAATAATCTTAATTTTAGTAATGAAAGAAGGCAAATATTTAGCTGTATTTCTTTACTCCACCTCAAAATAACAGCAAACCATAATACAGAATATCAACCAATCATGAATCAGAAAAATATATAACATCCAGAACACAATATTGGACTTACTTAAAAATAAATAAATAATAGCTGTTAGATCATGTCCACTTTAATACTTATTAGAGGTGTAACAAGGGATGATTTGTTATAAAAGGGTGGAGTGGAGGGATTTATAGTGGTAGGTGGCCAGGGTTCATCGTTGGCAGAATATATAGTTACTAGATGTACCTTTTTACCATGTCTTTGTAAATTGGTCATCATTTGGGGAATGTTGAAGTGATGTGCCTTAGCAAAAAGAAAGAGAACATTATTGTGATAAAGATTAAAAAACTGAGTATTGTAACACTAAAAGTTAAATGAAAGTAGACTTTGTTAAATCCATTTCATTTTATTTCAGATATTTAATGTTAGCATTTTTTTTTAAAGAATACATGCAAAGAAAAACCGCACAAATATTTTCTGGAGAAAAAAGGCAAATACAAACTCCAGCAATGTTTAAATGTGCCTTGCAAAAAGTAGATTTCTAAAGTTTGTTTTTGTTTTTATAGCTCCTCAACATTTTTCCAAGCCTGTTTTCTCGACTCCCGGGACCCCACCAGAAGATATTCACTAATATTGACAAGTTAAAGGTTTTTGTAGCGGAGCGCTTGTCAGATCATCAGGAGACACTTGATATCAACTGTCCGCGGGATTTCATTGATTGCTTCCTGATAAAAATGAATGAGGTAATACAGAGACCTGTAGAGCAAGAGAGAGTGAGAGAGAGAAAGAGAGAGTAGAGAGAGATATGGGAATAAAGTGACACACAGGCAGATTCATTCTAAAGATTAAAACTTTATTAAACATTTCATGTGGTTGAGAAAAGAAGCATAATGCCTTCTTCAAGTTTACAATTTTACTGATATTTTTTTCACTTATTTAAATTTGCAGGAGAAAGATAACCCCAATACTGAATTTCACTTTGAAAACTTATTTGGGACTGTTACGGATCTCTTCTTTGCTGGGACGGAAACAACGAGTACAACTCTGAAATATGGCTTCAATATTCTACTGAAATATCCAGAAGTGGAAAGTAATTATCAAACTTTATTTTTCTGAAATGTAGAAAATGTAAACTTTTTCAGTAATATCAAATTACTATGCATTGTGCCTATCCCAGTGAATGTCTCTTAATGTCCTCCAAGCACCTTCTGATATGGACTACCTATCCCAATCAATATATTTCAATATACTCCAATCACATTATTGCACATTGTGCCTATAATATTAAATATCTTTTAATATCCTTCAATCACCTCTTGATATATATAGTACCTATCTCAATATCCTCCAATCACATTATTACACATCATGCCTATCCCAATAAATATCTCCTCCAATCCTCCAACCACCTTATTACACACCATGCCTCTCCTAGTAAATATATCTTAATATTGTTCAGGCACCTTATTACATATTGTACCTTCCCCAGTAAATATCTCCTAATAACCTCCAATCACATTGTGTCAAACACTTGTCAAGAGAGCACAAAATGTAAGAATTTGCTCAATGGAAGGCCACCGCTTAGCAGATCCCAAAACCGTTGGACTTGTGCCATTATCGAGAGAACTAACCACAATCAGTATGACATACTGGTAGCACCCACAGGTGCTTAAACTACAGACATCAATGCATGCCTCTTACAGGTTCATACATTCTAGTTTTAACCCCATGAGTCAGTGCGATCCCATCACGTTCTTTGTGACAAGAATATAATGTTTTCTCTCCGCTCTCTTGATTTTCTGTACAGGAAAGATTCAGGAAGAGTTGGATCAAGTCATCGGACAGAATCGCTGTCCTTCACTCGAGGACCGTTTGAATCTACCATACACCGATGCAGTAATGCATGAAATCCAAAGGTTTGCTGATATAACACCACTTGCACTTCCTCACTTAACCACGGAGGACACTATACTTAGAGGACACAATATTCCAAAGGTAAAGGCCAAGCAGAGTCAACCAACCAATTATACACTTAAATATGTGAATGCAAGGGACCTGAATAATATAACATATTTGACCTGAATAATTAAAAATTCTTTATTCACATTTTCAACTGTCATCCAAGGTACGTAGTGGTATGTTTCCAAGCAAATTCTTTAAGTAACAGTTTTTCTTAATTTAGAAATCCAACAATATCAATAGAAAGTACACATCTATAAATATTATATACAATGTCTACACGTTTTGCAAAGGTGATTTTTCATACATATGAATAATCACCTCTGTAAACTGTGCAGACATTGTACCAAATAAATAATAAATGTATATAAAAAATATCAGGTTTTAGATCACAATATCGACTTTATGGCTGTAAATAAGCATTTGTTAAACACTTTATTAATTTAATCCAAACATATTCAGCAGCAATTTACTTTATAACAATGAAAAAGCCAGTAGGAAATAGATAAACAAAGTAAAGCTGAGAGAATGATTTGGTAAAAAACCCCACACTCAGACTTTATTCCCAGATTATAAACATATATACATATAAAGGCTTTTTGGACAAGACTAAAAGGGACACTCCAGGCACCAACACAACTTAATCTAAATAAATGTGTTACTCTTACCTCAAGGGGTTAAACCATTCTTGATCAGAGCCGATCTCAGCTCTCCCTGACATCATCATCCGGCATCTGGATTTTCTGATTCAGGAAGCAAGGAGTGCTGCCGGGCAGGGGTGCCCCAAAGAGTGGTCAGCTGATGCTCTCAGCCAATCAGTGACTCCCCCAATGTGAGGGGAGTGGACATCGCTGATGGGGCAACTTTGGGGTTAAACCATTCGAGAACAATTCATTGAAGTTGTTTTGGTGCCTGGAGTGTCCCTCAAAAAATCTAGAATACAGCGATCATAGAGAACAAGGGGTTCACTGGAACTATTGTAAGAACACTGAGGATTGTGGCAATTAAAAATATATTGTGAATTTTAGGTTTAAAATATAAAAAACTGAAAATTTGACAACTTTTTTCTCCATCTCCAACTATTTTCTCTCTGAAATTTTTAATAACCTGGTCAATTCTCCATAATTCCTGATATAAGTGTAACAACTTCCCTTCAAACTTGTTATGAACATGGATCTCATTTCTTTGGTCTGAATATTGCAATAGTGTCAAATCGTTAGCTGTTGGAGAAATAACTGGTCAATTCTGTTCGACTTTTTAATTCACTTTTCATTTAGTGCTGTCTTTTTGTATTATTGTAAGTTTTAATAGTTATGTGTACAGATTGTGATCATTTAAAAAGCCTATGCAAGATAATTAAATTATAAGTTCATAATATGTTAAGTTCACTTTTGTGACGGACCGCCTGGCACCCGGACTGAGTACCTCCGTCAATCTCTGCTTCCTAGTACTTGCGAGTACCATCAGCACTGCACTGGAACATCATAACCACCGCAAACCCCACCAACCGCCGCAGCTTGGTTGGGGTCTCGCCATCCTCCACCAACCTTGGACCCAAGACCAGGATCCAGCTCCCAGTGGGCATATCTCTCTTAGTCCAGAAAGCTTAGCAGGAACAGCTCTTATAAGAGCTTAGTGATTATACTCAGGGAAGTATAGTGATTATAGCAATTCCCCAGAGGGTAGTTCTCCAATCCCCCAAACATGAGCCAAGACTTCATGAAGTTGCAATCTGATCTTTAAGGGTTCAGGTTCGTTTTTTTTACAATTGTCCAGGCCAGAGGAACACCCCCTGGACCAGATGGGGCACAGGAACACAAAGGACACAAACCAATCAGAACAAACATACAGTCTGTGACACGCCCATGTACAGCACACAATCTCTCCCCCCCGCTTGGGAGATAATTGAGTAAAGTTCTGTAAGTAACTCAATTATCTCCAGGCAGAAAAAACACATTTTCACAAAGTTCAGAAAGTACCCCCAAACATAACATACCCCAAACAATGTTACATCCCCTGATAGCCCTGATCTGGGTGAACAACATATCCAAAAATCACCCAGATTAGAGCAGGGGTTCAAAAGTTTAATGGAAGTCTCTTTTTGACCGGCTGCAAGCATGGCTTCATGCCCAAAACAGTTTCAGGGAATTAGGGCCAGCGGTCGGTCTCTCTGTGGAGTACAAAAGTGCTTACATTACATAGTCACAGGGTAGGAGGCAAGCAAACAGGCCCCTCCAAAAACCCGTGGCAAACTCACAGAAAAAAAGGGAGTTTGTCACAACTTTAAATTTACTTGAATTCCCAACAACTCCCAATTTAATAAATAATTAGTCTGATAATGATGTTAATGAATCCCTGTTTCACTAATGACAAACCATACTACCAACTTAAAATAATGTAAAATAAATATGTTTTGCTATGTTTTAGGGTAGCCTGGTGTTCCCTTTGCTGTCCTCTGTGCATAAGGATTCAAAATATTTTAAGAACCCAAAAGAGTTTGACCCAGGACACTTTCTGGATGAAAATGGACGTTTCAAGAAAAATGAAGCATTTCTGCCCTTCTCTATCGGTAATAAGCTTATATTAAGTATAAAGAGATACCTGAGAGATTGCAATTAAGTGTTAACCAATCTAAACACAAAACCATGAAATATCATGGTTCTTTTCTATTAAATGAATTATCCCGGATGTTATGGTTGCACTATATTTAAATGTATGTTTTATATCTCAATGTTCAGTTTTACAAAGGATCACATTTATATATGTGTCATTTTAAGTCCATCACTTCCAAAAAGAATTTGCATAGGTTTGTTTAATGTTAATTTGACTGCACCCTATTGGCTGACAATTGTGTGATACATCTATGATGACGGCCCACTGGTAAATTTCCCAATATCCCGGTAGGCCAGTCCAGCTCTATTGAGAAGATATTATTTTAGGAGATAGGGTTTGGGGGTTTACCTAATCTCAGCCTTAGTTCACCTGTAGTTCTGGTTCTGGTTGAGTAGTGCAGTACCGAACCCAATAGTTAATAATGTCTATGTTTATTGTTGCAGGGAAGAGAAGTTGTCTTGGTGAGAGCTTGGCCCGTACCGAGATCTTTCTGATTTTGACTACGGTATTACAGAAGTTTCATGTGAAATCAGACTTGGCACCCAGAGACATCGAAATCACCCCCCAACCTCAAAGCAATGGGGCAACTCCCAGGACATATAAACTCTACCTTACTCCGCGATAAACTGCACCGGAGCAGTACTAGGAATTATAAAATTTTAAAATGCTGTGAATAAATAAATAAACGTTGTTTCTTTGATTTCTAGTAGATTTAGAATTCTTACTTAACTTGCAAAGAAAGGACACATTTTATTATATAAACCCATGTTTCCATAAAATCTATTCTTCAAACCTTGCAGAAGAGCAGGATATGCAAAGTGGTCTCTTTTCAGTTTTTATTAAAGCATTTTGCCATTGGGCACAGTCAGTGGCGGATTCAAGGGTGGGCAGGGGGGGTGCAATGGGGCAATCCCACCCCCACTCCCCCGGCTGCCTGTCATGTGGGGGGCACAAAGCATATAGAGGATCTTAGAGGATTAATATATGAGCATATTTATTTTACTCCCTTGTAGTTTCTCCAGCTTACAGCAGCACTTGTCAACTGCTGGATAAACTGCAAGAGGGTAAAATAAATATGTCCATATGTTAATACCATTGGTGAAGAGGCTGGAATGGGTTAACTAAACAAGTGCTCCCAAATACAGTCTCTATACCCCAAATATAGCTGCTCCACTAGTATAGAGCAAAGAGCTGCTAGTCATGGAGCATAAATAGAACTAAAAAACATAAATCTTTATTGGTCCCTCTTGGGGAAAGAAAAGAACAACCAGAAACCCAGTTGTAACCAGTGTAGGGAATATAAATACAGTGCTATTTACAAAAAAATATATTAAAATACAAAGGAACATCCGTTAGTCTACAATAAATGTAGTAATCCTGCAGTACCTAAAGTTACCTATATTGGCCGTTGTCAGTAGCTTTTAATTACCAAGTGTCTCTGTAGCCGGCAATATGAGATAAAGAGCATGAGACCTGAGAAATACAATGTATCCTAATTCAGTAATAGATAACAATATAGCCCTTAGTGAAACAACGTGCTACTATTGCACATATACGTGTTGTCCATTGAGGGTAATCTCTGTATGTAAGTCATATATAGGGGTTATAGGGGAGCCCATGGGGGGAACAGCGGCAGTATAAAGCCAAACTAATGTCATAAGTTGGAATACTAGCCGTTACTGAAGTTCTAAGCCCCAATTACAGCGCTCCCTCCGATTCTCCAACGATGAGCACAATAGTGCCTTACTGTAAACGAGACGGGTAATATGGTTGGTCCAGCCGGACATACAAAAAGAGAAACGTAAGTATCTATAATATTGCACCATAAGCCGTCTGAGTTAACCCCGTAAGGACCATAAACTAAAAATAGATTCTAAAGCAGCCACTAGCACTCTAAGCTGAGTAGCTAAATATGGTGAAGGAGGAGAAACTCGGTAGATCAGTGTACCATGTATCGATACAAACACCCCATTCGCCAGCCTATAGGTAGATAAATATACTTCCCAATGGTCTTATGAGTGGTTAGAGTACGGTCACTTAGATGCTCAGAGCTAGGGAAAGGGGAAAGAGCGGCTATCTAAGAGTATGATCACTGAGATTAACGAGAAAGCTCAATATACAAATGTACGGCTCATGGGATAAAAAACACAGTTTCCCAGATGGGCGGCTAGCAGGGAGTATCGTCACCAAAATTAAACTAATTCCTAAATAGTAGATAAGGATATCCCTAAACTCAATATCAAATAGTTATAAATAGGATGTCCTAGGTAAAGTACATAGTGTACACGGTTATGCTCAAAGCGCCTTTGTCAAGAGCTAACCGATTGTAGAAATAGCTCTTGATGCTATTTCTACAATCGGTAGCTCTGAGCATCTAAGTGAGCCACCCAATAGCATAGCATCTTCAATGGCCCGTTCAGCGCTGTGGCTCTTAAATAGTGCAAACGGGCCCCTGTGATTATGTCAGTGCTGGGAGGAAAGGAAGTGTGTGTGTGTATCTGCATGTGTGTAAGTGTGCGCCTGTGTATTTATCTGTGTGTATGCATGTGTGTATCAGTGTGCCTGATTAAATTAGCCCCTCTCTCTCTTTGAAAACAGTTTGTGTTTTTTTTTCCTTGAAATTTTTCCAATTAAAAGTAACTCAAAAGTTTTTTTACAGTGTATACAATATGGGAATGGCAGCATGACACAAAAGGAAGTTTCTATGCATGGTTACTAAAGCAAAGCCAAAGGTTGTAGTGCATTAAGCCAATTGCTTGGAAAAAGTGTTAATAGTACAGCATTTTACTGTTTCCATGACTGCTATAGTCACCCAAATGGTGAGGTGGTCTGGGTGCAGTGGTCCTGTCATCTGAACCCTGAAATGTAAAATATTGCTTTTTATTTTTGGAACCTGCAGTGTTTACATTGCCGGGTTAACCCCTTAAGGACTGAGCCAAATGTACACGTTTTGATAAAAATAAAACGTAAACAAAACCTGGAATTTGCGCTACATGTCTGTCCAACCGTAATTCACCTCTTTCATATTAACTGCACCCACACTTATTATATATCATTTTATTCAGGGGAAATAGGGCTTTCATTTAACACTAAAATATTTAGCTATGAAAAATAATTTAATATGATTAGAATATAAAAAAAATGTGAGAAATAATGGAATGTTGTTCTTTTAGTTCTGCATGACATTTTTACTGTGAATGTCATAATACTGTTTGCTTTTATTACAGGTTTTATGGTGTTTTGGGAAGTTACAGGGTCAAATATAGCATGTTACATTTTCATTTTTTCACATTGAAATTCGCCAGATTGGTTACGTTGCCTTTGAGAACGTATAGTAGCCCGGGAATGAGAATTACTCCCAGGATGGCATACCATTTGCAATAGCCACTAAATGCACTTCAGCTACACTGACCGAGTAAAACTTCCACGTAATGTGAAAGCTTATAGGAAAGCATTGGAGAGCTCTAACACGCCCCGAGGAAGTGTTAGAGCTGGAAGGTAAGTAATAAACATTATTTTATAAAATTTAGTAGAAAAGGGGAGGGGGTACAAATATATATCCAGGAACAGGGGCACAATGTTGTTAGGAATACAGGTTTGTATTCCCAAAGCTATAGTGTACTTTTAAAATACGTGGGATGCTGAACTTGCTAGGTATGAATTTTATGTGATTCTTAATTTACAAAGAGCATTTTTATGAGGTTTATTGTTCTCGTCTGTTTTTTAAATTAAACCAAGGGTCTTTAATTGTAAGCTGGCAGTTCTTTAAGCAACACTACATCTTTTTCGATTATCTCATGTTAACCAAACCTGGCAGAGTGCCCCTACCAAGATTCGACTCTGGATCCGCCCCTGGGTACAGTCCCTTTTTTTTTTTTGTATCAGTGTATCTACTGTATATACCTCCCCATGTCTGTGTAATTATCAATGTGCTAATGATAAGAGCATTATACAGGAACTGTTGATAAATAATACATACATGTTAACCTTTATACGGAGATATGATTCATTCGAATAATTAGAACAGTTTAAAATGAATAAAAAATTACCTGTCTTCCAATCTAGATTTGTTTTGATTATTCCAATTTAACTAAAACATGTTTATATGTATATCTATATAACTATTTGTCTTTCCTCTCTAAATCCCCATCACCACTGTGTCTGTCTTTGTCCACGTTAGTAACTCTACCATCAGTTTCCCTTCAACCCTCACATGCAGCCAATCACCAAATCCTGTCAATTCCATCCTAAAATCATAGCTTACATCCATTATCACCGAACGCAGATAAGGTGCCCCTTTGTTGGAGTTGTGATCTTATTTGCGGAATAAAAGAGGTGCAGAGAAATCTCTTTCTAGGAGGTAAACCTTTATATCCTTTCTATGTGAACAATAAGGAAACGTTGTTTATTTACCGTATTTTTCGATCCATAAGACGCACCTCACCATAAGACGCACCTAGTTTTTAGAGGAGGAAACCCAGAAAAAAAAAATATTCTGAACAAACAGTTCCATAGTGTTTCTTACTATGGGACAGTTTGTTCAGAATATTTTTTTTTCTCCCCTGTCCCATAATGATCTTTAACCCCCCTTTCCTCTGTCCCATAGGGATTGTTAACCCCTCCTCCCTGTCCCATAGTGTTCTTTAACCCCTCCTACCCTTGTCCATTAGTGTTCTGATCCCATAGTGTCCCCCCCTCCCATTGTTCCATAGTGCACTTTCCCTCCCATAGTGTCCCCCTCCCCTTCTCCCATAGTGTCCCCCTCCCTTTCACCCATAGTGCCCCCCTCCCCTTGACCCATAGTGTCCTCCTCCCCTTCTCCCATAGTGTCTCCCCCTCCCTTTCTCCCATAGTGTCTCCCCCTCCCTTTCTCCCATAGTGTCCCCCTCCCTTTCTCCCATAGTGTCCCCCTCCCCTTGACCCATAGTGTCCCCCACCCCTTCTCCCATAGTGTCCTCCTCCCCTTCTCCCATAGTGTCCTCCTCCCCTTCTCCCATAGTGTCCTTCTCCCCTTCTCCCATAGTGTCTCCCCCTCCCTTTCTCCCATAGTGTGTCCCCCTCCCCTTAACCCATAGTGTCCCCCTCCCCTCGTCCCATAGTGTCTCCCCTCCCATTGTCCCATAATTACTTACCTGTCTTGGAGCGTGGGCCGGCTTCACAGCGCGCTCCGCCGTCCAGGAACTTCTATTTCAGGTTCCGGTTTCCGGCGGGACTGAAAGGAAGTGCACACTCAGTGTGCACACTTCCTTTCAGTCCCGCCGGAAACGGAACCTGAAATAGAAGTTCCTGGACGGCGGAGCGCGCTGTGAAGCCGGCCCACGCTCCAAGACAGGTAAGTAAATCTTCACATTCGCTCCATAAGACGCACAGACATTTCCCCTCACTTTTGAGGGGAAAAAAAGTGCGTCTTATGGAGCGAAAAATACGGTAATATAAATAAAGAGTTTATTACTGTACGACAGCAAGGCTAGTACCTGGGGTTACATCAGGAACTTGTCCAGAGATAGATGGAATAATGGTAAAACTGAATGTAACTGCGATGGAAGAGATGGAATGTGGATATAACAAAAAAACAACAACAAAACAATAAACAAATAGTAAGGGTTATTATACATTATAGGCTAGTGTTTATTTTAACTTGTTTTACAGAAAAGTTACAAATTCTAGTCCCTCTTATATCTCCTCACTGATCCATAGGTATGCCCCTTCTCGGTCTCTCCGCTCTGCCGTGACCTTCTCCTGTCCGTTGTTCGCACCCGTACGGCCAACTCGCGCTTGCAGGACTTCTCGCGGGTGGCTCCCTTCCTATGGAATAGCCTGCCTACTGCCATCAGACTCTCCCCTAGTCTTCAATCGTTTAAGAAGTGCCTTAAAACATATCTCTTGTCCTATTTATAATTAATCCTCCCCTTATAATATTGTAAAGCCCAACGGAATCTAAATGGCAATAATAATAATAATAATAATAATAATAATAATAATAATAAAAAAAAAGTCAGTCCTGGTATAGGCATCGATGGGAATGAAAGTGTTACAAGGATTTTTTACTAAAGTGAGAATTCAAAGTAAAATTTTGATTTAAGGTCAGGGTAGATGAACTGACAGCATAGCTGACTTAGAGAATAGTTCCGGTTCGGCTATGTTGGTCTTAAATTTAAAATTCACTTTGAATTCTCACTTTATTGAATGACTCTGCGTTGGTTTTATCATGCACCCCATGATAACCTAAATGGTCACTACACCAGCTTCCAGTGTCTGGAGTGGTTTATGCATGGATAGCGTGGCCTCTTTTTCTCACGTTAGAAGAAGTGCTGTTTTCAATAGAAACACACAAAATATAATTCGATGTATTGGGGCTTCTGAGTACTATAGTCATTATAGTTATTGCTGCCCCCCAGTAGTGGGAGTTTGAGTGCAGGGCTTAATTTTTTATGTTATTATTTGCTTTGCAATGCTGATGCTCAGCCCATGTGTTCCCTACTAAGGGTTAATAAATGTATTTAGGTTTAAAAAAATACCCCTCTCTGTCTCATTAGGAATTTTACCTTTTAGTTGAAAGTTGAATTGTCAGCATAGGACAAAAACGATTTTGATACCCAAGTAGGGATTTACTGAATGGAAAGCTACTGAGTTCCTCTCAGCTTCTGTCAGTTCTCAAAGTTCTCATATTCTCTGTTTTTGTTACAGTGCATTAACGTGGCTCTCCCCGTGCTCACTGTGCCTAGGGGGTTATCAGGCCAAATGAAGGTCAAAATGAATGTCTGGGGTTGCTGTATCTCTCGTTCAGAGAGAACTTGCCTGCATTTTGGTTCTGCACTGCCCTTATTGGTGGAATTAGTCTGATATCCCTTGGAACTGGTTCTCTCTGTAATAACACAAGTGAAAAAAACTATTTTGAGACCCATGTGGTGATTTATCAAAGGGCAAGCTACTGAGTTTCTGTAAGCTTTTGTCCATTCTCTGAATTCTCGTATTCTCCGTTTTTGTTAGCACAGGACTCTCTGTAGGAGGTTTTGCCTTGAAGTTGCAGGTGAACTCACACCTAAATGGCCATTGGAGTGACACTAAAAAGATACTAACCTTCTGTTATTTAAATGTGCATAGAGATTTGGAGTAATGTTTTAATTTAATAGACATTGACACTTCTTTAAAAGGAATATTTCTTATGTTGTTGTTTATCTGACAGCATTAAACCTAGTCCAAACGGTTTATATTTCCAGTATTTCAGCATTTTAATCCCAGACACACACTGGCAGAGCTTGTTTGGTGTGTGTTAAGTTCCACTGTTATTATCATGGAAGTGTTTACATGATGGGGAGGGGGGCTGCATTTTGACTCTCAAAACTTAAAATTCCAGGCACATGCACTCTGTCTCTGATACCGCCGATAGAGCTGTGTAATAGGTAAATATTTACAACGTAATAGCTCTTTATAGAATAACTGCCAGAAAGTTGTTTCGCTGAAGAAATAACACGCCATCCATTAAATAATACATCTGCAAGCCTCTGTCGTCAGTAGATATTTGCAGCATTTGATAAATTAATTTATTCCATGGCATGTTTATTTCATTACATTTATGAAGGCCCTTGGTTCTTATTTACAGCCACAGATGAAGTGGGTCACGTTTAGCAGTATAGCCTTGGTCTTTCTTCATCCATCTGCCCGAGTGAGCCAGTGCAAACAGGCCTTTCAGTGTGTGTAAATAAAGTTATTAAATAGAATGTGGCTGGTTAAATTCTTTCTAATTCTCTCAGGCAATCCCTGGGGGCCTGGGCGCAGAGTGCACTCTCATTGTGAAAGAGCAGAATGGTAAAAGAGGAATGTAGAGAAAGGAGGCACACTAAATGCAGCGTTGTGGTGGAATGCAGGGGGCCTGGAGAAGGGGGAGGGAAAATGGATAACAACAAAAAGGTGAAGGGAAGAAGAGAGTACAGAAAAATAACCAGATAATAAGTTTGTTCTCTGATTCTTATTTACTAAACATATTTACTATCTTATCTACGAGACTCTGAATGTGAATCCATATTGCAACATGGAACATTCAAATGGGTAGGAATACAAAGAATCCGAGTTTAAGCAATAAAATGAGAATACAACCTTGTTCTAAGAAATCGTAGTCTGTAATGTCTATAAAAAAAGTGGAGACATGCCTTTTTATCTTTTGATCTTGTAAGTGCAATTGTAATACAATTCTTGCGTTTTTATTTCTGTCTAAACTATTCTTTGGTCTCTTTTTTACCTTTCAAGTGTATATTGAAGACTTTATTCCATACCTGACTTAGGATGATGTGCCTGATATTCCTTCATCTCTTGTGAGTTCTCCATTACGTGTCCTTGTCTTAGTATACACTGATCACACTATGATCAGTTTGTATTTGGTATAGACATTACAGACTACGATTTCTTAGAACAAGGTTGTATTCTCATTTTATTGTTACACCTTGGGAACTTACACTCTGATTCTTTGCATTCCTACCCATTTGTATGTTCCACTACCTTTCGGCGTTCCAGAGGGCACACTATTTAGTAGGTTTGCTGTACATCGTCCTTTACTGGTTATACTTTTGTATGTTCCATATTGCAACATGTACAAATCAGATTTGAGACTGATGTGTGATCGCAAATAAAGAAATTAATATATATATATATATATATATATATATATATATATATATATGTAAAATCCATTTGCTTACTGCCTCCATTTATGGTTCTAAGTATAATTGTACATGACACTTGCAAAATAAATATTTGAATAATAAATAGTCCTCTCTTATAACACTATGCAATGAAAAAATATAAATATATAAATACAATGAGCAATGAGAATAGTGGATTGAAATACATTTTATCTCTGTACTGTTTGCTGCAGCATCTTCGTTCGTTCGTTCGTTCGTTCGTTGATTCATTCTTTCTTTCACTCACTATATAATTATACCACAATTCACTATTTATTGAATAAATATGTCTAATTATTATTATTAGCATTTTCTAGACTAACGTATGCCGCAGATGAATAATGGGATGATGATTTATATCATGAAACTCACTTGACTTTTATCCTCCTTTCTTGTGTTTCCCTTTGGGTTTTTCGCCTCAAGCTTTGTAATGGAATAAGAAAAGGATAGAACTTTATGACTGGTTGCATTTTTCTCCAAGCAGTCGCTTATCGTTAAGCACTATTATGGCAATCGCAATTGTTAAAGCTTGTCAGTTTTCATCTTAGATACACCCCCAATGAAAGCATTTATTTCTACATGTTGTCATTGGGCAATACCTAAACACAGCTTGCAAAATATGCAGGCATTAAGTCTGAAGCTTTTACAATCCCTCCTGGGCAGCGAGAGAGGAAGTCAGAGAGGATACAGGCTCGCAGTGACTCGTGGGAGAAGACATGCGCACTCTACTAGAGCGTGCCTCAAACTCGTGTTAGCTTAGTGCTCCATTTTACAAACGTGTATACATTGCATTAATGGTTTTAGTTGATCTGATGTCATGATAATACTGGATATTCTCTTTAGGAGTCATACATCGTGGCATATATTTATATGCATGTCTTGCACTAAATATTAATTATTTAACTGGATAGTATTTTAGCACTTTTTTTAAAAGGTCAATTTGTCTAAAACTATCATTTTTAGCTGTTTTTAATTTTATTCTGAGGATATTTGGGGTTGGTATTCTGAGTGGCAGCATGCAAATAGAACCCACTGCTTGTGAATGTACTTTATTAATGTGTATATCAGTAAAGTGTTCGTTTTTACAGTTGGCGCCTTCCACTTGGCAGTCCCTGCCTAGATCTGGGTTAAACTATATTCCTTTGTGTTTGCTCAAGCTATGGTCCTAGGGCTACCTCCCTCTTTTAACCCCTTAAGGACACAACTTCTGGTATAAAAGGGCATCATGATGGAATATTTCCCTCATGTGTCCTTAAGGGGTTAAGGAATTTTGTACAAATCTCCCCTAGCATTGTAAATGGTGAATGCCTGTATTTATGATACATTTAAAGCTTGTTCTTTGAGATAATCGTTCTTTTTTTTCCCAGTAGAACCTGATTGTTGGCTGACAAAGTTCACAGTAATTATCAGTAATTATAAACCATAGAAGATTGTGCGTTCCTATTAACCCATAAAATACCAGATCTTTGTATCCATTAGTCTAGTGTTACACCGTGTGGGGCTATAAAAGGTGTTTACAGATCAGTCAAATACTCAGACAGGGAGTATTCAATAAACTGAGAATTGTATTCCTCAGCTTTTTTTTTTGCTTCAGCTATTTTGTCTGAATTTTGCAAATCTGAAGTTTATTTTCCACACCCGTCGCTTTGGTGAATAGCTACAATTGGCAGATTATCCAGGTAGAATCAGGAGAGGTGGATCATATTTCGCAGAGAATCAGTGTCTTTCTTTATCAGTCGTCCACGTGAGCCATCGCTGACAGGCTGCTCAGTTCCTGTGTTTGGGAATAAAGTGACAGAAAAGGTTATTTCTAGTTAAACCCTTTCCCACAATTGTTAAAGGCTACCCGGGGGCGGACCTGAAATGTAATATCAATGGTCGGTGAAAACAGGAAACTGCAGTGAAGGTACGGAAGGGAAGGGGGACAGGAGGGGGTAGAATGGAGAGAAATGGGGAGATATTCAGTAAATCACTAAATACAGAGAATTGGCAAGGGAATTGCATATTTGAGTGAATAAACCCTAGTTACGGTGCTATGTTGTCTAAAGAGTGACGAGAATTGAGAAAAAAGAGGGGGAGATTAAAAGGAAATGTAGAAACAAAAAAAATATATATTTCACAATGTTTACTTACCTACATTTCCAAATAAGTGAGTAAAACGCAGCCATTGCAACAGGATACAATCATGTATAACCATGCTGTGCGATGTAGAATAAAAAGAGACCATGTGATATTTTATTTATGTAACCAGTGTCTGTCCTTCTCTGGCTGAACTCCCTCAGATACAGGAAATCTCAGGGTTTTACTTACTAAACGGTGAGTTGTGTTGAGATGACTGTTGACTTTCATTGAACAAGGTAAAACAACAATGAAGAAAGTTACAAAAAACATGCATGTCTCACTGATAGTAAATAAAATCCTGTCTGTATACAGGAACAAAGCTTCTACAGAGAAATACAGGTTTCATGCCGCAACAATGTTTCTCTAAAAATTCCAAACTATTAACAAATTAATTAACATTTAAACATTTAATTAACAATAAAAAAACTTATTAACATTAACATAATATTTGCAACTGTCACTTCTCTGGAATATCTGCCATTGAAAAAAATCATTGAAAATCACCTTAAACTTGTGGTAATCTTTTTTCATGCGATGCTCTGGTTTCTTTTAAACTTATGTTAAAGTATTCATGGTAGGGTGTGGAACTGCACTCTGTTCCTTTAAGTAGTATGTAGCTGGGTGAAACTCTGACAGTCTCAGTAACAGAGACCAAATGCTGAGTAACAAAATAGAAGAAAGGTCCAGGCACTCCAACGTACAAACCAGGCAATTTTATTGAACCCATTTCTTCTTGATGGAGTGGGTTCAAAAAAATTGCCTGGTTTGTACCTTGGAGTGCCTGGACCATTCTTCTATTTTGTTACAACGATTTACAAAGTGACATCATAACTAAGTTTAAACAAGGCACAGCCAGGGCACACAATGCAAAGGAAAAGGAGAAATAGACACATTGTTCAATTTCTCCTCCTCTCTGTATTCTCTCCTAATGCTGACTGCCAGGTGTAAAGGGCGGAGTTTATAAAAATGACTGACAGGGAGCTAAGATGGAGGCGGCTCTCTCTATACTGACTGCCAGGTGTAATGGGCGGAGCTTATAACAGTGATTGACAGGGAGCTAAGATGAAGGTGGCTCTCTCTATGCTGACTGCCAGGTGTAAAGGGCAGAGCTTATAACAATGATTGACAGGGAGCTAAGATTGAGGTGGGTCTCTCTATACTGACTGCCAGGTGTAAAGGGCGGAACTTAGAACAATGATTGACAGGGAGCTAAGATGGAGACGGTTCTCTCTATGCTGACTGCCAGGTGTAAAGGGCGGAGCTTAAAGGGCAGAGCTTATAACAATGATTGACAGGGAGCTAAGATGAAGGTGGCTCTCTCTATGCTGACTGCCAGGTGTAAAGGGCAGAGCTTATAACAATGATTGACAGGGAGCTAAGATTGAGGTGGGTCTCTCTATACTGACTGCCAGGTGTAAAGGGCGGAGCTTATAACAATGATTGACAGGGAGCTAAGATGGAGGCGGCTCTCTCTATACTGACTGCCAGGTGTAAAGGGCGGAGCTTATAACAATGATTGACAGGGAGCTAAGATGGAGGCGGCTCTCTCTATACTGACTGCCAGGTGTAAAGGGCGGAGCTTATAACAATGATTGACAGGGAGCTAAGATGGAGGTGGTTCTCTCTATACTGACTGCCAGGTGTAAAGGGCGGAGCTTATAACAATGATTGACAGGGAGCTAAGATGGAGGCGGCTCTCTCTATACTGACTGCCAGGTGTAAAGGGCGGAGCTTATAACAATGATTGACAGGGAGCTAAGATGGAGGCGTCTCTCTCTATACTGACTGCCAGGTATAAAGGGTGGAGCTTATAACAATGATTGACAGGGAGCTAAGATGGAGGCGGCTCTCTCTATACTGACTGCCAGGTATAAAGGGCGGAGCTTATAACAATGATTGACAGGGAGCTAAGATGGAGGCGGCTCTCTCTATACTGACTGCCAGGTATAAAGGGCGGAGCTTATAACAATGATTGACAGGGAGCTAAGATGGAGGCGGCTCTCTCTATACTGACTGCCAGGTATAAAGGGCGGAGCTTATAACAATGATTGACAGGGAGCCAAGATGGAGGCACCCAGTTTCAGGAAAAAGAGGTGTGGAATTCTACATTTAATGTTATCCTCACAGATATGTAGTTGTTAAATATAGGGATAAGCAAATAAAATATTAAAATTACTGGGAAGTGAAATTTCATCTTTAAAGAAATATTTATAAAAGATTAAGAAAAAAATGAATAGAATTTCCTTCTAAGCAATGAATTTAAGATTAGCTATAATTATAATGTGAAGAACTGACATTTTATGAGCATGTAAGTGGCCATCTTGGAATCTTACATATGTGTTCAAAAATGCAATAATGGTCAGTAATTCAAATAATAAAAAAATAATGTTACTGTTAAAGGACCACTATAGGCACCCAGACCACTTCAGCTTAATGAAGTGGTCTGGGTGCCAGGTCCCTCTAGGATTAACCCTTTCTTCTATAAACATAGCAGTTTCATAGAAACTATGTTTATAAATGGGTTAATCCAGCCTCTAGTGGCGGTCTCATTGACAGCCGCTAGAGGGCTTCCGCGCTTCTCACTGTGATTTTCACAGTGAGAAGACGCTAGCATCCATAGGAAAGCATTGAGAATGCTTTCCTATGAGACTGGCTGAATGCACGCGCAGCTCTTGCCGCGCATGCGCATTCAGCCGAGGAGGAGGAGAGGAGGAGGAGAGTCCCCCTCCCGGCGCTGGAGAAAGAGGTAAGTTTAACCCCTTCCTCTCCATCCAGCCCTACGGGAGGGGGACTCTCCTCCTCCTCTCCGCCTCCTCTCCTCCTCCTCGGCTGAATGCGCATTCAGCCAGTCTCATAGGAAAGCATTCTCAATGCTTTCCTATGGACGCAAGCGTCTTCTCACTGTGAAAATCACAGTGAGAAGCGCGGAAGCCCTCTAGCGGCTGTCAATGAGACCGCCACTAGAGGCTGGATTAACCCATTTATAAACATAGTTTCCCTCAGGGCGCTATAGTGCCAGGAAAAAGAGTTAATAAAACGTTGGTTTATTAACTGTGTATCCCTGTGCCCAACAAGGTCCACCTGGGTGTCACCCTTGTTGGGAAACTTGCATAAAAGGCCAGTGTGCCTCCATTAAAATTCAGTTCCTGGTTTACCCTCAACATAGAGTCTCATCTCATGTGTGGGGCAAAAGACTATATCACTATACTCCCCTGGGATTATAATCATTAGCTCTTTTAAGAGCTGTTCCTGCTACGCTCTCTGGAGTAGGAGAGGTTCTCCCACTGGAAGCTGGATCCTGGTCTTGGGTCCAGGATGGGTGGAGGATGGCGAGTTCCCAGCCAAGCTGTAACGCTGGACGTGGGGACTGCGGTGTTGATGTCGGGTGAGTGCTTGGAGTCCTCAGTGAGCACTAGGAGCATCGACTGATGGAGGTACCCGGTCGGGGTGCCAGGTAGTCCATCACAGTGTACTAATGACAGTGACATGTTTAATGGTCAGTCTTTCCCAGGGTCACAGTGTACTAATGACAGTGACATTTGTAATGGTCAGTCCCTCCCAGGATCACAGTGTACTAATGACAGTGACATGTTTAAATAGGGAAATTTAAGTTAAACTCTTATAGAACCAAATGAGTTAATTAAATTAAATATTTAAATGGAAAATAGTATATAAGCCATATGTTATCTATAATTTTCTCTTAGCTTCTCTGACTTCGTCTCATCATCGAACATGGATTTTGGAGTGGGGGTAACACTGTTTCTGGTTTTCTGTACCACCTGCCTTATTTATCTAGTTACCTGGATAAGAAACAGTAAGAAAAAGGGGATGCCCCCTGGACCGACCTCTCTTCCTCTCATTGGGAACCTCCTACAGCTAAATTTAGAAGAACTACCTGAGCAGTTCACACAGGTGATTATAGCCATAAATTGCTCATTATTGCTTTATTATACATGGGGCTAGAATATCTCTCAGATTCTTTGCACCATCACACTATCTGCTTGTTGGTGAATTCATAGTATGGAAATGTTTAACAAGCAGCAAATCACTAACGTTAATCACTAAAGTTCAAATTCAAAATTTAATTTCAAATTCAAAGTTAACACAGCTGACCTGTAACAATTCATTAACTCAGCTGTGCTTGCAGCTAGTTGGTCCTTAAATTTGAGATTCACTTTGATTGAGGGTTCAAAGCAGATCTGGGTTTTGAATGTAGAATAAAGACTTTTTTTTCCAGAAGTGAAGACTATGTCCACAATCTATATGCAGATCTTAGGTTTGATTAGAATAAAATAACGTAAAATGTGGACACATTTCAAGTACTTAAAGTATTCAAGAACCAATTTTATCAATAGATTTGATAAATTACTATGTTTCTTTCAAACAAGTGTTTTTTCTCTTAATCTTAAAAATTAGTTTTAAGCTACGTTAAAAGACAAAAATGAGTCCAAGAACTTTCTCTGTGTCTCTCCATGTTTTGTAATAAAAATTGGAATTCAATATAACACATATTTATTGGGCTATTACTGTAAAAGTAAATGTATTACTGGGAGCTGACTGATAACATCCCCAAACTGTTGTTTTTAGTTTTGTACTATCTATCTATCTATCTATCTATCTATCTATCTATCTATCTATCTATATATATATATGTTTAAAATCCACTAAGGATTATTTGATCCCTATAACCCATATAACTTACACATTGGAAACATTGAAGCACAAACTTTAATAAAACATAAAAAAAATATAAAAAAAATATGAATTTGAGACATCTTCAAGAAAACAAGACATTTGTAACTATGATTTAGGGTACATTTATCATGTTTTCATACTAAATAAGATGAACATAACAACATTGTAGCAGGACCCTCTCTCCCTCCCTTCCCAAAAAGATGGAATCTTGAAGGGTTTTCTAAATATACATTTGGAATTTCCATATCTGTGGGCAGAAACACCTCCCAGCCTGTGATATTTTCTTCCTATTCTGTTATCTCCACAAAGCTAGAATGTGCTAGCCTTCTCCACTTCTCAATGAGCTGTGCTACTGAGCTTATTGAGAAGCATTGGAAAACCTAGAATGATGTGGCTCCTTCACTGAGACTTCTCAATGAGCTGTGCTTCTGAGCTTAGTGAGAAGCACTGGAAAACCTAGAATGATGTGGCTCCTTCACTGAGACTTCTCAATGAACTGTGCTACTGAGCTTATTGAGAAGCATTGGAAAACCAAGATCGATGTGGCTCCTTCACTGAGACTTCTCAATGAGCTGTGCTACTGAGCTTATTCAGAAGCATTGGAAAACCAAGATCGATGTGGCTCCTTCACTGAGACTTCTCAATGAGCTGTGCTACTGAGCTTATTGAGAAGCATTGGAAAACCAAGATCAATGTGGCTCCTTCACTGAGACTTCTCAATGAGCTGTGCTACTGAGCTTATTGAGAAGCATTGGAAAACCAAGATCGATGTGGCTCCTTCACTGAGACTTCTCAATGAGCTGTGCTACTGAGCTTATTGAGAAGCATTGGAAAACCAAGATCGATGTGGCTGCTTCACTGAGACTTCACAATGAGCTGTGCTTCTGAGCTTAGTGAGAAGCACTGGAAAACCTAGAATGATGTGGCTCCTTCACTGAGACTTCTCAATGAGCTGTGTTACTGAGCTTATTGAGAAACATTGGAAAACCAATATCGATGTGGCTCCTTCACTGAGACTTCACAATGAGCTGTGCTTCTGAGCTTAGTGAGAAGCACTGGAAAACCTAGACTGACGTGGCTCCTTCACTGAGACTTCTCAATGAGCTGTGCTACTGAGCTTATTGAGAAGCATTGGAAAACCAAGATCGATGTGGCTCCTTCACTGAGACTTCTCGATGAGCTGTGCTACTGAACTTATTTAGAAGCAGTGGAAAACCAAGATCGATGTGGCTCCTTCACCGAGACTTCTCAATGAGCTGTGCTACTGAGCTTATTGAGAAGCATTGGAAAACCAAGATTGATGTGGCTCCTTCAGCGAGACTTCTCAATAGTATTTTACTCGGCACTGACTGTATGTAGAGTGATAGGGGAAGGCTTGCAAACACTACAGACATCTTTGGAAGATTTATTTTCATATACTCCACAGAAAAAATGCAGGAAAAAAAATACAGGAGTATTTTATTTAGGATATTTCTACTAAATAGTTAAAAATTCAATTGATTGTTCCTTTGAATATGAAATAAGATATAAACAGCATGTTACGTGTCGTTTTCACATAGTTTATTTGATGCCGTCTTATTTTAAAATTATGTTTATGGTTTGATAGCTCGCCAAGACATACGGAACTGTGTTCACTGTACATTTGGGGACCACACCAGCTGTTGTCCTGTTTGGATATGATACCATCAAAGAGGCACTTATAGACAATGCAGATGTGTTCAGTTACCGTGCAAAATTTCCTGCTCTGGAACTTGTGTTCAAAAACAACGGTAAAATTTTTTTTTCAAAAAATCTAAATTTGTTAACTCTCTTCTTCCAGGCAGCAATCCGCACCTCTGCCTGTAATGTGACCAGATACTACCTGTGCAAAGACACTTGTGACTCTCAGGCCTAGCTCTTTTTTAACTCTGTTACTGGGATCCCTGAAACACACAGGACATACCGTTCCAAAAGGAACTAACACACTCAGCTTTATTTTTAACTCAGGACTAGCCCATATGTACATACCATTAAACTTGCTGTGACAATCTCAATATAATGCAAATAACAAAATCATATCAGAAAACACACAGGAACATATAATAACATAATAACAAGTTTTTTTTATCAAAGAGTGGTGAAGACATTTCACACATTTCACACAATTAACACAAAATATCTATTCTGCCTGCAAAATCCATAATATGCAAATAGCTATTTCAGAATTCCTACAACCAGATGGTGCTGTACAGACTTCACAGCCAAATACACCTAGTTGATTGAGAGAAGCAGCAGGACAGGAGAGCACATACAACATTTAACACCAAACAATCACTTTACACAAACACTGCAGCCAGAATGGGCACAGAGTGATGTAAACATAGGAGTCATCCAGGGACCTAATTTAGGTTTCCATCTAATGCTCCCAGTGATGGTGACTAATGTTACAGATAACTGAGCTATAAATTCATGATTCATGCAAGACATTAGCTGAAGGTATTCATTGCAGCTATGTTTATTCATGTGACATAAAACTGTATTTATTTATGTAGGCAAGAGCTGTGTTTAGATATATATTAATTGTCAGACTTTTTATTAGTAGCATTTGTCTGCGTATATTACTTGTTATAACTGTATCATTTAATGTATCTGCACAGGAGTCTTACTCAGTAATGGGGAAAAATGGAAACAACTGCGACGTTTCTGTATTAGTACTCTGAGGAATTTTGGCATGGGAAAGAAAAGCATAGAGGAGAGGATTCAGGAGGAAGCTCACTTTCTAGGAGAGGAATTCAAGAAGCAAAATGGTAATGTCCAAGGGCCGGTGCAAGGATTCTTGGCTACACTGGCAAAGATGTATTTTACCTCCTCCCTCCCCCCCCCCAAAAAAAATATGCATCTTCACCCGTGTGTCCCTTAATCCCCCTCTTGAATTCTGTATCCTCTTTTTTGTATGTCTGTCTCCCCTCTATGTCATTTCTCCCAGCAACTTGTCTCTTTCTCCCCCCCTAGCCCATCTGGGTGTCTACCCCAGCTCATGTCTGTCTCTTTTACACCTTCCTCAGCCACTGTGTGTCTCATTTACCCTTTTCCCAGCCCCCCTGTGTCTATTTCTCCCCCCAGCTCTTTTTGTGTGTCTTTCTCCCCCTTCTCAGTCCCTCTGTCTATCTCTTTCCCCCATACAACATAAGAGTATTATATATTATACATTTACCATATTTATACATTAATTTAATTTTATACAAAAATATACATTTATGTTTCACTGCTCCTTATGTTTTTCCCTTTATTAGTTACTTTTGCTCCCTTGATATGTGAGCTAAATTGCAGGAAAAATATTCCTATCAGCGTACTGCAAAAATATATATTGAGAAACACGTCAGACAAATCAAAAGAATGCCAAAATGGTCCAATCCATGTACTGCATTATATTTAATGCAGTTATTCTTTTAGTTATTTTTTTAGTTTATCTGATTTGTTTCTGAATTCGGGAGGCCCACGTTTTTTTTTGTTTTTTGGGAAAAAAATGGTTTAGCCCAACCAAATTTTCTTGCTGTGCAGTTTAATCTTGAGACCAACAATATAGCGGCTTATTTCTCTATAATGAGAAAACTTGTTAAATTCTCCCCTACAGATACTAATATTACTGCACATTCCTAGGTTCACCGTTTGACCCTTCGAATCTCCTTAGTTTGGCAGTTGGCAACATAATCTGCTCGGTTGTGTTTGGGCAACGTTTTGAATACGAAGATCAGAAGTTTTTGAAACTCCTCAAAATGATGACAGAAATCTTAGAAATTCTGAACTCGCAAATGGGGCAGGTAAATTATGAGAACGAAGAATTGAAAATGATCATGAAGATTAAAGGACCACTATAGTACCAGGAAAACAAACTAATTTTCCTAGGACTATAGGGTATTTAGGTCCCCCCCACCCACATGGCTGCCCCCATCCCGGCAGGCTAATGGGGGCTGAAGGGGTTAAACACTTACATTTCACTAGCGCCGGGCTCCCTTGGCGCTGGGGAACTCTCCTCCCTTTCCCGATGTCAGCTTTGAATGCGCATGCGCGGCAATAGCCGCGCGTGCCTTCAAACAGTCCATGGGAAAGCATTTCTCAATGCTTTCCTATGGACGTCAGCATCTTCTTACTGTGATTTTCACAGTGAGAAGCACGAAAGCACCTTTAGCAGCTGTCAATGAGACAGCCACTAGAGGCTAGATTAACCCTATTGTAAACATAGCAGTTTCTTTGAAACTGCTATGTTTACAGTTGCAGGGTTAACACTAGATGGACCTGGCACCCAGACCACTTCATTGAGCTGAAGTGGTCTGGGCGCCTTTAATGGATCATAAACGGAAATTATGTGAATAATATGACAAATATAGTTTTAGGTAAAAATATGTCCTCATGTCAGCAGTCTCAGTCAGGGTTCTAGGTTTGGGCACATATCACATCTTCATGCTGATGGCTAGTTAATTAAATTGCTTGTTTGACGTTTATAGCATTCATATACAGCAGGAGGCAAAAAATTTAAAGAATTGGAAAATCAAATGACCTGTTACATTACAATGTATAACTTTCGTATACTGTCCATCAATATGGACACAAGGTCACGTTTAGACTGGAAGAAAGGCGATTTAGTCTAAGGCAAAGGAAATATTTTTACAGTAAGAAGAATAAGTATGTGGACATCTCTGACTGAAGAAGTGGTTTTATCAGAGTCCATACAAATGTTTAAACAGCAACTGGATGTATACTTGCGAAAACATAATATTTAAGGATATAATTTAAACATTGTGGGGTAATAGCTTCTTGATCCAAGATTAAACCTGACTGCCATTCTGGTGACAGAAAAAAATATTTTCCTAGTTTACGCCTTTTGGATCAAAAGCAAAAAACAGATGTGAAAAAGGCTTTTGTGACATTTAAATTGAATGATTTCAGCCGATTCAATGCTTTCCTATAGGTAAGCATTGGGAGGCTATTGGGTATGGGTCGCAAAATGCTGCACTGCACCAATCAGATGGTCAATTTGAGATCTCTTTGAGAGATGTCCTTTTATCTTGAAGTTTAATTATCAGTCACTTGTAGCCTATTTGTGTTCCAATTTCATGTTGATTGTAATGCATTTACTCTTGTCCTCACAGCTACTCAACACCTTTCCCAAATTGTTCTATCGGATCCCCGGGTCCCACCAGCAAATGTTTAGAATGTTTTCCAAGCTTCATGATTTCATAATGGAGAAAGTGAAGGAACATCAGGAAACCCTGGATGAAAACAACCTCAGGGATTTTATTGATTGCTACTTGATAAAGATGGAGCAGGTATGTCCCAGAGAATGTTGACTGCTAAAGACAAACATATGTTTTACGACAATGAAAATAATTAGAAAAATGGAAAACATTGATCGATACTTGCTTCAAGATTTATTGCATAGTTGTAAAAAATTCCAAAAGTCCAGCTTCTGCCCCCACCATCACTTGTAAGAGAATGCTACCAACTTTGGGATACTTTGCAACTAGTTCACTTCTTTTTAGCAGCCAGCTGCCACTAATTACAGTGGCTGTCACTACAGTTATTTATTTATAAAATATTTTACCAGGAAAGATACATTGAGATTTCTCATTTTCAAGTATGCCCTGGGTCCACAAAACATCACATTGTTACAATAGGGTACAATAAAATACACAAACAATATTAATACACAATAAATACAAAATTTAACATAGAACAGGTAGGAAATATATAATCAACCATGACACGTGCATTCTGTTTTGAGGAATGTAGAGAGGGATCTCTTAAAGGACTTTAGGCTTGGGGAAGATTTTAAAGTGTGCGGGAGGTTGTTCCACAATTGCTGTACTCTGTAAGAAAAGGAGGATCGGGCTGATTCTTTTTGTATTGAGGTAGTCTAAATAAAGTGCTGGTACTGGATCGGAGCTTATAGGAAGTGGGAGCAGCCGAGGAAAGCATTGTGTTCAGGTAGGGTGGGAGTTTCCCAGAAAAGCTCTTAAACACAAGGCTGGAAAGATGAAGGGTGCGTCTCGATTCCAGCAACAACCAGTTTAGTTCTTTCAGCATTTCACAATGGTGGGTCCTGTAATTACATTGTAGCACAAATCGGCAGAACGAGTTATACAATGTATTCAGTTTATTAATGTGGGATTGAGATGCAGATGCATATACTACATCCCCATAATCAATGATTGGCATAAGCATTAGGGGGTTAATCACTGCCACTGATGAAAATCAGTCATAAGTAACTTAACACCAGTCTCTAGTCTGTTATAAATAAGTTAATGATAGTGAAACCCCTATGCATTCTATTGAAACAAAAAATCTGGTTACAACTTTGTCTTTAAAGGGACACTCCAGTCCACTTTACAAAAAGTGCAGATTTCCATATAAATTGGCATTTTTACAAATTAACCTTGTTACACTCCCTAGCTGTCAATCACACATCCGGTTCTATTACTTCCTGGTTTGGTTAGCTCAGTGGAGTTAAACTCAAGAGGCAGCAATTGCCCAGAGCACCTGCCTTACAAAGTCTTCTCATTGAGCTGCATTGGGAAGCCTGTGATTGGACAGCCACAGAAAGTGTGAGCTGGAGGAGAAAGTGAGGGCTTTGAAAGGCTGCAGACAAGAGACCTGCACTTTTGCAAGCTGATTTTAGATATAACTTCAATGAAAAGAATGTACATTGAAATGCACGCATATTTGTATTAAGGGTATATCTACTAAACAATGATTTAATTATTTATTTTTTTGGCCAGTGGAGTTCAATTTGTAGCCCCTGCAATCTACTGGTTGTTGTTTATAGCTGCAAGTTATGGCAGCTATTTATTAACAAGTGTCTCAATTTAATAAATTATTTATCTGCAAAAGTCACCATTAAAGTCTTTTCGAATTTTTGTCGATAAAATCGCTTGAGAATTCATCTAAGATTATTTTAAGACGCTTGGAATCCTTATTAAATCGAGGACAAAGTTGGAAAGTAGCACTTTGACAGTTGCATATAGAGCCACCAAACACTAGCTGGAGATTTGGACTGGATTGTGCCACATTTGAGTTGAGTTCTTGTGAAAATGTGTGATGCAATACATGCTGTGTTTGGTAAGCAAAGAAAAGAGATTTAACCTATTTCATAATCTTATTTACAGGAAAAGGACAATCCTAACACTGAATTCAACCATGAAAATTTGTTTGCCACCATTTCAAATTTGTTCTTTGGTGGAACAGAAACCACAACAATGACTCTCAGACATGGTTTGCGTATATTTCTGAAGTACCCAGACATTTCAAGTAAGTCGTCACTTCTAGAATGCTCACCCAGTATAGATAAAGCCACATTTACAGATTTAGTTTGTCCTCTAAATAAATTCACACTTATCTTTCGCTTCAATGAATTACTAATATTCACCCAACCAACAAACGCATTTCTCTGCCTTGACTTAATTTAGCTTCTCTGCGTAAAGTAGAAAAATTGTAAATGTATTTTTCTGGGCATCCCTGGAATCTGTATGGCTCTGTTACATTATAACACCCATTATAAAAGCTGAGGGAAAGAGGGATAGCTTTGGGCACACGGAGGGACGTAGGGCCACAAATAGTCATGTTTCCATTCTGATGACATCTTTTCAGTCTGAAATTCCAAAAGCAAGATTCTTATAAACAGCCACAGAATGGATACTAAACCTTTTATATTTCCCTACCCACTGCATGTGACAAATATGGCATTCAAGTTTTTACAACAATATTTACACAACAGTCTGAATTACTACAAGAAAAGCAATGCTGCTTAATGACTTGAATTTTATATCCCAAATAATAACAATACAAATAATAAAAATATTTCCTAATAAAATTCTAATTTGCATAATTTCCCTATATTTCACTATATGTATATGCCATCTATGCAATCCATCTTTAACTCCTTAAGGACCAAACTTCTGGAATAAAAGGGAATCATGACATGTCACACATGTCATGTGTCCTTAAGGGGTTAAACTAAATGTAATGTTTGTTTTAGTAAAGTAGAAAATAAAATATCTTTATTGATTTCCCAATAAACATTTGAGTTCGCCTCCTAGATTAATCATCTTGATCTTTCATGTAATTACATAGAAAGTCACTTTATCCACCTCTCTTTGTCAAGTAGTATTTCATATTTTGCAGGGAAAATCCAGGAAGAGATTGACCTGGTGGTCGGCTTGAGCCGAAGTCCTTCTGTTGAAGACCGTATCAAGATGCCCTACACAGATGCTGTATTCCATGAGATACAGAGATTTGCTGATATAGCTCCCCTAAACCTTCCACACACTGTCAACCGAACTACCACATTCCGAGGTCACAGTATCCCACAGGTTGGTGATATGATATGGCATATTATGATAATCTGTCTGGTATAAGAGGGTTGACTGTTATATTGTCTAAAATGGGTATTCTATAAAAATGACCTTCTTTATTTTAGCAGTATTTGAGTAGAGAACTTAAAGGGACAGTTTAAATCTAAATTAAGTTGTTTTGGTGCCCGGAGACCCCTGGATGCACTCTTACCTTACGGGGTTAAGCTGTTGAATGGTTTCACCCCAAAGTTAGCCTCTATCACCAATCATCTGGCTTCTAAATCTCAGTTTCCGGAAGAATGGAGCGCCGCTGGGTAAGGGAGCTGCTGATTGGCTGAGAGGGGTCAGCGGATTCTTTCAGCCAATCAGTGGCTCTCCGTTCATACATTGACACTCATTCATGTGACTGGTTCAGCCGAATAGCGTCCATAAAAAAATATTCTTGGAAACATTCAAACTGAAAAGGGTATAAAAATGGGCCTATTAGTGTACATCTAAATATATGCAGAATGTAAATATATAATATATATAAATATAGAATTTTTTTTTATGCTTTTCTTCCTTTTTTCCCTTTATTGGTCACATTCTCACTCGATTCGTAAATAAAATCAATATTCTCTGGCTGTCCTCTAGCCATCAATCATCTTCCCCCCCCCCATAATTTATCTCTTTTTGTGCTGTGAGATAACAGATTGTTATCCAGGGACAGACTCACAGAATATAAACTGTCAATCAGTTGGTTAAATAAAGAGGATTTGGTTTAACTCCGTCTCTTCCTGAATATAGTTTAATACAGAGTTATCTTGAAAAAAACAACACAAACACTAACCATGTCATGTTTTCTCGATCTGATTTTAGGGTACCATGGTTTTTCCTATGCTTTCCTCTGCTTTAAAAGATCCCAAATATTTTAGGAACCCAGAAAAGTTTGACCCAGGTCATTTCCTTGATGATAACGGTTGTTTCAAAAAGAGTGAAGCCTTCATCCCATTCTCTGCAGGTAACATTAAAAGGGAATCTTTAAGCACCATAACCACGTCAATGTAATAACATGGAATACTGGTTTTATTTATATTACTGACATTCCATGGCCAGATCTTTATTGTGATACCTGCAGTTACTATGCAGCTGAAGTGGAAGCTTGTGAACAGTGGCTGTCCTGTGTTGAGTAATGTCTCATTGTATTAATGTTATTCTATATATTTTTCAATTCATTATTTCTTTCTTACTTCCTTTACTCAGGCAAGAGGATCTGCCCTGGTGAAGGTCTGGCAAAGATGGAGATCTTTCTGATCATATCTTCCATATTGCAGAAATTCAACCTAAAATGTAATATGGACCCTTCAAATATTGACATCAGTCCTCAACCGGGTAGTAATGGCGCGATCTGCCGCCCATATCAGCTGACCTTCATGTCTCGCTAACAGAGCCTCCAACAATGACCTCATAATTCTTATCCATCATTTTCTAATTTTACAAATAAATGTTCTTTATTCAATGGTCCTTAGACAAAATGCTTAATCATATGTGATATTAATCTATCCAGCCGATAAATATATGTATATCCATTTTGAATAATGTAGTTTGGTGCTGGATAACCATATATATATCATTATTCCATGGTGTGTGTAAATATAAAAAAAATTGGGGCATTCCCAATTCTTGGATCCCCTACCAGAGGTCTGTGAGTCTAAGGGATCTTAAACCAACATTCCATGTGCCATAACATCATAGCTGTTTCTAGAACTCCAATCTTCTGGACAGCAATCTCAGATATCCCACTTGGACTTGCTGAAGCCACTCTCCCAAATTGTGGGTTACTATCCTAAATCTTCCTATCACAACTGGGACTATTACAGCCTTCACTTTCCACATCCATTCTAGCTCGGCTTTCAGCCTCTGGTATGTGTCCACTTTTTCATGTTTCATCATCTTGGAGTTACGGTAACTAGGTACTCTCAGATCCATCACCACTAAAGTCGTCTGTTTTTTTGTCTACCACCATGATTTCGGGTTGGTTGGCCAGTATGTGTTTGTCTGTTTGGATCCGAAAGTCCTACAGGGTCTTAAATTCTTTTTTTAAGTGCCCTTTGTGGTTCCTCCCATCTGAACCTAGGCAAGTCCAGCCCATATTCTGTGCAGATATATTGGTACACAATCCTAACAACTTGATGTGCCTATATATATATATATATATATACATACACATATGAAACTAAGAGGGCTGCACTCCCTTAACATACAGACATTATAAGGTGCTGCTGCTAGAATAAGACCTTTCTAAAATAGGGTACATTGGCGTTGTAGCAGGTTTATGCAATATTATTATATATTGTAACTAAATCTTCATTACTTTGCCTAAGTCAGTTATTTTTTAAAACTATAACATTTTGTGTGAAGTTTTGTTTTGTTAATGATCTACCATGGGAAATATACCCCCGTCACAAATTACATCAATTAGCGTAACAGACGGTGTGGAAGGACACAGGTAGAATAATTTGGAGAACATGCTGAGACGTGGCAATGAATCAGCATGGAAACATCTAACTATAAAACTGCCCAGGTAGCAAGGATATCATTATAAAGCATGGCTTACTTATCAGCTGATATTAGATATGAAGTTACATTGTAATTCAAACATTTAGTGCGGTTTCCATCCATGTAAACTATTCTCCACCCATGGGGGACGACGGGCTGTACAGAATAAAGACAAGGACGCATTGATTACTGGCTCTCTTTTAAGTTGTATGAGAAAAGAAGCCCACGGTTTCTTCTTTCTACTCTACCAATCATTAAAATGTAATTCAATACAGCAAACAGTGAAACCACAGAGTTTAAAATATCTTCGGAGAAGTTTGATCATCAGTTAGTTGTGCTATCTTTTGTGGCAAAGAAGAGAGCAGTCTTAACTATATTGTGGAACGCTGAGGACCTCCAGTGGTCATGTAGGTAAACCTATGCTTATGAAAGTTAATTGTAACACAAATTAAAACTGTTTGCTAGAGATTAGTCTTTGTGTGTCTTTTATTACAAAGTTCAGTTTTTTTTGTCAGGTATGCCGTCCACTGAATTGCTGAGAAGATTTGATGAAACTTTTAAAATACAATTGCTAACTTATATGTTCTGACCATAATTGCCACACACATGTTGAGTGCTTTTGTGACTCACTGTACATCCATTGCACTCTCTCCTAGAATGCGGAAGGCTATAGATCGATTTCAAAGGATGAACACTGACAAAATGTCTATTTGGCTAGCCGTGGCCAAATATGGAGAAGAAAACAGTACTGTAAAGTTGTTTTTAAACATCTGCTAATCTGTTAACATGTTAAAGGGACACTAAAGCCACCAACAGAATGTTAGCTTAATGAAGCAGTTTTGGTGTATAAATGACACACCTCCCTAAATGTAGCTTACAAAGCCTTCCTAAACACTTCCTGTAAAGAGTCATCTAAAGATTACTATTCCATTATTGCAAATTCTGTTTAATTTAGAATTTCTTATTTCCTGCTCTATTAATAGATTGCTAGACCCTTCAAAAGCCTCCTGTATGGATTTAAAGTTACATTTTCAGAGCAGGAGGTAAACATTTTTAAAGTTATATTTAATTGAATATTAACCCCTTAGTGACCAGACCATTTTTCAATTTTCGAACCGTTAAGGACCGGGGCTGTTTTTACATTCCTGCGGTGTTTGTGTTTAGCTCTAATTTTCCTCTTACTCATTTACTGTATATATTATATTTAGTTTTTCCCAACATTAAATGGTCTTTCTAAAGATACCATTATTTACATCATATCATATAATTAACTATGAAAAAATTATAAAATATGATGAAAATATTTTAAAAAACACACCTTTTCTATCTTTGAACCCCAAAATCTGTCACGCATCTACAACCACCAAAAAACACCCATGCTAAATAGTTTAGAAATACCCACTGTTAACATGTTCTTAGACTTTCTTTGCAAGTTATAGGGCTATTAGTAAGTGTATTCATTAAGCTAACATTTGAAACAGAATGTTAGCTTAATGAACTGCTTCATTAAGCTAACATTCTGTTTCAAAATATATATTTTTAAATTTATCAATAGTGACCATTTATCAACACTGGCCAAATGTAGCATTTATATTCGTTTGTGTGTTAAAAATGCAAAAAACTATTATGAATGCTAACTTTGTTTGTAACTAAGTGGCTACTAAAAAAGACTGAACATACCCCATCTGCAATACCTTGGGCTGTCTTCTTTTGCAAATAGTATGCCATCATGGTGGGCCATGAGGACTGGTTTGGGAACCACTGATCTAGACAAACATCTAAGATAACATTGCAGTCACCTCCTAAAAGGGAACACCCCCAGTAAAGTGTTCATGCACAACATTTTACAAAAAAGCAAATCATGTCTCCTATTAGGCCAGGGTTGGTTACCTCCCATTAACTACATGTTTAGCATTTTTGGGGCGTGTTGGGGGGATAAAATGAAGTGTAGCCAAAAATTGCAATGGCCCAGTATTACGCATATAGATTTTGGAAAATGTAACCAAAATATTACCCATGTAACCCTTGACAAAAATAAACCTATAAATTCTCTGATCATCAGATAAATGCTCCTTGCAAATGAGCTGCAATCAATGTGGCCACTCCCCAGGAATTTGATGCCATATAATTACTAAAATACCCAAGTGGGTACCTTTTAGTTTATGAGAGTTGTAGCGGAAAGTGTAAAGTGGCTTTATGAAAGCTTGAGTGAACAACATAAGGGGGAAGCAGGGAAGATTCAAACTTATCATGCAAGGGATTGATAAAATGTTCCCTCTGCGTTGCGCAAGCTTTTTTCATAAGCTAATCTAATAGACCTTGGCAGGTATCCCTTCTCTACAAAATGCTGGCTAAGAATGAGTGCTTCCTCCTCAAAATCCTCTAAACAAGAACAATGACGGATTCTTGTAAATTGAAATAGAGGGACATTAGAAATCCACATAGGATGATGACCACTAGCCGCATGAAGGAAACCGTTTACATCAACTTTTTTCTGATAAGTCTTGGTAAGAATACCCTCCATTACCCCCTAAGGTAAAGGACCAAAAATGCAATTGTAATTTTCTGCTTATAGGAGGTAAAAGACAACCCACAATCATATGAGTTTAAGAAAGAAATAAACTCATCTATTTCATCCCACTCCCCCATCCAGATGATCAGGATGTCTTCAATAAAATGGTGATAGAAGGCAAGATGCTCCATCCAATATGGGTTAACCAGGATGAACAACTGTACCCATAAACCCATAAACAGATTGGTGCAGGATGGAGCAAAAATTGCCCCAAACATTGTCACTTTGGAAAGTAGAAAGAATTTATCATCAAAATGAAAATAATTATGCTTTAAAATAAACTCAGTGAACATCAGAATTGAATCTGCTTGTTCTCTTGTTAATAAGGGATCAATGTTGGAGATGAAAATCCAGCCACTTAGACATTGGAGCTGTAAGGGACCCACTTGAGGAAATAATATGATGACCAGGGGAGGGTTTAAAGAAACTTGTGGAAAATAGTAAAATATAGGGACCAGTTATGACATGAAGATGTCATTCAACATGTTAAAAAAACAAAAACAAAAAAACGATTCCTCTTGCTGAACTACTAGTCCCACTATCCCAAAGTATGCCTGACTAATTCAAATCTCAAATAATTAAAGTGATACCCTGATGTGCAGCTTTCTCAATTTGCTCTAACATCTGTTTTTCCTCATCAATATTAACATTAGGTTATTATTTTTTGATCTATCCATAAACCTTCCACATTTTCCTCATCACAGTCCACTTACTTAAGGCTTTGCTTGAACTCGTAGTTGACATACAACCATACCCTACCACCTTTCCTGTTTTTTTCTATCCTTCCTGAATAATTCCTAATGAGAAGTTTGATCATTCGTTAGGTGTACTATATTTTATGATAAAGAAGAGATTAGAGTGCTGAGGACCTCTACTGGTCCTGTTGGTAGTTCCATGCTTCTGAAAATTAATTGTAACATCAAAATTGTCTGCTGGTGATTAGTATGTGTGTGTCTTCAACGAGAGAGTAAGGACTTTTTTTTTTTTTCAAGTATCATGTGCACTTAATTGCAGAGGCTAATTCACTAAGTAACAAACAGCAAATCGAACAAGTTAAAAATGAAAAGTTTTGATGAAACTTTTAAAATATAATTGTTAACTTTTGTGTTCTGACCATAATTGCCACAAACATGTTGAGTCACTGGGCTCTTAATCTGGCCCTGGTTGAGTGCTTTTGAGACTCATTGTGCATCCATTGCACTCTGTCTCAGAATGTGGAGGGCTATAGATTGTGTTCAAAGGGTGAACAAGGACAAAATGTCTGTTTGGCTACATGGGGTAGAAAATAGTTATTTAACGTTTTTAAACATCTGTTAATCTTTTCACATGTTAATCTTTCAGCTACAACAAAGTATTGATATAATTACAGTTCTGTAACAGCAGGATAATCTCATGACAAGAGAGATGTGGTATTATGCTATGTGTATCTGATAACTGTGTATGCTATGTGTATCTGTAATAACAGTGCAAAATAACACTGCCAAAACAAAGATCACAAAAAAAAAGAAAATAATGCAAAAATATATATAATACAACCCATGGCTACCCAGAAACATTATGTAGAAAACATAATTTAGCATATGTAAGAGAATAATCTGCAAATATCCCATTGTTAATACCACATATGGTTGAATCTAAACACTAGTACACAAAAAGACCATCAGAGGATCAACAGACCCACCAACCCCAAATAATATAGAAAAGCCTCAAGTTCAGTCTGCAGGCATGAGTGCAGGTCTGTTCAAGTCTTGGTTTAAAAATGATACAAAAAAGGGAGACACAAACTTCATGTATAGTTTTGACTCACTTCCAAAAACAAGGGATGTGTTGATTAGCTGTTAGAAGGTGTTTTAGCAGGGATGATTTACATTTGGGAATTCACATGGGAAGTAAATAAAAGAGTACTGTAGGAGGAGATAAATATAAAATGTTTAAACAACCCAAAAGTACCCCCAAAATCCATGGAGAGCCCTCAAGAGTCACATCCCCAGATAGCCCTGATCTGAGTGCTTATCATATCCAAGAAGCACCCTGATTGGGTAAGTGGTCTGGATGTTCCATCAGGGTACAATTTTGACCGTCCGTCCATGAGGTATAAGCCCAAAATAGTTCCAGGGAAATCGTGGCAATGACCGGTCTCAGTCCAAGGGATTTTATATGAAAACCATACATAATATGCAAAAGCTTTTTGGTGTCGAATGCTCCCCCCATTTGGTAGTTTATATCTCTTAAACGCCATTTGTAGAGGTGGTCGGGAACTTGAACGAGCAGCAGTTCCACATTCAGCAGTGTTCGCGGGAGTGCCTAGCCAAAAAAAGCTCCAGGCACTCGACGGACAGGTATCACTGCCTGCATTCGGGAGTCAAGATGGACACCATTCATACTGTCGACCACGTACATTCGGTATACGAAATGGCAGCCACCCAGAGGAACCTTTTAGTAATAGTTTCCATTGCAGTTTTGCACTGGATACTTTGTATTCCACATTCTAATTAGATGTTGGGGTGGTCCTTATTTGGGAACTGAAACAGGGGAATTTCTTATGAATAAACAAACAGGGGAAAATGAACCAAGTGATGGGGCATTCCTTCACAGACAGTATCCTTCTCAAAATCTTTCAACTACTGGGTAGGGCCACCAGATATGGGATGTTTTTCCTGTGGATTGGAGGCACCGACAACATTGATAAAAGTTTTAAAGAGCTAAAACATTGGTGGATTATATCTAATAAATATACTCTGTATGTTATACATGTGCCCAGTACATTTTGATTCATTATTACTGCCAACATGTACCTGGTATTGATGGGAACATTTTTTTTTAATTGAGATGGCGATTATGCCACAGTGATTATTTCTTAAAATTACTCTCCTGTAGTGTCACATTAAAGTAGAG